GAAACATTTTTTCTTGGCCAGGGGCAGGGGGGACTTTGTAAGATCAAAAGATGTCCTTACCAACAGAGCCTGAAAGCAGGATAACTACCCTTGTAAACTCTGGCCTAGTTCACTGCATCCGATTCATTTGTTTTAAAATTATTCATTCACTGAAGTGATAAGCACTCACAGGTGCAAATGCAAAACCAGTTTACGGCGGGGGGGTGTGCACAGGAAAGGTCAGTGGGAAAACTGCTGGAGGGCGAGGCTTTCATTGATAAAATAAATGCAGATATGTTCCTGCACAAGGTTCTGTCAAGGAAGAATAATTATGATTCCAATGAGATCTCTCCCCCTCCCCCATTCTCAAGTATAACAGAAAGCAATCTGTTCTCAGAATGGATAAAACAGGAAATATCAGTATCTAGCAGATAAAGAGCATATCATTTATTATTAATGAAATTTGTGGTTCAATTGCAACAAATACTGAGCATTTAATACCAAGTTTTCCGTCAATAAATGCATCCCCTATGATATGCAATACTACTTGCCATCACTTGGGAGACCCAACTGATGCTTTATTTATTCAGTAAGAATTCCAGCTTTGCCTTTCAGTGTGACCTACTGCGTTCTCTACTCACAGACAACCCATGCACATTAATGGATCTTCTGCTGACGCAGTGCTGCAAGGATCAGACCAGTGTAATACGTGAATTTATTTCTCAATCAAGAAGAGAACAGTCTTTGATAAGTGCAGTGCAGCCCTACGTCTCTCTGTTCAGAAGCATCCCCTTCCCGCTTAATTCAATGAGACTTACTCATAGGTAAGCGTGTATAGGATTTCAGCCAGAATGGTACAAAACTACAAGGAAAAAAAGACCAAAGCCTAGGGGATAAAAAGAAAGCACAGGCAAATGCTGTCATTCATTAAGTCTCTTGACTAAAGCCTTGACTGTGACTTCACTCTTGAGCTGTTCCACACACACATCCAAGCAACTGGACTAAAGGATACACATGATGCTTAAGAAAACTGTGAAATCTCTTCCTTTGTTTGAAACAGCATAGCAAAATCACAGCTGTATTTCTAACAGCAAAAGCCCTCTGATATAAGGAAAGCTGTTAAGAGCGTGGCTTTCAGTTCCATTCTGGAGTCGTGATTTTGTCTTTTACTAAAGGTCACACCAGTCTTGTCCATCAATGCACTTCTGTTACAAGCACATTGTCCCTGGTTCTCAGCATGAACTCTACATAGCTTTGGATACAGGAGGAATACAGAGACCCTCTTGTGTGGAATGTGCTCTAGTGCACTCATTGTGCGGAGAAGGGAAAATGTTCTGCTTATGTCAGTGCCCTGCAGAGACTGGAGAACTGCTGGTGCTGCCGTCACTGGGCACCAAAACCAGGGCACAGATTGTGCACCAAAGCCAGAGTCAGCCACTAAGGAGCCAGCTATTTGTTTCACAACAAAGCACTGCAAGTTAGTAGTAGTTGAGGATTGGGTAGAGATTAGGTCAGGAGATTTCTAGCGGATCAGAAATCAACACCAACACATACAGTAACTTGAAGACACGCTGCGAAGTTCAGTAACCCCCAAATTCAGGACATCAACCAAGTGTGGGCTATGAACCTCATTACACTTGGTTTCTGCTATCCTAAAGGTGGTAAAGTACCAAATTATCTCCTAGGCCAGATCCACATTGCAGCCCCTGCATTTGCAAGGCAGGATTGCCTTGGGGATTTTTGCAAATGCAATTGCTGCTCACCAAAGAGCACATTCATAACTCAAGTCCATACTACCTGCCACTGGGAAGCACAATAAAAAGTGGGAGGATCTATGTGGCATTTGAGATGTCTTTTTAAATATTATGTACTCAGAGTTTATAGACTGCTTGATTGTAAAAGCAACAGCAACTTCTAAGTAGGTTACCAAAATATATCCTCTGCCATCACTGATTCTCCACCTCCCACTGTGTGTTACATAGCCTGTTTCTTTCCTTATGCCTAATTCTCTTTCCCATGCCATACCCTGGCAGGGCGAACCATTCACTGTGTATCCATCCATTCAAGGCAGCAGCAAGCACAGAGTGAATCAAAAGGAGGCAAGGAGCAATACCAGCCCTGAACGTGGATCAGCCCCTAAGGTTCTAAAAATAATCTATCCCAATCTTATAAACTGGAACAGAGAAGAAGCTGGATTTTCAACCAACCAGCCAATCAATATCCAATGCATAGGGTATCTTAGGAAACAAATTCAGCATCTTAAAGCAGCCTTCCCAACCTGGTGCTCTGTAGATGCTTTGAACTACAACTTCCATCTAGCTGATGGAAGCAGTACAACACAGCTATGCCAGTCACATTAAATCACCACCGTATTTTAAAGACAGGGAGAAACTCCATTGGTAGAATTCCCAGCCTAAATAAGGACACACTTTCTCTGCACCTTGTGCTCTTGGTTACTTACTAGTTTTCCACACTAATAGTGGAAGCACATGCACGATAAATGAGAAGCTAATCACGTCTGACAGGTAACAGGATTTATGCAATTGGCATTTAGCTATAGATCCATGGTACTGCTAAGCAATACTTTAATTCCTTCAAATATGGACCAGTTGGCTAGCAGTACATAAGCCACCAATTATGGCTGCGAAAGAACAATTTCAATGGGACATGGATGGGATCCTAACAGAAGCATCACAGGAAGGAAGGAAGGATTTTCTTGAAGTGGATTGTGCCCAAGTAAGCCATAAGGAGGGACGCGGGTGGCGCTGTGGGTAAAACCTCAGTGCCTAGGACTTGCCGATCGTATGGTCGGCGGTTTGAATCACCGCGGCGGGGTGAGCTCCCGTCGTTTGGTCCCAGCTCCTGCCCACCTAGCAGTTCGAAAGCACTCTTAAGTGCAAGTAGATAAATAGGGACCACTTTATAGCGGGAAGGTAAACAGCGTTTCCATGTGCTGCGCTGGTGCTGGCTCGCCAGCTGCAGCTTCGTCACGCTGGCCACGTGACCCAGAAGTGTCTTCGGACTGCGCCGGCCCACGGCCTCTAGAGCGAGATGAGCACGCAACCCTAGAGTCGGACACGACTGGCCCGTACGGGCAGGGGTACCTTTACCTTTACCTTTACCTAAGCCATAAGGAAAGTGTTGTGTATCCATATATAGGCATCTTTGGAATAAATGCCATATTAAATCTGCTTCTCGTTAGACATCTGTATGAAATACATCATAACATATTACACAGATTGAAATATGTGCGCATGGGCTTAGCACACAACTTTTCTCTTTAAAATCCACAGAATGGGAGACTTGCAAAGGATCAGCCCCTTTGCCCATGTGCTTCGAGTAAATACAGTGCAGTGCACATTTTGTACTCGCTACACTACTGATACTTACAGCAAGATTAATTTAGATTAGATATACAGCCTTGTGTGCCACTGGATACGGGGGGGGGGGGCTTTTTAGCAATTCAAATACATGTACAAACCTGTAACTTTAATGGAATTATGTGCTTTATATAACTGTTTCAACAATGCATTCCTTAATGCAAAGAAGAACTCTTTCTTTTAAGGGCATCTGTCCAATGCTTACTCGGTTTTTCACACACCCATGTGAAACTACTTGCATTTACTAAATAATTAGATCAAGGCAAAGTAGGAACCTGCTAACTGATACTTTATTGAAGGACAGCAATGAAGATCACAGATTTTAAATAGCGTATGTATGGTGCCAAAGCCCATCTCCTCCATCAATCATTTTAAGCTGTGCAGTTTCTTTGGACTGGGCAAAGAAATAAAACCCCTTATTGAACAAATACGTATGTACTCCCCCAACTACTGTGATATAATACAACAATGAAAAAACTAATTTATGTTGAGGGACCTATAGCAGATAATTAAATGAAATTCTCCAGTAAAATACCATGAACCAAGCAGCTTTGGGTAATTCTGTATTACTAGATGAACACAGCTCATTCATAGTCCTTGCACAAAAAGCTGCGGTGTGTTACCTACACCACAAAATGTTATGTAAATTTCGCAGCTGGAAGACACTGAAAGGTGTAGCCCAAAAGCCACATTCTGAAATGGAACCAGTCTGGGATAACTGATTTGAGGTACTTTATGGCCTAAGCATTGCAATGCAGAAAGCATTAAAAGGAAGATGGAGAAGAGAAAACTATGCAATTGCTGTTTTTAAAGGCATGATATTTTTTGGGTGGGAGGTATTAATAGGAAGATGACTATAATTACACCTGGTGGAATCAAGAATTTGTGCAGTAAACTGACTGAAAGAGAAATCTAAATAAAAAAACCTATGCTTCATTGTCAGGGGTTATTCCTCCCTCGGTTTAACCAAGTCATATCCAAAATATGCCAACAAAACAGTCAGTGGAATCAGACATCTTGGAGGAAAAGAGGAATTAGTTGCAATGGCACCTGATCTGATGCTTGCCTCTAGGCAATCCTCCATAGTAGTCTACTACCTTCAACACAGCAGTCTGCTAGCTCCATAGCAGTCTACTAACTTCTCTTTGAGGACAGCAGTCTGGGTGTCCTAAAAGTACCACATTTAAGGGCGCCAAGATTTAGAAAACCTGTATGTTCTTTGTAATTACCTTGAATCCTAACTAGGTTTCTGTGAATTGAGAGGATCCTTCCATTCACTGATGGGACTCTGATCTAGTGCATGATTCTGCTGGCAGAAAGGGGCAAGGCATTTTCTCCAGTTCTTCACTCCCATGTCTCATGCTGCTTTGGAGAACCGTCCAAACAAGGTTTTTGGGATGGGGGGGGCACGGGACTACAAGAGGAAGGAGAAAATTACTGAAGGTCACTTCCCCTGTTCTGCTGACAGAAGTATCACATGAGTGGAACTTTGCTCAGAGGATGCTTCCACCAGCAGGAGTAAGCTCAGGATCCCAGCCTTTGTAAAGAGGCCATTTTGTAGGTTCATTTAGGCAAGATTAAAACAGATTTCATTTTCAGCATTTTGCAGTGCCATTTTGAGGAGGAAGCAGAAGTTCTTTTTTAAGATTTGAGTTTCCTCTTGCTCTCTTCATCCCAGTCAAAGTCTAGGGTGGAATCATCAAAATCAGCTATTGAGAACAAAGATTTTCCTGTCCCAGTGCTGGCTCTTTCCAGTTCAAAGCATTTCCTTGAGTGCCCCACGCTATTGGAGGTTTGGGTCTCCAATGGCTCCCTCTGTCTGTCTCTGTCATTACTGGTGACATGCAACAAACCTGGAGACCTTGGCTTTGATTCAGCTGATGGCTTGAAGGCAAAGCTGGCTAATTTTGCCAGTATGCTAGAGCACACTTTTTTCGTGTCCGCACCATCTGATATTTCCTCTCTCATTCTTGCCTTTTTTGTGGAGGAAGGGAGTGAATTATCGTTTTGCTCCTCCTCCTCTCTTTGGTTATCACAAGGGCGTTTCTCCATTCTATTATTTCCCACCTTAATATTGTGTTCCTTGTAGTGTTTCTCAGGACAGTCTTCTCCCCTTGGCTTCCCCACTTTTGACACGGTTTTGGTAGAAGTGTGAGGGCTGCAGACAGTATCAGGCAATTGGGCATGATTTTCATTTTCAGAAGGCCAAGCAAGCTTTGGCTTCTGCTTACGCTGAAACTTAGCTAGTTTAGCAGCCGCAGGTCCCAAATCTTCCAGGATTTCAGGTTTAGTAGAACTTCCTGCTGCACCTTTATTTGTTTGGCCTCTGTTTCGCTTTCTGGTTGAAGTAGCAGACTTCTGTTGCCTTAAAAATGCGCTGTGAGGTGGGGAAGCACCCAAGTCTGTTCTGGGGTGTTGTGGAACAACGGCTGGACCAGGAGAAAATAAAGTTGGAGAACACTCAACCTTAGGATCTGGGGTACTTGCACAAAACCCATTAACTCCTTCAATGTTTTCCCTGTGCCATTTCTTAGAGGCCCTGTGAGTAATCACTAAATCAGGTGAGGTACAATCCGCTGCATTTGGGCCTTTGTCACTTGCTCCTGAAGGTAAGCTTGTGGGCTTGGTTGCCTTCCCCCCATCAAGACTAGAGGCAGCCTGTCTGCAGGCATTTCCCAGGGCTATTGTTGTTGGTGTGGTTTGCTTGGCTTCACTTAAGTCATTTCTTTCTTTAGAGCAGGGTTTGTTGTGTGGGGCTTTCAAAGACGTTCTTGCAGTTGGAGACATTCTTGCAACTGGAGACTCATAAATGCTCTTCTCAGCTTCAGTGCTGCTGTCTGTCATACTGTCAAACCAGCTCAAGCTACTGTCCTTGCTGCATTCACTGGGTTTGCCCCATTCCTTTGTTAGTCTGTTATCATCAGATGTCTGGCTGCTTGAGAATGTTGGAAACTTATCAGGTTGCAATTGTATATTATTGCCCTCTTGGTCTGAATGTTGTGGACGAGACATCTGCTCCGGTTTCTCAAGTGTGCGATTGTTTGAGGATGCCTCTTTGGACTGCAGAAACTGAGACGAATTTTCATTCTGCAATCTGCAAAACAAAAACAAAATATATTTTACAAAAATAAACTATATTTTCCCCTTCCCTGATCCTATGAAATGCAGGATCTGCTCCATCTATGTTTGGGTTCACAGCCCTAATTATTTATTTTGATAAGCATATAAGTAAATGTAAGCAACTGTCTAATTACAGAGTTATTATTCGGCACCATGCGTCTTCACTTTGATACCCTGGACAGTAAGTTTATTAGTGGCCATCCTATGCTACTGCCTATTGCAATAGCACATGTGTTGCCTGAATCCACTGTGAATTACAAAGGCTTTTTTTGCCTCCCGTATAAATGTTTATCACCTGTCAAGTCTTTGGAATTCTTCACGCAGAATGTCCTGGAGTTCCAGCTTCTCGAGGATCAGTTTACAGTGCATTCGATACTGCTCCAGTGGATTTTCAGGAAATGATGTGTGCAGTGCATTGACACCTCCAAGGAGTGCACCTCCCTACAGGAAAGAAGAAGAGAGAAATACAATGCAAATGAACTTTAATTAGATATGTCTGTGTGTAAACCTATATGCTGTTAAAAGGGTTATATGACACAGCACACAGATAGGCAGGTTTTTTAGCACTGAATAAAACTGCTATCAAACTAACCCTGTATCTTTAGCTTATAAAAACAGGCATTTGCACCCTTCTTCAGTGCAGAGTGTGTGGGCACAATGACACGCACGGGGACCTTCCATTCTGCCTGCACAAGGCTCTCCTTCTTCCCTGATGCCTTGCTCACCATCATGGTTTCAGTAGTGGTGGTGGTAGGACAGTAGACGCAGAACGGTGGTAGGACGTAGAAGCAGAAGACATATTATTTACAGGCTCAAATGTACAAAACTGAGGGCTAATGTTAGGAATTGTTGAAGATTAGTTCTGAGGTGTGGAAACGTGGTCTCCTTGTTGCATTGTGAAGCTTGCTTCCGATCACATGTACCACAAAGAACTGTTTCAGCTGCCAGTCTCTACAAGGAAACTCACCTGCATTGAAGACTCCATCACTGAAACCACGGTTACTGCATCTTCCACAGTCACAGTATCTCTAAACATCAACCGAGCATGTGCTAAAAACAAACAACAACAACAAATGTTGCTGAAACTGATGAGCAGATGGTTAGGTTAAATTTATTAAATGCATATGCCACCTATTTAGAAAGCTCTATCGGTGGAAGAAGATTGGAAGAAATTCAAAGATTGTCTACAGAAATATTGTAAAATTAATGAATGTTAGAATGATGTTGGATAGTAATTAAGTGGTTTCCAGCTGTAATGCTTTAAGGGAATATGAAAAAGGGTTATAAATAGGTAAAAATTTAATATTATTACTTTTAAAGGATTTGCTGAACCAACAGATTGAAGTGGAATACAAAAAGGGAGGTATGAGGAGGTCCGGGAAATAAGTCAAAGGAAAATAAGTAATGGAAAATCTGTGTGTTTTTAACTATTTTTATTTTGTATTTTTGTCATTTTTTTCTTTCTTTCTCATTTTTATTGTAATCTTTTTAAAAAATCTTAATAAATATATTATAAAAATAAAAAAAAGAAAGCTCTAGATAGAAAGCGATAATGGAATTACACTAGCAAAGTTTTTGATTTAAATCTTTAAAAAGTACTGTTGCACACCACCCCAACCTCTGAGTGGTGCAAGATTCCAGGGGTTCCAGGCGCTTACTTACACCCACCAACTGAAGCACTACTTACCCATATTAGGGCTCCTGGTGGTGGGTGTAGTATTTAAAAGCCTCTCAATCCATGTTACAACATTTGCAAGCCAGAGTGGCCATAGCCTAGCTACAGCATACAATGCTGGGGCATGGAAACCCTATATGCACTGGATAAAACCCTCTTAGAGGTTCACCATACTGAGTGCCAACAGAAACAAGCATTTGTTGTAGCCCCTGGAGCATTCAAACATGCACCTAGGAGTTTAGTCCAATCAGCTGCATGACCTGGTTCCAGCACTGCCATGAAACGTTTCCCAATTTATTTTGTGTGATGTAAGCGCTAGAAAAGGAAGAGGAAACCCAAGCTCTCACCTTCAGCTAATCGTATCAAACTCTCTAATAAGCGGATGGTGGTTCGCGCAGCGTTCCTGCAATCGCTCTGCCTCTGCATCTGATAATAGCGGACAAGAATCAAGTTGCTTTCATCAGTCAATACCGGCTGCAGGTTCTTTATAAGGCAGAAATATGTTTTCATTTTTTCCATAGTCCACAGCTTTTCAGACACACTTGGGCAAGCTGCATGAGAAGAGTTTGCAGAAAGAACTGCATTAACAAAATAAGACACAGAGTAGAAATCAATAGACTTCATAATAACTACGCTGTCGTTCGCTCCAACCCTCTGGTGCACTTATTCTGCATGAGCACAAATGGATATGTAGGCTAGGTAGTGTAGAGATTCAGATATATTCTCTATAACTGATTGCAAAAGCCACTGCTACCTTTGTTTTCCAGTATGAATGAGGAAATTATGCGATCCCATTCTTCATTTCTTGTATCCAGCAATACCAGGACAAGGTCGAACCTGCTAAGGAGAGGGCTGCCAAGGGCGATGTTCACAGAGACAGATTCATTAGGGTCATACTGCCCCTTTGGATTGGTTGCTGCCAAGATAGTGGTCCTTGTGTTCAGCTTGCACACTAAACTGAAGAGAAACATGATTGATATTGACACAGAACTATGTTATGCCACCACCCCACTGCCCAAAGGACCACTTTCAGGTACTTTCCATTTTGAAACTTCCCTTCAGAAATTTCACATAGGCTGAACGGATGAGAGAAAAAATGAGGTGACAAACTAGCTAGAAAGGTTTGCGGAACCTAATGCAAATAAAGTGTGGTTTTGGATGAATGTGATGAACTGCAAATATAGATAACAGATAAGATCAAGGGCCAGCAAGGAGCCCTGTCTGGACTGGAGGCCACATCTATAATTTTAATTGGCAGTAAACTAGAGTTGCTAATCAGCCAGCATTAGATCAGTAAGCTTGCTTTGTCAGGTAGCTAAAACTAAAGTCTGAAAAGCCAATTTTAAAAACCTGAATACTCCAGATTCTGCTCATAACCCACCCAGCTCCATCCTCCCTCTTCTACAATCTACCAGAAGGTCTCACTACGTAGCATCACCGGGGTGGGGAGGGGAAGGATTTTTTAGATCAAAAGTTGACAATCTTAACACTGGGGGGGAAAATGCATGCTCTCTCCTACGCAGGCAAATGCAAACTCTCTTACACTGTTGTCTCTGCCACTTGCACACATACACCTGTTTGATGCACAGACATGCCTGTGTTCTTCCACTTGCAGGCACACTCATAAATACACAGATGTTTGCAAATGTACACAATCTCACTATACAAACTACCACGATCATAAGAACGGTGTCTATAACAACATTTAGTATGGTGCAATTTCTCCCCCCCCCATCCCTTAATTCATTTGACCTTGACCCGAGGTTTGTTTTCAGAGCTACAGAAGGATGTTTTGTCCAAGTAAGCATAACTCTCTCAGTGCAGACATTTAGACAGCTGTTCTAAATCTGACTTCGAAGTGATCTATTTCCAGTTGGTGCCATCTTCGCTCTTACCTCATTGTAATGAGAGGGAGCAAGTACAGCACCAAGAATCTTAGCTTTCATATTTGTAGTACATAACATGGGAAAAGTATTTTGACTCTTAGCCAGTAACAACACAGATTCAAAAAAGAAATCAAGAGTTGACCCCCACTCTGCAATGCCTTAAGGATGTCTAAATATGGAAGTGAAAGGTTGCAGCCCCAGAACACATACTTGGAATGGAGGAAAGGTCTAAAATTCCACCTGCAGCACAAAACAACTGTTTCATTGCTCTCCTGACTAAAAATGGTTTTCCTTTTTTTAAAAAAACAACACTGAAAATAGTTCCCAATAGTGGTCATTTTAAAGTTGTGTATATGTCTGGTCTAGTACTGGTACAATAAGATGCAAACATAGGGTCAAAGAATATAATTCCCTCCCATTTTTGTGGCTTGTAAAAGCTGGACAAGTACACTTAGCTCTTGCACCTTATGAATGTTTACTCAGAAGCCAAGCCCCACTATGTTCAGTGGGGCATGCTCCCTAGTAAGGTAAAAGGTAAAGGATCCTTGGATGAATAAGTCCAGTCAAAGGCGACTATGGGGCTGCAGAGCTCATCAATTGTAGGGATAAGTTTCACCTCTTCACTGCGGGAAGTTGGGAAGGTGGTGAGACAAAAAGGGAATGAACAGCCAGTCAATAGAAGCTGTGTTTTTCCCTACCTGGTAGAGGTCTGAAAATTGATGGAAGTACTTAGCACTGACTGCAATGGCTAATACCTTGTCATAACAGCTAAAATTTTGAGATTTGCTGGGATGGAATTTTATACTTCTTAGCTTTCTGGTTTCATGTATATTCCTGGGCATACGCCAGTTAGGCTGGAAGCAGATTAATAAATAAATAAATTCCCTAGAGAGTTTAAAAGAAGGTCCATTGCTCATTCTGCTTTCCCTTCTGGAAAATGGACTGCAGGTTTCTGGCTTCTTTGAAAACCTACAAAGTTTGTTTGAGCAGACCCTCATGCAACAACAATACAAAAGTGGTGAAATAAATTAGCATCCATGGCCCTTTTTAAAAAAAAAATTACTTACCCAGCCTTGGCCACGCTGATGGTCTGTTGTTCCATTGCCTCGTGAATGCTGGTTCTGTCGTGTTCCTTGATGCTGTTAAACTCATCAATACAGCAAAGTCCTCCATCAGCCAGCACGAGGGCTCCAGCCTCCAAGTTCCACTCTCCAGAGTCTTTCACAGCAGTCACTGTTAAACCTTTGGAACAGAAAAGTGTTGTTTGAGCAACCCTGGGTCAATCTCATTTGAACAAGGCTTAACAAGGGTCAGCCTAAAAAAAGTAAAGGTGACAGTAGTACAATTTCCGGTGAAGACAGACCTGGTGCAGCTAGCGCCTTTTGTTACCATGAAAGTAAAGGTAAAGGTACCCCTGCCCATCAGGGCCAGTCGTGACCGACTCTAGGGTTGCACGCTCATCTCGCTCAAGAGGCCGGGAGCCGGCGCTGTCCGAAGACACTTCCGGGTCACGTGGCCAGCGTGACTAAACTGCATCTGGCGAGCCAGCACCAGCGCCGCACACGGAAACGCCGTTTACCTTCCCGCTAGAAAGCGGTCCCTATTTATCTACTTGCACTTAGGGGTGCTTTCGAACTGCTAGGTAGGCAGGAGCTGGGACTGAAGGACGGGAGCTCACCCCACCGCGGGGATTCGAACCGCCGACCTTTCGATCGGCAGGTCCTAGGCTCTGTGGTTTAACCCACAGCGCCACCCGCGTCCCCTGTTACCATGAAACGTCCTCAGAATTCCCTATGGAAGTTTAGTGTTTGTTTGTTTGTTTGTTAAAAAAAATCATTTTCTTAATTAACAAGGCAAAACAACAACTTACTTACCCGAGTACATGCAGATTTAAAAATAAAATAAAATTAAAAGGTGGGCAGCCTGCTTGGAGCATGTGTGAGGGGGGAAACTGAAGAAACTAGTGTTATGAGTTTTTTTGGGGGGGGGTATGTATTAGTATGTGTAGTCTGTATGCCTGAGCCTCCTTCTAATTTCTGGATCCAGCACAGACTCAGTTCCTGGAGGAACCAGGCTAGCTTCCTGATGAGGTAAGTATGGGTCATTAAGGTAACAAAGGAAGTGGCTCTGTACCAGATGAATAAGGGGTGACCCCCCCCCCTTCAACTCACTGGTAGTTAGAAAGACAAAGGGCAGAGTTGAGAGTTATGTGAACTAGCAAGTAGAAGCAAGGCTGCAAGCTGGGCAGCTGGGAGACAGAACCATGCCTGATTTCTGTTGGAATACAAGGCTGTGGCTATGAGAGGAGCAAGACCATTGGGGGGGTGTTAATGCTGTGAACCTCTACATGTAGGCTCAGGTTGAATATATGTGTAAGTAAACCATATAACGTAGAGACACCACATTCTCCACTGTCTCTCATTCCAAAAGAAACACAAGCCCTGAATAAGTGTGTGGAACCCCCGTAATCTCGCATTGCTCAGAGACTGGGGTGGTGTGCAATACCTGTCATTCAAAATGCAAACCAAGGATGGAAGCCAGACTTAGTCCCTTGGCTAAGGGACCTCCTGCAAGTTGTCTCTTTACATTACACCTGCCTGCACCCTAAATCTGATATGTTATCATTCATGATACTATATAGTAGAAATAGACTAATAGAAAATCAATTCACATTCATTTGTCAAAGGAAACTTGAAATTCAGTTGCATTTACGAAAGATAGCACAGCAGCAGTGCATCCTTATGTCTGCTGCTCTGGTGGTTTCTTTTTTGAGTATGTTGCTGTCTGCTGAGCTACGCAAAGGGTGGGTAAGTTCTGGAGCAATGACTGTTGTACTTATCAACAGCTGTGGAGTGCACTTGTGCAAGTAAACACCTGGGACGCTGAACCAGGGTAGTAAGTTAAAGAGGTGCAATTGCACCATTAAAGCTTTTTATGACTCACATGTGTGCAGCAAAAAATCAAACCTGGGACTTCCTCCTCACACTGCAATTTTAAAAAGAGCTGGCCTGTGAGTGACAATGCCTTATAAGTCACATGTCCATAAGCCACACAATGGCATGATTTAAATGTTGTAGTGCAAGAGAACAACCACTAGGTGGTTCCTGTAACTGTCATCCCTAGTTTGTCCCTCTGGGGGTTCCATAGAGGCTTCCTGTGCGAGCCAACAAGCAACCACAAGAAAACGCCACCTATCACTAGAAAATAAAGACTGCTGCTCTTACCAACTGCCTGAATCCTATCTTTCCACAACGCTACAAAAACATAGCATATGTTTAAAACACCCAGTGAAAAGGTAATTAGCAGTAACAATAACCTGAGCAGCAGAAAAAAGACAAAGGGATAATCAAGGCAATCTGAAAGACCTCCAGAAGAGAGCTTACCATGGTCTGGCATCTGAAAGTTAGCAAGAAAACAAAGGCAAACTAGGAAGTCCCACAGTTTTGATGCCCTTGCAGAAAAGGCCCTGGCTCATCTTGCAACCTACTGTGTTTCGGAAGGGGAGAACACACAAAAGCAGGGGCTCTGGAGGTGTCCACAATACGGCATTAATGCATATGTGGACTGCTGTTTCCATGTGCATGTTTGTGTGTGTACAGAAGTACAATTTTATGCCTCTATCCTGATGTTTCCCATCCAAGATCCGAATTCAGTCTGTGTGTTTTGGAGGGGGGGGGGGGCGGATTGCTGCCACTTGGATGAAGACATCATATAGACACCAGGGGGGAAAAACAGACACAAGCAGCTCCAAGTGCACTTTAAAATTCAGTGTGGACAAGCCCTCTGAGGAGGAGCCTGCACTTTGGTAGGTTTATGTGGGACCAGTCAATCCTTAAGCTAACATGGGCCCAGACTATTTGTCTAGGGTTTTAAAAGTCAAAAACAAAGACTTTAAATTGAATCCAGAAACCAAGTGGGAGCTATTTTGGAGAGCAACCTAAACCCTGGCCAGGCAGTGATGGACCGATGGAGTGGCGTAGTCCCTACATTAACGGTCTTGTTCCACACGTTAGCTGGGGTAGTAGTCCAGCAGATCTTGAGCTGGCTCAGCCCCTCGGGGGGGGGGGCTTGTGGTGTGTTTATGCACTTTGCAGATCACCACTCTTTTATTCCACACTTTTCAATGCACTCCTCACTTTCTAATTCGCAAAAAAAAAAAAATCTGTTTCTTTTTAAAAGAGGATTTGTTTCACTAGGCCGAGTGTGTGCTTTAATCCACTTTAACTGCACAAATCCATCCCACAGAATACTGAGAGGTATGGAGGGATCCTAAAAACACATACATGCAATCATTAGTTTAAAATAAAGCCCACCATTTATTCTTTTTTTGGAGGGGGGAGCAATCAACATGGGCAGTGTTTCTTTTCCCCTTTTCTTTTCACTTCGCTTCAATTACGCCAAGGTCCCTCTTCTTGCTAGTTCACTTCTCTCAAGAGCCTCGCTCGCTTCGCTCTCCAGCCCTTTCACCCTCCTCTGGTCCAGCAGGTGGAGCGCCAGCTAAAGCTTCCCACTCCACTCGGGCTACGGGAGCCCATCTTGCTCTTTCGGGGAAGCCTCGGCTGCAGGAGGAGGGCCATAGCTCAGCGTGCAGCCAATCCGCGCCAGCCCTGCCAGTTAACAGAGCAGAATGGGCTGTAGTTTAGTGTAACAGGAAAGCTGCAAAACAGTGTGGAGTGCTCTCGGTGCAACATTAAAAAAGAGAGAGAGGAAAACAAGAAAGGGGAAGACGGAGAAGGGCGAGTTTTTGGGTGGTGCTTTTTTTTTTTTTTTTAAGCAACCCAAACCTCAAAGTTTCCTAACTCTCAACGTGCTCGCTTGCCGGCGCTGGGGTTCGCGCCCTGCAAAAGGGGAGCCCCCTGGACTTTTCTCGGGCTGCGGTAACGCACTATTGTTTGCGGGTCTCCCCTCCCCCCCCTCCCCGAAATATGGCAAAGGTTCAGGTGAACAACGTCGTGGTGCTGGACAACCCTTCTCCTTTCTACAACCCTTTCCAGTTCGAGATCACGTTCGAGTGCATCGAGGACTTATCCGAAGGTGAGTTTGCCCGGGGTGGATTTTTCGCCCCCTCGGCGCTGACCAAGCCCTTTCGGGCTATTTCCCTTCCCAGGCTTAAAGTTTGCAAAGGCCTCGCTGCTGCTGCTCCCTCTCCTCCTCCACCTCCTCTGCATCTGGCATGACGGAAGGACGGTGGGCTTTGCAGCCGCCGCCTCCTTCTCTCCCACCCAACCCGGCAGCGCCCGCACGGTGCGCCCAGCTTCTCCGGTCTTCCGCTCGCGAGGAAGGGAAGCCTTTAAGTTGCAAGGAACTTGTTTGAGCGCTGGGAGCAGCCATGTTGCCAGCATTGTGCTGCTGCTGCTGCTGCTGGTGGTGTGTGTTGGAGGGGGCGGCGGGGCGCGTACGCGAGAGAAGGAGGGCTCAACGGAAACACCTCGCACGCTTCGGGTTTTGGTGGCGGGAGGCGAGCCGGGAGAGGCTCAACTACCCAGTGCAAAGGAACCAAAGGGGCGCTACGGATGGGCGAGGGGGGGGGCCGCTGAGAACACCTGCAAGTTAAGTGGTTTCCACTCATCCGCTTTTAGTGCTCGCACGAAGGGGTGTGTGTGACATGTTTAAAACGCTTTAGGAAAAAAACAACAACAGAATTTTAACGATGCCTTTTTTAAAAAAGTGTTAAATGGCCTTAAAAGCACTTCTGGTACTACTTTACGTTTGCATAACTTTTTAATTGTGACACCCCCTTCAGACGGAAGTTCGCTTTGGGGAACGCCCTGGAGGTATGTAGAGGGTGTTTTGTTTTTCGTCTGGATAGCCTAATAAGCCTCTCTTCGGACCTCCACCCTTGCCCCCTCCCGGGGTAGTGAGGTCAGCAACACTTTCCCTACTAGAGGTAGCTAGCAACTTTTGCCGCCACCCTTCAAAAACGTCTTTGCCCTAGGCGGGCAGGAAGAATTCTTAAAGACTCCTCCAGAACTTGCTATCCTAACCTACTGTCTAGTGAAGTCCTGTTGAATTCAGCAGGGTTTACTCCCAAGTAACAGGTTAGGGTCTACAGCCTCAACTACTAAATATTACGAAGTCATGCAGTAATTGAGCAGAGTGCTACAGTTGTCTAGAACAACACTTAAAAGTGCTAGTATCAACAAACCTCTTCGAAACAATTTTTCAGTATTGTAAAACATTTCCTTGGATGTAAATACTAATTATTTTCAGCCAGCCCTGCTGGTTTTCAATATTTGCTTTCAAATAAATATAAACATCATCGAGTTAATGTCAACTGGCTTTACTAATGTTAAGAGGCTACAATTTTTATGTGTTTTATTTTAGGTAAAGCAAAAGTACTAAAAGGTTTTTCTTCTTATAATGTAGATTTGGAATGGAAAATTATCTACGTGGGCTCCGCAGAAAGCGAGGAGTACGATCAAGTTCTAGATTCAGTTTTGGTGGGCCCTGTTCCTGCAGGAAGACACATGTTTGTATTTCAGGCAAGTCTGCTTTTAAACATTAAGGAAATTCTAAAACATTGTGTGTATGTTCAGATGGCTACTTTTGCGACAAGCAGTCACAAATTACATGTGACTTAAGTTCAGCACTGCCCTTTGCTTTAAAAGGGTAGCAAATCTAATGTTTAACCCAAGGCTGGACAGCTCTTCCTCTGGGTGCTGATTTTTAACCAAAAACATAGGGACATACATACCCAAGCGTGTGAGCAAGCATCATAAACAGTAAGTTGGCTCTGCTCTAGAAGAGAGAGAGAGTTGCTACAGAAAAATCTGTTCTGGGAATAGAAGGGAGGGAGGGAAATACTGTATATGGGGTAAAAATTTTAATTTCAGTAGGATTTTTTTTTTTAGTGTTTTAGAGGAACGATTTTTCGTGCATTTTTCATGAATACAGTAACATACCGTATTTTTCGCCCCATAGGACGCACCTAGTTTTTTTGGGGGGGGGGGAATAAAGAAAAAAAAAATATTTCCCCCCTAGGCACGGGGCTGGCACGGGGGAAGCCCGAGCTTCCCCCGACCCCAGAAGAGCCTGCTATCCGCAAGCCTAGGGAGCCGCGCCGGTCTCCCCAGGCTTGCGGACAGCTGTGCGAAGCCCGGGCGCGCTGAGGCTTCCTAATACAGGCAGCTCTGCGCAACCCTCCGGAGCCCGGCGCAGCTGCGCAACCCTCCGGACCCCGGGAGGGCAGGCAGCTCTGCGCGATCCTCCGGAGGCCGGCGCGGAGGGTTGCGCAGAGCTTCCTGAAGCCTGGAGAGCGAGAGCTTCTCGCTCTCCAGGCTTCAGTGAAAGCCTGTATTCGCCCCATAGGATGCACCCACATTTCCCCTTCATTTTTGGAGGGGAAAAAGTGTGTCCTATAGGGCGAAAAATACGGTAAGCTATGTACGTGCAATCGTAGGTAATATTTTGGCCATCAGACTTGCAACTGCTCACACTGAGTATGAGTTAGATACTTTTCAGGGGAGGCTGTGTGTCTTCCTGCTTTCTGACATGCAAGTGGTGGGTGTGCAGGATACTGACTTCTTTGTAAAAGTGCCTGGGCTCTGGAATTTACAACCCTAGGGGGCCCATCTAGCCCAGTCTCCAAATCATCAAGAGGGCTGTAAAGGAATGTCATTTTTGTAGACGGCTTTTAACATTATCTGAACCCATGAGTTAATGGTTATATGTTGCTTCTGGTCACCTCCTTAACTGGCGGCAATATAGATGCATACATAAAATTTGTCAGCCTCATTGGGACCTCTGTGGGGCCAAAAATCTGCACAGAAATATTAAGAGCACAGAATGCTTTTTGGGTGGAGTGTTCTTCAGGAAAGGGGGAAACAAGTGTGTTTAGAGGCCACTGAACACTGTGTGACTTGCAATTGTGGCACAGATTGCACTTGCTAAGCTAATATACTCTAGTTCTGTGCATCTCTCTACAAGGGGATTATTACACAGTCACGTAGTTGCATTTGTATGTAGCTGGTTTTAACCATGATGTGGTCAAGAAGCCAATGTTTTGTTTCTCCAAAGTTTGGTTTGTTACCCAGTGGCTCTTGCCTTGTGCCTCTGTAGCTTGGTGTGTGCCTAGTCTGGAGCTACTAAGCAGAGCATGGTTAGGTAAGGCTGCTATGTTCAGACATGACAAACCATAGTTAAAACAAGCTGTGGTTTGTACGCCAACAACAAACTGGCCTCACATAATGATTTGTTGCCAGGAAAAAATGATTAGTCCGCTGGGCAGGGTTCAGATATTCAAATGAACCATGGTTTAACATTATGTGCAGACGAGGTATGTGTGTGTTTATGTAAATAGCTGGGTGAATCCACACAGCTAAAAGCTGTGATGTTTGCTCTTTTGGGTAAAAAATTAAGGCAGATTGGGTACAACCTGTTTTACTAAAGGAAGTCCACCAACAAAAAAATCTAGTAACAAGTTAAAAGACCTCACAAAAAATAAAATGAGCTTGGAATCCATATCAAGGAGCTGAAACAATTACAGGATGGTCCTTGACTGAAAACCTGAAGTATATGTCTTTGAAGATTAGAACTTTTGTGCTTCTTAGTTCAATCGGCATCAATAAGTACTGTGCCAAATCTCTTTATATTGTGAGCATAGTGGTTTCCTTAACAAACAAAAAAAGTGGGGGAGCATTGGTCAATCTTGTGTTTTGTTTTTTGCTGCAGGCAGATGCTCCTAATCCAGGACTAATTCCTGATGCAGATGCTGTAGGAGTCACAGTTGTGTTAATCACCTGCACCTACAGAGGTCAAGAATTTATTAGAGTTGGCTATTATGTGAACAATGAATATACTGAAACAGAATTGAGAGAAAATCCTCCGGTAAAGCCAGATTTTTCTAAGGTAGGAGTTATTATGCTTTGCTTATCTATTAAAATACTCTTGTTACATAGAATTAAAATGCTAAGAAATAAATCAGCAAGTCAAATTTTAAAAAGAGCTTTGTCCTGAATTTGTTCTAAGACTGCTTCAGAAGTCAAGAGTGTCTGATGCAACTCCAAAATGTTGATGTGAATGTCCTTGTTTTGCAGCTCCAGAGGAATATTTTGGCATCTAACCCCAGGGTCACAAGATTCCACATTAATTGGGAGGACAACACTGAAAAACTGACAGATGCAGAGAGCAGCAACCCAAACCTTCAGTCACTCCTTTCTACAGATGCACTGCCTTCTGCTTCAAAAGGATGGTCAACATCAGAAAATTCACTAAATGTTATGTTAGAATCTCATATGGACTGCATGTGACCCGACTTACCTTTCAGCGCTATGTATGTGTTAGGATGTAGACAGACAGCACAGAGACACACATACACACACACACACACCATCACCAGAAACGATTTCCCGGGAATTGCATATTCAACATGTGAAGAATTTGTTTTAAAATCCCCACATTCTGTAGAAAGTTTATAAGGAAAAAGTATTTGAGTGGATGTATAAATAAAAATTATTTTTAAGTAATTCTGAGGGTTTGCTTAGGCCACACTAAGTATGTTATTAAAACATTTATTTATTTTTCCTCCCCTGCAGGCTGGGTGGGGGTTGAGGGAAATACAGGAAGTTAGATATCTCATAGAATAGTTGGAAAGTACCCTGAGGATCATCTAGTCCTGAAATGCAGGAATATGCAACTGTCCCTTACGGGGATTGAACCTGCAACCTTGGCGTTGTCAGCACCACGCTCTAACCAACTGAGCTGAAGAAGTTAAATATACTACTTGTTCAGTACATATGCAAGACTATTCTAAACAGCCTCTGTTTGGAAAGCAGGAAGCATAGCATAAACCGCAGCTGCCTTTTCAAGGCACATACGACTTTTAACAATACAATTTAGTCCAGCATCAAAACGTTTGTGTGGAATACTATTGTGCGTGCACTGTGGGGGTCCCCCCCTTCTCACATACGCTGTTCGTGGCATGCCATGCAGTGTTACCACAGAAAGAAATACAGGACTAAAATGTTTGTGCTGGCCTAGATGCATGGACACTAAACTCAAATCCTCCACCGCACCAAAATAATAGTATGTGCATTACAGTAGTCCTCATCAAGCAGTCAGGCTTATGTATAAGTTGTGGCTTAAAAGATTTATCAGCCTGCAGCCACATACTTGGTCTGAGACAGGGTCTTACGCTTTGTAGACCTCCCACACACTGACCCATTGCATGAAACATGATAAATAGAATTTAAAGCAACAGAAACTGAAGATGCCTGGGACAGCATCAGGAAGCCTCTATATGCACACAGTATGATTATTTTATCTTTGATGCTATATAGTGTGGGAAGGAAGGGGAACTGAGTTCCTAGGCCAAACAAGATCTTAAATGTCTCATTGGGAGATAAAAGTGTATTCTTTTTAAAAAGGTAAAGGGACCCCTAACCGTTAGGTCTAGTCATGGATGACTATGGGGTTGCGGCGCTCATCTCGCTTTACTGGCCGAGGGAGCTGGCGTACAGCCGGTCATGTGGCCAGCATGACTAAGCTGCTTCTGGCGAACCAGAGCAGCGCATGGAAATGCTGTTTACCTTCCTGCTGGAGCGGTACCTATTTATCTACTTGCACTTCATGCTTTCGAACTGCTAGGTTGGCAGGAGCAGAGACCGAGCAATGGGAGCTCACCCTGTCTGCCAACCTTCTGATTGGCAAGCCCTAGGCTCTGTGGTTTAACCCACAGTGCCACCCGTGTCCCATATTCTTCTTAGGTCCTCCCAAAGAGAAAACACAACTGGGCCGAAATATTAGAAAAGTTTCACTGTGACAGATGACATTTATTCCAGTTCTGCCCAACTAGCAATGGCCTCCTAGGTTCCTTACACAGCCCTGCTCCATGACATAATACTAGATAGACACCCCGGGTTCATCCAGTGCAGTTGAACTTCAGGAGGTACGGGACAGACAAAAGGAAGTATTGTAAAATATAAACTCTGGGGTTTGCTACAACAGGGTGTGAAAATATGGTCCCCAAGCTCGATGGCTTAAAAGGGACTGGATTAAAAATTGAGGATAAAGGCTATGTGGCAATAAGCTTGAGTACCAGCAGATGGGAAACTGGAAGAAACCTACTGACTTCATGTCCTGCTTGTGAGCTTAACCATAGCTATTTGCCCACTGTGGGAACAGAATGCTGGACTAAATGGACCCTCAGTCTGATCTAGCAGAACTACTCTTACGTTCTGAAGAGTCCTTTAAAATTAAGAGCTTGCAGATTAAAGTTAGGGCATTCTTTGTGCAAAGCACATGTTCTATCGAGCCTTCTGGGAATAAAAAGATTATGTTTTGTCATGTATAGATATATCAACATCTTGAGGTAGGACTCAAAACACAAGTCCTGTTTCCTACAGAGTGCTTTTTCCTCAGTGCACTATTACCAAGAGTTATATTGCATTTGAATAAAAAAAAATCCACTCCTTCATTACAACCTAAAGATGTAGATACTTTCAGAAGGTAATTGTCAACTGCCTCCTCCCCCAATATAAACAAAAATTCCAACCGCAGTTGATTGTGCATTTGGATGTCTCATTTTACCTGCGCTTGTGGATCCAATTCCTGCTGTAAGTACAGAACGCGGAGTAATCTTTACTGCGTATTTCAGAAACTGAGACTTCCCTGTTCCAGGGTCTCCAACCAATAAAAGATGTGATTCACCTTGCAGGGAAACAAACGCACAAGGGTTTGCTAAAGCAGCATTTTAGATTAAAGTAATTATTTGGTGCAAGGCCAGAGAAATAATGAAACAGCAGAAATATGATGCCATCATGTCAGCCAATTTCCAATCTTTAAAATAAAAAGCCTTACATTTATCCTGCTTTCCATGAAAAGATAGCCACAAAGTGGCAGTTTTATCATGTGTACTTGAATGTATGTACACTCAAAAAACAGAAGAATCTCACCCACTTGCCCTGTGTGCTCCAGCTGCTCTGATCCCTGAACCAGACATGCCCACATGTATTGAATACTACCTGCATAGCCCAACCCTGATACTGAACCCTGGATACCAGGATTCAGATTACCACTCAGCCATGAAGATCACTGGCCAGTTGCAGGATCTCAGCCTAACCAACCTCACAGGTATTGGCAAAATAAAATGAAAGTGCACCACCCTGAGCTTCTTGTAGGAAAGAGTGGGATATAACTATAATAATATATTTTTTAAAAAAATGTAGCCCCCAACTTTGCTAAGAAAGGATCATGTGCTGAAAGTTTTATGGAAACGTCCTAGACACTAATTTCCATATTTTTTGTCCTAATTACAATTACACTTTTATTTTATTTTTGCTTAGCTACAAAAATGATCATTCACCTCAATTCATCTCATATGATCTCAGGAGGAAAATGTAAAATATTTAATGTCTTAACAAACATTAGTAGTAGGATTATGATTAAGCATTAGTGGGGTTTTCCCATCCTTTCGATAGTATGCAAGCTCATCATGAGGTAACTTGCATTTCTAAATGGGGAGGGAATGATCTGACAAAAATGGCCATTACTCAGGAATAGTCCACTATAGTTTAGATAATGTTTATTGCAGGAAAATTGTACTTAATAGCCCTCTACAGAAATGACATTAATGCTTTGAAGGTGGCATTTAAATTTTGCTCTGGTGACCTATGGCATATATGCACACATTCAAAAACCTCTTAGGATTATATCCACCTACGCAAGTGGTGACATTTACTGCCCAGCACACAGCACTTCTGCCCTCCACACAAGGAAAAGCAGTTTGCTGAAAATTCTACAGTAACAGATCTAAGAAAAAATAACAGGCAAGTATGGAAAGAAAAGACTGGAATCAAATTATTTGAAGTTACAGGCTGTCAAAACATACAGGCCTTGCTCCCATGTCACTTTAAACCATGGTTAACTATTGTTTAAAGATGAACACAAAGCATGCTGGTGCATAGGGCTAAAATTGCAGCTGCTTTGCTGCTACTTCTGTGTTGTCGGCAGCAAAGCCATGGTTTCACTAAGCATCATGTCCAAACCCAGACTCATGGTTTGTTTCTCCCCAAACCACCATGAGTGGTAAGCCACAAACAAACCTTGGTTGTAGCTCATGGTTTATTTTGAGAGCAACAAAACGAGTCTGAGTTTAGATGCAACATGCAACAACAGAAGGGGTGGAAGAGCAAGGTACCCGCAATTTTAGCCTAATGCACCCAGCACATTCACCTTTAACTATGGTTTAGCACAGAGGTCGGCAACCTAAGGCCCACGGGCTGCTTTCGGCCCATGAGCTTCCTGGAACCGGTCCACAGCCGCTCTGTGGATCGGCCTGGGGATTCCATGCTTTTTTCCCCGCGGTGCCATTTTTTTTCTCACCACGGGGACCAACTTCCGGGTCGGAAGAGTGCCAGAAATGGTATGTGCGCATGTGCACGGTCACTCCTCCGTCCCAGAAGTGTGCCCGAAATAGCGTGTACGCACACGCGGGCATGCACACTCTGGCCCACTGAGAGGTCTGCCGGGGAGTGGACCGGCCCAGCCTCAAAAAACATTGCTGACCCCTGGTTCAGCATGACGTGTGAATAAGGCTTTTGTGAGATTTTGCTCTTTCCCCTCCAAAATCTGGTCAAATCTTTATTTTCATGTTATTAACTTGCTGGTGGATTATTTAAATTTAAAGAAGTCATTAAAAAATATTTTTAAACTACCACGAAAAGCATCACAACAATGTTGTGACAAAGTGACACAGTCCTGTGAAGTAGTACAGCAAATTTAAAGCCGTCTTTGTGACTGTTGCTATTGTTCCTCAAAGTGTACAACATACAGTTGCTTTCTAGAGTTTTTAGGGACATGATAACTTATGTGAGTGTCTTTCATGGGACTACTTTATCAAGAAAGCACTAAGGGATTAAAAAATCATACAATGGCAGCTCTTTTACACTACAAGTGGTACAGTAATTCAGGCCAACGTAGTGATAAAGGAGACAGGTCTATAGAGGGTTGTGTGTATGTAAAAGAGGGGATAGGTTTTATATATACTAACCTCTAACCCGAGTGCCTGCAGCATCTGTTCTCTGCACACCCCCTGCAAGCACCATGGCTACGGCCAACTTCACAAGATACAACCCAAAAATCTGAGGGCACAAGCTTGCTAAAATGTCGTTTCTCCCTGAAAAGGGGGGAGGGAAAATAATTAGTTCAGCTGATAACAAACTATATCTGATCACACACATTTCCCAAGTAAATGTCTAAGATACCACTCATTTGAACTCCTTGATTTAAAGTAACAGACTATGACAGGTGAATTAAAAAAAATAATGATCAGATGGCACTTTTGTAAATATTGGTTTGTTGTGGGAATGGTCTCACATGATGCTGAACAGAAAAAAAAGCCCAGATTCAGTGTTTTCCAGTGGGCAGTGATACTTAGAGAACATGTAGAAATTGGATCAGTAGAAGATGGTTTATTGGAGAAGTCTGCTCACTCATGTTGCTGCTGCTTACTGGGAGGTGGAAGGGAAAGGTGGCAGCAAGGTTGGCATGGTATGGAGCTAATTCAGTGCTCCTGGCAGTGCATTTGCACCATGCCAACCTCCATGCCGCTTCGCCCCTCCTCCTCTAACCTCCCATAAGCAGCAGTGATACAACCGACCAGAGGTCAGGTGAGTGGCAGCGCTCCACCATGCCTTGTGCTACTGGAATAAATGAGATGTATAGCTTTACTGAAACACCTTTATTATTATTCCTCACAGGTATACTCGAGGGGGTCATAGAAATAACACAGACTGGTTCTGGCTGTGAGAGCTCTGACAGATGTACAGAAGTCTACCATCAGCAAGAACATCCTTCATGCATTAAATAATTAATTTCAAGCAAAGGAAGGTTTGAGTAGATCAGGTCTCTCCACTTAAATGAATGGCTTTGCACAGGCAGTGGTACAATGTGCAGATCTGAGTGCACACAGAACTCTTAGTTTCGAGTAAATATTTATTACCCACATAAAAGCCAGCTCCTGGCTTCTGCCTCTTGGTCACACAAACAGAATCAATAAATAAAGTAGTGTGGCTGTCTGTCCCCAAGGCCACTTCTCGCTTGCACAGACTCTAGGATAGGCACCCCCAAACTCGGCCCTCCAGACGTTTTGGGACTACAACTCCCATCATCCCTGGTTAGGGATGATGGGAGTTGTAGTCCCAAAACGTCTGGAGGGCCGAGTTTGGGGGTGCCTGCTCTAGGATGTCTCTTCCCCATCCATCAACCTGAATAGTCACAGCACTGCTCCATCATTTAAAATGAAAGTTACTAGGAAATTCAGTTAGGCACCATTTATTGCACACTAAGCAGAAAACTCTATAACTTTTTTGACAGTACAATGCTGCTCAACACATCATCTAACAAGACAACAGACCGTTACGTTCTGATGTCATTTTAAGTTATTTATATAAAAAGTGCATACAGTGGTACCTCAGTTTATGAACAGCCCTGTTAATGAAATATTCGGTTTACGAACTCCACAAAACCAGAAGTAGTGTTCCCTTTTGCGAACTTTATCTTGGTCTGCAAACAGAAGCTGAATGGTGGAAGGGCATTGGCAGCGGGAGGCCTCATTAGGGAAAGTGCGCCTCAGTTTAAGAACAGATTTGGTTTAAGAACGGACTTCAGGAATGGATTAAGTTTGTAAACCAAGGTACCATTGTACAACTAAGTTCATAACAGAACCTGCAATAAATTTGCTATGAATTTATTATCTGGGAGAAAGCTTTGAACTATGTGTTTTAGTGCTTTTAATGCTCAGAAACAATAAAATTCCTGATGCCAAAGTATCTTGATGAGGAAAAATGCTGTGAGAATGAAACAAACAGGGATCAAACGTGCATTTATTGAGTAAACAACTGACAGTGCAGGTGGGTTTTGCGTATTTAGGTATGGCCCAACTGATAGAAAAGTCCTACTGTCCTCCATAAAAGCAGCAGCTTAGAAATCAGACCTAACGAAACAGGCCTAATTGTGAATATGTTCCGCCCCCCCACCACTAAAAAAAAATGGTGTGTTAGCATTTTTTCATTCCACTAATCTATTATATTCTCTTTTACAAACCTGCTAAGGGGTCGCCCCTATGTTTTCCCCAAAAATCTTCAAATTCTTTGCGGACCTCCTCATCAATTATAACACCTAACATCTGCTCGTTGTTTACTTGAATGTAATTGGCCTTTAAGACAATCTCTACATCACAACGTGCATCCTGGTGAAAAGGTTTCCACCTCTGCATTACTACTCCATAAACTGTTATGTCATCACCTGAGGACAAACGAGAATGGTCAAAACAATATTGCACATATCACATTCTGAACACACAAAAGCTTCCTTTGGTTGACTCAGACTATTGGTCCATCGAGGTCAGCATCATCTATTCTGACTGCAAATGGCTTTCTAAGGATTTGTGCAGGAGCCTTTCCCAACCCTTAAAATGGGAAAGTCAGGAATAAAACTTAGCATTTGCATACAGAGCACATCCTTTGCCTCTCTCTCAGTTAACTTGGTTAATACCTGCAGACATCTGTTTAACAGCTAAATACTTTAGATGCTAGCACTCTGATGGATTGGAATCATAGAATCATAGAGCTGGAAGGGACCACAAGGATAATGTATTCCAACCCCCTGCAGTGCAGGAATCTGTTGCCCAACATGGGGCTCAAACCCCACAACCCTGGGATTAAGAGTCTCATGCTCTACTGACTGAGCTTTCACCTAACGTCAATGACATTATCTTCTATGTAGCAACTTTTTAAAACCTTTATTTGTAAAGTTTTAGAGGCAATGCAGCTCAAATAAAAATAAACAAACAAGACAATACCTGCTAAAAACAAAGTTTAATGCTAACAATCACTAATCAACCAAATTATAAGCAAGGAACAACCGAGTGGTAAACATTATGATTTTTAAATTGTGCATATAAAGAATAATATATTTGGAAACAGATCAAATTTACATTTAGGGTTTAAAAAACTTTGACCGCAACCTTCATCTAGCAATTAGTATTGCAACATGGTAAAAGAAATGTTTATTTCATCTAATGGTAATGTAATTAAGGTATGGAATAAATTTCTAATGAAAAATGACTTTAAAAAAACCATTAAAAAGATCAGTGGGCTAAAAAGAAAATAAGGTGCCCCTTGAAATGGAAGTTTCCTCTCACAAGCCACAATTGTCTTAAAGTATCAAGATTTCATATTGTATGACCACAATGCCAGCAAAACAACATGGCATATAACATTTTCCTATTAGACAGTAACAACTCTGCTTTCACCTTTTCAAACATGGACAGTCCTAAAGAAGATTTTTTCAAAAGGCAGTGACACAGAACTCACCAGATTTGCAGCTGTCAACTAAGTCATCTTCAAGGACAACTATCATAGAACGAGGAATACTTCCAACAGAGAGCCTTTGAACCTAGATTGCAAGAAGTGTATGTATTTTATTTCAAGATAAACAATGTTCAAAATAATCCTGAGCTAGAATCCTACAAATATCTCAACAGAAATTACACTTGAGTACCTATGTTGATCATTTGTGGCCTCATCCCTGGGAAATAATTCTTTAGCTACCCAATGGTGTCCAGGCAATCTGCTTTCATTTGGTCTATATTTCAGTCAGGTTATGAATACTATGGTGACCCCTTTCCAAATAATTTGCAGCCTGAGCCTATGCAAGTTGAGTCATAATTTAATCCATGATGTTCAGTGGGGCTTATTCCCAAATCAATCTGCATAGGATTGTGGCCTTGAAATACTTTTACAGCATGGGGACACTTGACATGTCAAACCAATAAATACAAGGCAATGTGGTGATGAGGTACCAGCTGGGTTGTTACAATTATTTGGGGGTGGGGAGGAAATTAGGAAGGAGCTCAATTGCCACCTTGCTCTTGTACATCAATTTCATTCATTTCTTGGGATTTCCATATGCTGCATACAAAGTTTCCAAAACACTAAACTTTTCCTGAATTAAAACAGAAGCACTTTCTCTTAAAGAATGCATTTGAATGGGCATGCTGCTCAGATGAAATGGAGTGGGAAGTTAGCCATCAGTGACAATGAAACTAGCCTTTGGTCTTAAACCATTTTAGGTGCTGATCATTTTAATTCACATCTCTCAATGTCTGCTGGAAAAATATCAAGAGAAAAAAATAACTAAACAGCAATGTGGAATGGTACTGTTACCTGATGGTTTATTTAAGCACACCTAATGTGATTTTCCAGGACTGTTGTCTGCTTAAAAATTAAGATGTTCCTTATAAGAAGATGCAAAAATGTGATTTTGCTGCAACACAGGGATTCAATCTATATGTATGCCGGTAATTGTATTGTTTTTGTCCTCCAGGGAAAATTCAGTACAATCTCAACACTGCATATTTGAAGTTTGCCATAATTATTAATAAGATACAGGTAGAATGCAGGCAGAATGGTAAAACAATGCATAATAATTTCTATGCTTGCATCCATGTTACTATAACGGCTATGGCAGTCATCAGGGCATATCATCTGTTTAAGCATTTTGCCAATTTGTGTTAACCCTATTGTGAGATCCTAATTTTGCAGAGATGAATGGTGGGAACTAATGTGCCATGGCTGGGACACAGAATCACGACAGAAGGTATAGCCAATATTAAAAGGGATGGAGGAGACATATCACTGAAGCTAACATCTATCCACTGATTTCCATAGCAAAATTAGGACCCCAGAAAAGTCATGGTATTAGTTTAAATATATTTGATACCTGCTCCTGAATCTTGATTTCTTGGTAGTCTCTGCAGCTGTTGGGAGCACAGGATGTTCCAGTGAGGCATGTAAACTTAGATGAGTTGCAGCCTTCTTCATTAGGACAGGCTGGAGGACGGCAGAAAGCATAGTATTGTTCAAAGTCAGCCTTGACTACAAACACATGCTTGCACTTGTTGCACATGTAATCCCGTTCAAACTCCAGGACTTTCACAAGACTGGTACGAATAACAGTGCCAGTGACTGAGAGGAAGTGTCCCACATCTCTGGTCTTTGGGATGTGTTCTCTGGTTAGCTCTGGGCAAACCGGCAAACCTGGTAAATCAGCACATAGAAAATATTACCCCACAAATGTTAATTAAAGCTATGTTTTCTTATGTCACTGTTAAATCCCATCAAGGCTGCATCTTCAATTCCCCAGCAGCACAAGTTTGCAAGGCATTCTCAGATACACCTTGATGTAGAGCTGCCATCAAAGTATTTCATTAACTTGATCTACTACTAACAGCTTGGATGGGGAACTGGTGGCATGCCAACTCTCAACAGTCCCAGTGAACATGGCCAATGGTCAGGGATTATGGGAGCTGTAGTTCAGCAATTTTTAGGGCATACTATGTTTGCTACCCTTGGCCCCTAGTAGAAAGCCAAAGGTAAAGGACCCCTGACAGTTAAAGCCAGTCGCAAATGACACTGGGGTTGCAGCGCTCATCTTGTTTACTGTCTGAGGGAGCCGACGTTTGTCCACAGACAGTATTTCCAGGTCATGTGGCCAGCATGACTAAGCCGCTTCTGGCGAAACCAGAGCAGTGCACGGAAACGCCTTTTACCTTCCCGCCAGAGCGGTACCTATTTATCTACTTGCACTTTGACGTGCTTTCGAACTTATCTGTCATTAATCTACCATGTGCAATTCTCAATTAATTACATGGTGGAGTGTTTTCCACTTGAATGACTTTGAACAAAACTTCTAAAGCAAATGCAGATACAACTGGCTAGAGCAGATAAAACATAACCACATATATCATGAGGGTAATAAGCTTAAAACACATAACTAATACTCAGAGGTTTTAAAGCATATGTGAGTGTCAAGCTTATGATATGCTGGCCACCCACAACCCCCAGAATTCTTGGGTGATGTTTCACCAAAGCCCAAATAGTTATTTTGGACTCATATAGGCAATAAAAAACATTCAGGTTGCTCTTTTACAGCTTTTATTCATGGGATAAATTTGTAGACTGCCAAGAACCCCCTCCTTTCCATGCAGCAGTGGTTTCAAGCTCCTTACAGGCAAGTGGTGCAGGCCCTGTGCTGACAAGATCTGTGGTGGGATTCTTACTGGATGAGAACCCTAGCCTCTTCAATGCCACCACACAGCCTTTTCACATTTTAGTATCTACATGAAACCACTGAGTGAGGTCATCCAGAATTGTGGAGCAAGTTTTCAGCAATATGCGGATGACACACAGCCTTACTTCTCCTTTACATCTGCAGGTGGAGCAGTGGATGTGCCAGACCATTGTCTTGCCTTGCTAGTGGACTGGATGAGAGCCAATGCACTGAAGTTCACTCCAGATAAGACAGACACACTGTTAGTGGTCAGTTCCCTGTATCAACTTTGTCGCCCTCCTATGCACACATTCCAGCTTGTCAATATTGATTCTCACTGTGTCTTTTTATGTTATAAACCACCCTGTGATCCTCTGATGAAGCAGGCATACAAATTTAATAAATAATAAAATAATTATTTTATTTCTCCATGTTCTCGTGGCCTTGGAAACTATTTATGTTTTACCGGAATTCTACATAGGGAGATAGCTAGCAGGAAACTCCCATGTCAACCTATAATGTTCTCAAAGCCTTGGCAAGCATTCTGTGATCACTGTGAGACCATATTCTGCTTTATCTCTATAAGACAGATCACCCCTGCCTCAACTGCATCCCCGCCTCCCATTTGTACGCATTTTACTAAGTCCTTTGCAATAAATGCTAAACCTGCAGGTTCCTAGAATTGCTGACTACACAGATTCATATTAACTGATACATCCATAGGTTATAGTTATAAAGATATGCAAAGCCTTATAGAGGGAAAATTGATGGCATCACACTATCTACTCCTGATAACAATACTCTTCCTCAGTGTGACACTACAGGTGCATACAGGGAGGAAGCCTTTGAGGGGAGTGATTAACATAAAAATAGATCACAAAACACACTGTACTTTTAAAAACAAAAACACCCCATCGTTCAGTCAGAACACAAAATAAGTCCTGGAGAGAGTGAGTGTGTGTGTGTTATTGTAACCTTGGAGATATTATACTCTCTACATAAATTAAGAAGAGCTTCATGTTTTCCCACCATTTTGCCTGCAGCATCCTTTTTTCTATTAATAGGCCTAAACTTGACGACCTTCTTAAAGCACAGCTTATGCACCTCAAGCCAGAGACAGCTACAGCACTTCAGTAAGCTACTGCACATCTTTTTGGCATGGTTCTCAGGCAAAGCATCAGACAAGCAGACAACTGAGATCCAAAAGTAAAGCATTTGAAGAATAATAGGAGCCACCTTGTTTTGCCCTTTATAAGATAAGAGACAGGGAGGCCAGCAAGCAAAGGGATGCAGTCATCGAGGGGGGACTGAGACCATTGGTCAGAGAATAAATATTATAATGGAAAAAATAAACAATAATTAATAACATCAGTAAAATCTGGGAGCTGGTGGGACTGAGTAAGAACCATTTCAGAGGGAGGGAAAGGTGGAGACCTGCCCAAAGCGTGTCGCAATCCTGCATGCCACTTTGAACTGTCTGGAGACAGGCAGGGAGAAAAGAAAACTGTGAACAAAACAGCAGACTCCAACCTCCCCTTTTTACATTCTATAATTATTAAGATTCTTTGTAATAAATGAATGAATAAATAAATAAATAAATATATAAATTACACTAATGCCTGGAGAGTTTCTCTTCAATGCAATTCAATACATGGTTGCAATCTGATGAAATTCATACCTGATATCCTGGCATGAAGGTTCTGTTTAACAACAAAGTCATCCGTTTGAGGAACGGACTGAGAAAGGGTCATGGCTGCCCTGCGCAACGCACTGTCAAAAACAGGGAGCACTTCATTGGGAAAAGCATTAAAATATTCACCAACTTCCATGTTGGTCTCAAATAGCGTCATAGCATCAACAATAACTGGGTAATGCGTATCGTCATCTTTTTCTCTTAAAATCAGCAAGAGGTCATTTTTGTGGTGTTCCAGAACATACGACTCAAACACTTGTCCAATTAGGTTTATCTGTTCAGTACTTAGAAGCATAGTGAACCTATAATTAGAAGATGAAAAAAATTTCATTAAGCCAGTAAAAATGCACATCTTTAAATTATTTGCAGACAACCTTTCTTTTTCTTTTGGGTTCCATTGTGAGGGATGGCTATAAATTGAGTAAATGAATAAAATAATTTTTAAAACCCATTCTGGACTTGTTTCTACAATTGACTTTGGACTTTAATCATGTTTTCTGCCTACCATAGTTTCTAGTGGAAATTCTCTCCCACATCTCCTGTACTTCTACAAATTTCTGTAACAATGTTTATTTTTACAAGGCGTGTTCCCCACCAACTTTTATTTATTTATATTCTTATTTAAACAATTTACATACTACTTAACTACAGTAGTCTCTAAGTGATGCACAGAAAACACAATAAAGGTAAACCTCAGTTAAAACTATAAAACCAGAAATAAGTTAAAATGCCTGCTGGAATAAATAAGTGTTCAAGAGGGAGGGGGGCTTGTATAACCTCAACTGGAAGGGAGTTCCATAAAACTGGGCCAACAATACAAAATACATGGTTTTGGGTGGCTACGAGCCATGCCTCTGAACCATGGGGGACCACCAACAGTGTTTCCTCTAATATCTCAGTGACTGGGCAGGTATAGGCCAGAGATCACCAACTGGATGCCTGTGCGAACCATGGTGTCCATGAAAATGTCCCAGAAGCTGAGCTTTCATTTCTTAAAATTTAAGTCTCAGGCCCTCCTAGAAAAAAAATTATGGGGCAAAATGTGCAGGTACTAAGGGACACCCCAAAACTTGTTCTGTCAGAGGAAGTGAAACCCCAACCAGAACTGGAAATTTTCTAGTCTCTTGGGCACAGGAACCACGAACCCACAGAGCCTCTGTCTTCCCAGGGTTCAGGTTCACTTTATTGGCCCTCATCTAGTCTACTGTGCCCAGATAATGCTTGACATCACATACAGCCTCTCCTGATTCAGATATTATGGAGCAGTAGAGCTGTGTGTCATCTGTGTACTAATGACACTTTGGGACCAAACTCCAAGAAGACCGCACGGGGGACAATAATGTACCCATTATACCTATCTGGTGTTTCACAAATGATAAACATTATTACTGATATAGCAAATCAGTTCTTATCCCACCATGCCTATTTATTTAAACCGACAAATTTAAAACTGCTCTTTCATGCACAGAGCTCTGAAAAGGCAGGCTTCTAAGTTTTAGCAAGCAGGTAAGAATTTCGGAATCTCCATTCTTTTATTGCAACACGTGAGCTGCCCTGAAAATTAAAGGGTGGTGTTATACTGCAAATCGGCTGAGCAAATAAATAAATAAATGTTTGATTTTAAATTAAAAATCAGTATTTTTAATACCTCCTAATACTCTGGGTATGTATAAGCTGTAGTTTGGTTCAGTTATCAACCTTAGCAATGCTCACTGGTTAACTACTATGTATTAGTATCTAAGACACTGGGGCAGCCAAGGTTGCTCCCTCCAGATGTTAGGATCCAGCTCCACTCAGCCCCAGCTTGCAAGGATATGATGTAGTCCTACATTGACTGGAGAGTGGCACCTTGCCTACTCCTGTTCTGAAGACGGGTACAGGAGCTCACAGAAGAACTTTTGCCTTCTGACCAGGAAGCCTTGAAAACTCTCTTTTTGGTGCTTCAGGACTGAACACGAAGGAAGACACCAGGAATCCTGCACCAGTAATCACTGTGGAGAAGAGATAAGCTGGGCAGCTGCAAGATTTTGAGGGGCAGAGTGGAGGCCAAATCCCGTCTCCTCCACCGCCATGTCGCCCTTGACTTCTGGCCTCCTTATTCATTTTTTATCACAGGTGTTCTTGCAGCTCACCCGGCAAAGCAGCCCCCACAAAAACCTAACGCGCTGCTGACTACGTCCCCAGAGCGGAGGGAGAGGCACTTTGCGCATGTTCTCTTCTCCACACGCTCAGTCGTACTGAGCTCTGATCGAAAACACCGCGCGCCTCAGGCTAAACACTCTCAGGCAAGCGCTGGGTGCGGACGGGGGAGGGAGGGGAAGCACCGAGCCGGCTGCAGCCCCAGAAGGAAGCGGCATTTCCCGCCTCCGGAGCGCAGCGCTCGTGGGAAGCAAAGCCCCGCCCCGCCGCCGCGCTCAGGGCGCCGAGAGCCCCCGGGGGTTGATGGGTTTGTAACTTGTTGCAAGAGCAGAAGCCGTAAAGGGGCGGCGGGAGAAGCCTCCTGCAAAGCAAAGCCAGGCTGAAATGGAAGAGCCGCCTGTGTACAAACCAATTCCGCCGCTGTGGGAGACGCACCTCTTCAGGCAGAGTGGCGTCTTCGCCAGGAAGCGTGTGAAGGAGGAAGTAACCCCGGAGGAGCGCGTTATTGGGGGGAAAGAGAAAGAAAGAGTTCCCCCGCCTTTCCTCCGGGGGTTCCGTCAGGACTTACCCAGGCGGGTCGGCCGGCCACTCCTCGCAGTCTTCGCTGCCGCCGGCGGTAGTAGCTGCGGTGGGTGGGACGAGCGTTGTGCAGTTGGCGGGAGCGACGAGGCGCCTCTCGGTCCCCGCCTTCTCTCCCAAGTTCGCTCCGGCCCGTTCAGCTGAGCTGGCTGCTGGTTATTAGGAGGAGCTTGGGAGAGTTGAAGCGAGAGGAGGATAGTGCTGCCTCTCTTCTCAGAAATAAACCCAAGGAATCAGTTAGCAGCGGTGGGGAGAAAGGGAGTTACTCCCCTCTCCTCCCGCCCCTAACTAGAGGTCAGGCCAGGGGTGCAAAGATTAACAGCGCGCGAGCATAGGCGTGCAGTGGGGGCTTATGTCCCGGTAACTTGCCCTTTTCATGTGAGCCTCGCTTGGGCATCGGATTGCGTCCTAGCCTAAGACTCTTAACGGGATTACCTGGAAGGTATTGCCCACTGAACTTCGTACGACTTGTGAATAAATATAATGGTAGGCATATGTGTTTATTAATTAAGCACCTAGGTAAGTGGCAGGCATTGTCGGGAACAACGTATATGCAAAATATCGAGAGTTGTGGGGGTTAGCCTGCACGGTGCCCAACTCCCTTCTAAATTCTGGGGTTCTGGATCCAACGAGGGTTAAAACTGTGTAGGATTCCATAGTTGAAGCAGCCAGGCCAGCTTCTTTGTGGGTTAATGGGCCTAAGCATGGTTACTAGTATAACAGAAGTGGTTTTGTGCCAGAGGGCAAATTGGTGGGTCTGCTTCCTCACCTGGCTTATAGTGAGGACAATGGTGTGTGAGAGAGCTGAGAGCAAGGAGCAGGCAGAAGCCAGTGAGTGAGAGCCATGCCTGATTTCTTCTGGAATCCAAGGCTGTGGCTATGGGAGAAGCAAGACCTTTTAGGGTGTTAATGCTGTGAACCCCTCCATTGTAGGCTCAGGTTGTATAGATGTATAAATAAACCATGTATCATAAAGACAACACAGTCTCTGCTGTCTCTCATTTCAAGGAAACTGAGCCCTGATTAAGCTCCTGAAACCCCTGGAATGTCACACTGCTTGGAGATTAGGGTGGTGTGCAACAATACATAAAGGTAGAATGCATTCAGTTTCCAGACAGTAGGAAAATCTACTTTATAAAAACCATGAACTTGTGGGGACAAGGACTAAACTGTGATCTTCCAGGCGTTGTTGGACTACAAATCCCATACTCACTGGTGGTTTGCCATGCTGGTTGGAGCAGATGAAAGTTAGAATCCAACATCTGGAGAGCTACAAGTTACTCAATCCCACCACAGGCATTCTCAGTCTCTGCCTCTGTGTCTGATATGGGGATGATAATACTGGCCTACCTCATCAAACTGCTGGGAAGATTACTGAGATACTGTATAGGAAGTCCTTTGAACACTTAAAAAAAAAACCCTCAAGTTTGAGTACTTGCCTCCATCCAGAAACAACTGGGTACAATGACTGCTGTGGCACTTTATCTAGCTGCATTGTGAGTTGTTACAATACGATACGAAAATCTTTATTGTCATTGTCCCATACAGAACAATGAAATTGAAAAATCTACATAAGACATTCAAAAACCAACAAGCCTGCTATCCCAGCCATCCCAACCTGGTTTGCCCCTTAAAAACTCTGATATCCCATTTTTAAATACAATATACTCCCATAGAGACTCCTTACACTGCGTTTAAAACCAAAATTGCATTTGGATAGAAACTGTTTCTCAGGTGGCTAGTCCTAGTCTTATGTTGCCTATGTTTATGTGGAATTTCCGGGGTGGGGTAGGGTGGCACGTTTCTATTTCCCCCCCATGAACCCTCATGTCTAAGAAGTCTTTAAAACAGAAGTGGCTAATCTGTGGCTCTCCAGCTGCCACTGAACTACAGCTACCAGTCCCAGCCAGCATAGCTGGGATTAATGGGAATTGTGGCATAACTACATCAAAAGCTCTGCAAGTTAGCCACCTGTTTTAAATTGTAGAAAATGCTTTTTAAAAAATCAAGTATGACCTTATGCAGTGCTCCTTTCTGCCTTCATTCTTCCCTTCCTGACTGGATAATCAGGGCTGACCTTTGTTTCTCTCCTGCCAATACACTGATGCCGATGATGCCACTGCAACTATAAAATAGTCGGTTTCACAGGCAACCTATAGTATTGTTGTCTACATCCTTGCCTTGGGCTTTTTACCCAAGCTACTGTAGAGTTGCACTGTTCTATGTTCAGTAGGTGGTAACAGCTAACAGTCAATTTAGCTAATCTATTGTCTTAATTCCAGTGATAAAGGTGTAGCATGCAGATGCTCAGTTAAGTTGGCCTTCCTTTTGGACACCACCACATCGGTGACAAGGTACAGAACAGGATAAGGACTTTCCTTAAGACCCAAGGGTACATCATACAGAGCAGAATCAGCATAAATCATAAGCAACTGTGTTTATACAAGAATTGCCTTTTGCTCATAGCATGCTTTTTGGGTTCCATCCCAAATGTTAAGAAATAGAGGGTGACAACAGTTTCCCTTATTCATCCATTTCTGAGGAGCAATGTATGTGTAATTATCTTATCAATGTGCATTCCCACAATTTAGAACCTAATATTTTAAAAGTTTAGTGTGTTGGTGGGGAGAGCAACTTACAAACTGACAACACAGACTATAGAATGATTCGTTCTCGGCATACTTATAGTGCTGAAAATTATTATCTCCTTATGCCCAGTTTGCATTCTCCCAGGATTCCTCAAAGGACCTTGTGATGATTTTTACAGCACTTTTATTATTATCTTAAGTGCCATCAATAAGCTTAGTGTTTTGCCTAGGTTCATAAACAACCAATGGACTTAAGAATCTAAATTTTGACGGGGAAGAGCAGGAGGGTAGGGGAGCAAGAAATGACCACTGTAAGGAACAAATACAAACAATGTATCTCTCACTTGGTTATTACAACTGGGAATGAGGATTTGAGGTTTAAAGAACTGCTTCAGAAAAAAGCACAGCAAAGAGTCAGGGCAGTATCTTAAAGCTTAACAGTTTTATTTGTTGTGACATTAGCTTCTGTGTAATAGAATTCATTTCATTAGATGCATCAGATCCAGCAGATGAAGATGATTTTAGTCCATGAAAGCTTATGCCACAATCAATCTGTTAAGTCTTTAAGATGCCCTAAGACTGTTTTAGAAGACAGAATTGCCTGGCGTGCTCTGGTCCATGGGGTCACGAAGAGTAGGTCACGACTAAACAACTAAACAACAACAACAAAGACTGTTTTTGCTGCAACTGACTAGCAGACAGAAGTGGCACCACAGGGAGTTCCAACCTTGTGGTGCAAATAAGATTAAACTGGCATAGGCATTTGGGGATTGGAACAGGCTGTTGAGAGAGCTGAAGGCATAGAGGCCACAGATAGACACATACAAAAATATTAGAGCAGAAGGGCAAGGTGGAACAAGCGTCTGAATTACTCTGAAGCGAAGGACAGGTTAAAAACAAAAACAGTAAAACAAAACCCGTTTGATCAGGATATTTAAAAAGCTGTGGGATTATTTTCCCAGCAATGCCAGGATTGTGTCCATATGGTATAGTCCTGCCTAAACTTTCTTATGTTTCTTTGACTTATGGTGTAGCTTCATCCACTTTTGCCATCAAGCCCTGCCCATGCTATATGATATAGTGACATAGTATGTAGGCATCTTTGAAAACACATTGAAAGGAGTAGAGAACAGCATTTTCCACAACACACACAGTTTGGACCCCAGAAATCATCAACCTAAAATAGTCTAACTGGGGCAGGGGCTTGTATTTTGCTTGTGGGAGGAGAAAAGGGGTTTGTGTTAAAAAATTGATAAGGACAGTACAGATGGTGAGGGTTTTTCCCATCTAGAATTGATAAGTAAAGAACTATTTTTAAACGTTGTGTCCACAAACTTTCTAATTCCTGTCTGTGGAATGTAAGAACAAGCTTAAATAATGCAAATTTTCCATTGGAGATAGTGGATAGCTTCACTTAATCAAGTCACTTTTATGTGTACACCACATAAAGGGAAAAACTGTGGGAACCTGTCCTCAGGATTGTGCAGTGCAGCCAGCCCCCAAGTACACGTGAAAGGGACTTTATATGTGAAGGATACATGAGTTGCTGATATGAGAGGATGATTTTTGGAAGAAGATTTATGCATCTAGCTCATTACAGGCCTTTTAAGGCAAGTTTTAAAACTGCTTCAGGACACCTAGGAGCTCTTTGACACTTATTAGGGTTGCTCAGTTAGTAGTTTCTCTGAAATGAATAAGGTTCTCTGAAAGGCAGCATGCCTAGCAATATTGATCTTCCCCCATGAAGAGCATTTTGTAAACAAGAAAACCGAAGGAAAGTAAACTTTAAAGATTGCTATACCTATACATAAAGGTAAAGGTACCTCTGACCGTTAGGTCCAGTCGCAGATGATTCTGGGGTTGCGGCGCTCATCTTGCTCTATAGGCCGAGGGAGCCGGCGTTTGTCCATAGACAGCTTCCGCGTCATGTGGCCAGCATGACTAAGCTGCTTCTGGCAAACCAGAGCAGCGCACGGAAACACAGTTTATACTTCCCGCCGGAGCGGTACATATTTATCTACTAGCACTTTTGGTGTGCTTTCGAACTGCTAGGTGGGCAGGAGCTGGGACCGAGCAACGGAAGCTCACCCCGTCGCGGGGATTCGAAACACTGACCTTCTGATTGGTAAGCTCTAGGCTCTGTGGTTTAGACCACAGCACCACCTGCGTCATACCAGGTGCAAATATTTCTCACTTTTAGAGCTCTTTTGATAAAATAATGTAGTGACCTCAAAGAAGAAAAAAGAAACACAACACAACAAATACTTCAGAACATCATAGCAAAATCATCCAGTGTGTTTTATTTCACACAACAGCCAAGAAATCTGACTTTGACTCGATATGGCTTTCTTCTAATGTAAAGGCTGCATATACCTACAGTTAAATCCATCAACCATAGAGTAGCTGCCAAACACTGCTTTAGATTAGCAGCAAAACATTAGAACACTGCTTCCAGTGAAGCTTTCAGGCTGAGTTTGCAAGAGATACATTTTTAAAATTCTGATTTAGAATATTTTATATTTTATATGAAAACATACAAATTATTCTTTTATACATATGCTACATATAAAACTTATTGTAACTATTACTGGTACCTTTGATTATGTTTTTGCATAATGGGAAGACATGGTCTGGGCTTCAGCAGAAATAATGAAGAGCTATAATTCTGTATCGAAGGATAAAAATCTTATTTAAAATAACCAAGCAATCCCCCCTCTTTTTTTTAAAGATACAAATATCAGGTCTGAAAGTACATTCATAAAAGAAAAAAATTCTCCCTGAGATTACCAGTGTCAGCTGCATTGTGGTAATCTTGGAATTGACAACATCATCAACAAAAGTATATAAACCAGATTTGCCATGGTATTACATATTTTCTGCCAGAGAGATTGCACATCTGTAAGACAAGTGTAATAGAGTGGAAAATCAGGCTCATTTGCCATATGAAAAAGGTCATGTGGTCCCTGGCTTAATTTTATAATGTAAGATGGAACATCTTTCTTTGTAAGTTAAGTATGCTGGAGCTCTAATGAAAGATTTGCATGCTTTATTATGCATAATTGATTTAGCACTATTTTTTTTTTGTAAAGCCTGAGTTTTGCTCCCAAATTATAATGTTCTCAAAATGCAGATTTCCATAAATGATTATTCATTAATACAGCATTACATAGTGTAGTACCCCACATGTTCTAAAGAGCACTGTCTTTGTAGGTATTTATAAAATATTTGACAAAAGTTTGATGAAATCCAACATTAAAATATAGTAATTATAATTACTAAAGGGCAGATCAGTTGTAGATAAGAAATAAGGATGCCATGTTCTTACTATGTTCTTAAAATCACTCTAAAGGCCATCAGCTATACTACTGCTATTTATTTTGCATTCTTCACCACTTTTAGAGTAAACACAATTTTTAAAGTCAAGTTCTACAAGATAACTAAATAAAAACAGAAGGATTTAAACATATCTTCCCGCAGTCTGATTTTTAAACTGTTGACAGTTTTATTTTGATATACAATAACCATGCAACTGATTGCATTTGGGATGGGAGACAGGAGGGGGAAAGCCTTTCCTGAAACCAAAGAAAATACATATTTATAGGAAAATGGGTAGGAAGCTTTAAGTTTCTTCTACGAAAATTTGTTATGCAGTAATTACAAAGTTTAAATACTCTTCCATTTTAAATAAAAATAAAAGTGTCATTAAGCACATTTATATTACCATGTCAAGTGATTCCAACAAATATCACATAAAATACAGTGCATTTTCAAATCAGAGAGACAAAATACTTTCTCATTCACAGTGTTTGACATATTACAGGTAAGCTTGTTCACATAAGGGTTTATTTTAAGGTCATGCTCTTATGAACAGTCCACACCACACTGTGCCACACACAAAAATAATCTCTCAGAATGTGAAGTAACGGGCAAACCATTCCTGACGTTGTGGATCGGGTGAAGCCATTGGAGAAGCTTCAGTCTGAGGAGGGCTAAATTCATAAAAAGAAAAGACAGATTTAACCTACAACCAACAGTGAAAATGCAGAAGGCCTGGAAAAAGCACAAAGAAGCCAATACATAGCACACGATGTTTGCAAATCAAGTATCATGTCATAGGATAACCTGATTTAGTTTAATGCCCATTTCTACTATTTCCGATCATCCACTCCATTGGAGAGCATCAGCAGCACATGGTCACTAAGCCACATAAGAGGGTGGGGGAAAATAGTATTTTTGGGGAGGCGGGGGAATGAATGGGATGGCTGCCTTTTAAAAAAAATGTACTGTGGGGAAAAGCGATTTTTGGAAGATCCTCTTTTAGCATCCTTTTCTTCTGGTCAAATTAGTTGTCAGAAGTATGATGCAAGCATCATATTCTTAAATACGTGCCGAATGAAAACTAAACTATGTATTTTAACTGTTTCATAGCCCAACTAAATTATTGTAGGTTCATGCACATGGGGTTAGATATGTTTTAACAAGGAATTCAGTGCAAAGCAAACACACTTGCCACCCACAAATATAATTCCCAAATATACCTGCATGATGTAATCTTTATATTACTTTAACGTGCTAGTAAAATGTAAATGTTAGAAAAATTAATAAAATAATCCCTACCGTTTTTGGGGGGTAATACAAGGCACGAAATAATTTGCAATGGAAACTCCAGCATCGCAATCCATGAATTCATGCACATGCATGTTAGTGGCGCCTGAGCAAACATGCATACCACATGCACAGGGAAAAATAAGGAACATTTAATATTACAGGAACTCTACTTTGCCTTTAAAAAAAAATACTATAAAATTTTATCATTCTCTCTTCTGCCCCCAGACTATATTTTGCAGGTAACACTGAAGTGGAATTAAGAAGCAGTATGGAAAGGGCTTTTACTCACCAGACTATCAAGCACTATATATTTGACTTAATCTGATAGTAAAACTCATTCCATCACTTCCTAAAGCAAAGCTAAACTTGGGTATTTTAATGCTGAAACCCAGCATTAAATACATGCAAATATTTACACATATTCTAAGCTTGCTTCCAATAAAGATTTTATCTGAGGTAAGGAAAGGGAATAAATCAGCACACACTCATCTAACACAGAAAACAGTTTTGTCAGGTAAGATCCACTGTTACACAATAAAGACCTTTAATATGGGGATTGTAACATTCTGAAAGGACAGCTAGTAATAACACAAACATTTAACACAATTGTTCATAAATGTAAACAATTGAAAGCACATGAACCATACTGACTGTGTAGTTCATTAGAAAAATGAAAGAAGGGTTCCAGACTTATTAGAAAGGGGAGAGGAATTACATTTCAACAAGTTTTACAATAAAAAAGGAATACTGTAAAGAGGCTTAAAATATAGTGTGAAAATTAAGATTCCAAAGTAAGATTTGTACTCCTGTGTTGTTCTTAAAGACATGTGGGTTCAGCTAAAAAGAAATAAAAAATTTCTCCAAGTTAGGAAAAACAAAAACTGGTGAGGCAGTGCTCACCTCAAAACCGTCTTGGGCTCTTTGGGTGGTATAGGATGTGGAAGTGGTCTGCTGCTGTTGAACTCAATATCATGGATGGGTGAATTTGGAATAGGATCCAGGCGGTTAGCATGTCCATTGCCCACTCCACTAGATTCCAGAGCACTTAGATTGGGGACACTCACAAACCTGTTTGCTGATTTATCATTCTTCTTCTTTTGCTGCATTGAAAATAACAAATGTAAGGAAGGGCCTGTACAGATAAGGAAATTACTTGGGCTTTTAAAATTCTCATTTCATTGTTTCACCTGAAAGTGAGGGTTTGGATATTATTTATTTATTACAGTTTTAGTACAGCTGCATTTAAAGCGTTCTCCAGAGGGATACAAAAGTTAAATGCTCCAGCCAGTTTACTGCAATATTGAAGAGCTTGACTTGGCTTTAAATAATTTTGACAGTTTTAGGCTGTATGCAGATTTTTCTTCTTAAAGAACAATGTTAACTTTCTTGTTTACACTAACATGGTATTGGTCCAACTACAGAAATGTAGTGGGAGAATCTGTTAGTTTCTAGTCTAATTACAGCCTCTTCCCAATCCCCATGCAACTTAAAAGAAAACTAGTAAACTGCACTCCTAAAGGAAATCTGACAGATAGAAAAAAAACCCCTCTCTATGAAAGTATATAATGGGCTAGATCAAGACTTAGTCACAATGAGGGACCCACAAGTGGGGGGCTGCTGAGGGCCCAGTCAAACATGGCACCACCCTGGTTCCACAGTACTTTGTATAGGACTATATTATCCACCAACACTCTTTCTGTGGCCATGATCTTTCTAAAATGTTTACTCACAAATGAAACTTGTTTAACAAAGGTCTTTTAAAATATTAATTAAAAGTTTCCTGTTCACAGAGTCTGCTTGTTTAACTGCTTCCCTCTTGGTTCTAACTGGAGAACTGATTGATAGCTCCTTAATTGCTCCTTGAATAATCAATCTCTTAACTGCCCTAGTGTCAGTTTATGTTCTCATTGTGGTGGGGGGCAACATTTATTACAGATCTATTCAGTTTATTATTCTTTTCATATTTTATGTCAAAATAAAACTATAAGGAATAAAAATAATGAAAGGAAACCAGTCATTGAAGCCTCCCTGGTGAGAACAGAAAAAATACATAAATTGGGACAACTACCATAGTTTCAAATCGACAGTAAGCAATAAAATGGGAAGGAACTGTAAATAGGAAACTTTTATCTAATCATATCCGAGACCTGAGAAGCCTCAATAGTACTTTCCTGTCTACACTGGACAGGCTGGTCAATTGTGTTTTATTGCCGCAAAAAAGAGAGCCACAAATCAGGTATGACAGGAGTTTAATACTGAAAGCATTTGATAGCTACACTTTGACATTGACATTGTCCCAATTCTTTGTAAAATGCGGGTGAACAAAGAATGGCAATTCCAGAGGAAAAAGGCTAGTGTGAAAGAAACCTTAGTGAGTTTTTCCAGCCGCATGCCAGGCTGTTTCCACTAGATGGCACACATGGATCTATTCTTCAGAGTGAAGTATCCTTACTGCAAGACTCCAACAGACAGATGAACTGGTGATGCCACTAATAAGATTTTAGTATCAACCATTTATCAATTTGCAAAAACCAAACAATTATTTGCTTTTTTTTTATCAAGTCAAAACTTCAATTTTGCCATAACATTTGTGATGTTTTGGTTGGTCCTAATAGAAAAGGTATTGTCAAACTGGGTTTTACTTTTTTTTTCTAGACCAACACTGCTTCCCTTGCTTTTTCTCCACAGTGTGCATGGGATTTGGATCTCAAGAAACAACTTCATAATGACTGCACATCCCCTGCACAATTGAATAGTCTTCTAGAAGGGGCCTAAGAGATCAAACCGCAGAAAGGATTAACAATGTGGAGATTTGGAAAAAGGAAACCTCTGTGTCTGCAATAATTCTTAAAAAGGTTCGGGTTTGTCGTCCCAGGCAGTAGGTTGTGGGGGACAGGAAAATAGCATCCTGCTCTGATGTTGCTGCATGTCAGAGGGGAGAGGCATACCACCAACCTCTGAAGTAAGTGGAGCCTGGCTGCAATATAAGGAGTCACCGAGTATGTGCTGTACCTTTCTCTCTCATGCCATGTCACTGTCAGGACCAGCAGGAATGTAAAGGAGGAGTCAGGGCCTGAGGATGAGGAGGTATGGCTGGCTATGGCCTACCTGCTTATTAGAAGACATGGGTGACCATAGAAAGCCCTGCTTCCTTGCCCTCTCCAGGAAGAGAAGTTGAGAAACTACAGTGGCAGAATATGACATGAACCTGCAGGCTTCCTTCTCTTGGACACTACTGAGAGAAGGAAGCCTGTATGGGGCACAAAGGGGAGAAAGACTTTTGTCCCTTCATGCCCTGCCCCCCTGCTGCCAGCATCTTGCCACTGATAGAAAGAAATCTCTGGGGGCGTCCTTCTTTCGGTGGTGGGTGTGGAAAGAGAGAAAAAAATCCAGTAAAAACAAAACTGCACACTCTAAAACATAATACAGGAGCATATTGCTGCATCATACACACTCCACTCTGCCCGTTCTGTCTCCCCAAGAACCAAACTTTAAGCCTTGGGAGAACAAACCTTGTATTCTGCTTGTGCTTTGCTTAGTGGGAAATAAACCACAGCGTAGGCGTGCAGAAGTGGGCACAATTCAGCAGCATGCACTAGCACACTGCTCATTGAGGAGAAGTCATCATTACTGACCATGGCTTACTGTTACTGATGCTGTTGAAAACCACATGCAGCTGGCTTTCTTTTGTGTGTCTTTCACAGTGTTATTGATCCTTTTTATTTGTGTAATATTAGTAATTCACGTTTTCCCAGTTTCGACATTGTAAATGTATGACATACCTTTACCAGAGGGTTAATAACACCAACATTAGGACTTGCATTAAACACCTTGTTGAAGTTAGTCTCCCTATTGACTAGTTCCAGTTGATAGAATTTCTTGTCATCCTAATGAATAACAAAAAGATTAAAATAAATTTCTGTATCAGTCATCTTGGATATTAAGTTACTGTGGCCAGATTGACATTCACTCACTCAAGAGCTCATTGATTACTCAAATCTGAAGGTTTAGAACTTAAACTCAAAACTGTAACTCATTACCAGAAGTCTGAAAGGTGGTCATTTTCATACTCAGCATAATTCTTACATTCATGAGTGTGCCAGAGTGATCCAACTTCATCCTCTACATGGGGATTTTTACCTACTTCCTTCTTTTCATGGACAGCTGTACAAAGAATTGCATTGGCATTCATAACTTCCTAAAAATTCTTTGGATGCTGGGATCATGCCACTGTTTTCATCTATGTCCCAAACCACATTTGCAAGTTACTTCTATATCACAGCAAGGAAAGCCACCAGTGGAATCCACCATAGCTGGGATGAAACAATGGAATTCTGAGTTCCTGCTGGGCATGTGTCCTTGTGCTAGCATGCAAGTTTAATAGGAAAAATTGCAGTGGCTCACAGAAATTGGCTACTCAAGAACACCACTCCACCACCCAAAAACACTGTTTTTTCACTTTGTACACAACATCCAAGAAGTTCAGAAGATAAGAGAATTATCATTTTGCACTCCCCACCTCCTCCAGTTTATGAGAGCTCACTTAGGGTTCCCTGTTGGAGGCTCCCCCAAATCCTGAAGACAGCACAGGGAAAACTAAACATTATTTTGAGAGAAGACATTAAAATTACTTTAAAATTAAGGAAGTAATTCCTTACTTCATTTTGGCATGCTTTTGAACTTACTTTGTATTTATAATTTAGGTCTTTACAGAGTGGTAAAAGAGCAGGTCTAAATCCATTCAGGATTATGACTGTTCTACCATATAAAAACAAGTAATTTAAGGGGTATCCAATGCAAGGACTGTATTCTCAGGAGATTTGACAAGAGTTATTAGCCTTTGGCATGCTCATACCAAAAGAGCACCAAACTGTCTTACAATCAGTTTCTTTATTAGCTGATCCCTCTCAGCAATCAGGTCTTTCAACTCTGCAATAAGCTGTACATCTTCTGGTCTTGATTCCCTGTTTTGATATTTTTCTTCCATTTCTTCTAAACTTTATAGGAGACAAAACATCACCCATGGGTTAATAATAGTCCGAAGTTCAGATATAATGCCATAAAAATCATGCTATCAAACTAACTCAATGAATAAACCACAAGAGCTATTATGTGATCTTCTACATACTAACTGATTTCTTTAATGGTTGGCTACAATAAAGGAAATGGCATTTTGAGCTTGTGGGCCACCATCTGCCATAATCAGAGTGGAAGCCACATAACCGATGTTTACTTCTTCCCCACAAAAGATACTAAAGCTAAAACAACTAAAACAAATCCACAAATGTGTAAGACAGTATCAGACTAACTGCTGAGGAACAATTTAGCAAGAACAGTATAAGTGCCACAAACGACAAATGGCAATTACATCAAGAAAATCGTGAGATGGCTTTAAACAGGGAATGAAGAAGCATTAAAGGAGAGAATGGAAATAAGCACACCAATTTACATAGAAGCTGTAAGGAAAGCCTAATAAAACGAAGCCTAGCATTCGTAGAGGTTAGTAACTTTTGAATACAACTGTAGATTGCTATTTGGTATTGAATCATTATTCATATTCTTGAACACTAACAAATGGGTTCAGAATATTAATTTCCAGATGACAATAAATGAAAGGGCTAATTCACAATTATATCTTGTAGGTAGGCCATGTTGTGGGGTGTGGGGAGCACAGGTGTGAACTGGGGCTTACATGATTGGGCTGTGAACCTGTCCTGAGCTATCTATCAATTATGTCTGCATGAAAAAGCACTTTTTTCTAAAATTACTTTCAGAAGAGGCAATGGAATTACAAGTAGGTAAAATACCTTAGAAAATACCTTCTATCAGTCAGTTAGTAAACCCAAATTTGACTCTCAGAAGGGCTCTTGGACTAGATCTGATGCAGCAGTTTCAAAGGAGTATGTATATAGAAGTAGACACTTGATTTTGATCATACATTACTATCTAAGCTTCAGGCTCAGATGAATGACAGATGATGAACAAGAGTTTATTCAGTCCATCTCATATCCTAGCACTAAGATTATATCCCCTGGCTAATTGCTGTTAGTCTGGTTGTGTGGAAAGTTTAAGAGAGTCAAGTAGCTCAGATTTCCTTATATGGCAGTTTTTTCAAGGACACAATATTTTTTAATCTGACCATAACCATGTGCACAAAAATAGTGTAAGAGATGCTTACAAACACTTTTAAGTAGAAGGGGAGATGGGGTGTGTGAAGAGGTACAGTATCACATAAAGAGGGAATGAAGATGGAAGAAAATCAAAACTAAGGCCAAAGTAGCAGTAATATGATGAGGTGCTTCTCCTAAAGATTAAATTCTCACTTCAAAGAGATATAAAAATGCATTTGTTAGCCAGTGTATTAAAATAGTAAATTTAGGCATGGTTGGAGCTTAAGCATAGCAAGGGACTGAGATTGTGTTTGCATGCTCCACATTCCCTAGAATCATAGAATCGTATAGTTGGAAGGAACCCAAGAGTCATCTAGTCCAATCCCCTGCAATGCAGGAAGCTCCTGCAGCCAATCGGAAGCCATGGAAGCCCTGCTGGACGTTCGGCTTCAAAAAATAGTTCGCAAAACGGAACAGTCACTTCTGGGTTTGCGACATTTGGGAGCCAAAACATTCGGGAACTAAGCTGTTTGACTTCCAAGGTATGACTGTACTGTAAAGCTGGAAAAAGGTTCTGAAAAGGTTACATCATTTAGGTCTTTTTTGGTTAGAAAAAAGGTGAATAAGTGGCGGACATGATAGAACTGTATACAATTATGCATGGTGTGGAGAAAGCTTTCCGCCCTCTCATATAATACTAGAATCCGTGGTCACCCAATGAAGCAGAATGCTGGATGATTTGGGCCAGACACAAGGAAGTACTTCTTCATACAGCATGTAGTTAAACAATGGAATTCGCTACCATAAGATGCAGTGATGACCACCAACTTGGGTGGCTTTAAAAGCGAGAAGAAAATTCTTGGAGGATAACACTATCAGTGGTTACTAGCCAGGATGACTGTAAACTCCCTCCAATATTGGAAGTGGCATACTTCTGAATGCTAGCTGATGAGGACTACAAGTGGTGAGAGTACTGTTGTGTTCATGTCCTGCTTGTGGGCTTCCCAAAAACATTTGGCTGGCCCCTATGAGAACAGGATGCTGGAATACATGGGTCTTGGTCTGATTCAGCAGGGCTCTTCTTATGTGACTGAATACTCTCCTGGACACAGAAAAACCAATATGTCAGAGAAAAGGACTGTAAGCCTAGCTTTCAAGCCATGTTGATTTTTTAAGTTAAGGTTTCTTTTTTAATCTAGAGGCATATTCAAGCACTTGAAGCAATCTACCTAAAGCTGAAACACTGCTATTAAGTTTGGATTGAAAGTTTGAAGGTATTTTTATGTTAAAAATAATAATTTCATAAAAAGAGAACCAGTCCACTAAAGAACAGTGAACTCCACTTCCTACAAATTCCTGCAGAATTGAAACAAAACTACCAAAACTTTCTTTTTCTTCTACTACATTTTACTGCTATTGCAGGACAAAAGAAAATAAAGAGACAGGGACAGAGACAAGAATAACTGACTTAAAAAGGACAGCCAAGGATGAATCAGCCACAGAGATTAAATCAGACACAGTTTTCAGAATCAAACTTTTCAAGGCTTATCATATATGTCCATATTTTGCCTAACTGTTCTTTCACTAATGACAGGCTAAAGGAGCCTTATCAGAAGTGACACATTTGTGGAATTCCCTCCTCAGGAAAGTTTGCCTGGTGCCAACACCCTTGTTCTCCCAGGCTTTTAAAATGTATTTTGAGCTGCAGTCCTATCCATACTTGCCTAAGACCCACCAGTGTCAATGAGGCTTTCTTCTAAGTAGATATGCATAGGATTGCACTATTCTCTAACATGCTATATTTTATCTTGTTTTGCAGAAAGGCTGTGGGTGTGTCTAAATTATTCCATCAAAGTTAGTGGGTACACCCAAAAAAGACAAGTTTGGGCTTCTTTTTGAGAAGTTCCTCCACTTGTGCATGTCTCTCCAATGTCCATCATAATTTACTGAGTAATACTGTAGATCATTCCATTCAAACTCTGCCCACATACGAAATGGTTTAATGTAATAAAACTTACGAAATTTGTAAAGCTGAATTAATTTCCTTGAGCAGCTCTTGGGTCTTATTAAAATCTGCCAGCATGCTTTGTCTTTCTCTGATGTGGTCTGCTGTCATGACATCCAGCTCTTTCTCATGTTTCTTGTTTAAATCTTGTTCATGCAGCCTGTTTAATTTATTTTATGTTAAAAAAGGTTATTCTTACACCAGCTTTGTTCATCTTGACTTCCTGCCATCTTTGAAAAGGATTTGTGCATAGCATCACTGAAAAGAGCTACAAAATCTAATTCTGCTATTTTTGTTTCTCTAATCGTCTAGCTTATTTCACTAAAAAGTCATCTCCTTTAATGCTTTGCAAATAAGCATGGTGAAATGTAAACAAAAATATACTTAAGGGCACTTTAATAAATATTAAATAGTAGCTTATGATTGTACCTTACCAATAGCTAATGTCCTCTAAACTCTGCAACTTGCAACTATTGTGGGCAGTCCAAAACTTAAATTTCACTATTACTTCATCTGACATCAAATGGGCATATGAGTCTAGCAATTTGAATCTGACTGCCTAAAATATTCTAGGTAAGTTTCAAAAAATCAAGTACAGCCCTTCATTAATTTTAGGTTGCCAAATCAATCAGAACATATTACCTGATATTGCAAATATCCATACCTAATTTGTTGGTTGGATTCACTACGTATTCTGAGAACCTCCTTCCCTTTAAATTCCAGTTCCTTGGTTAGTGCACTTATGTTCTCATGCAGAGCAAGAATCTCCTTATCCAGTTCAGATATATGGTGGTCTCGATGCCTCAATTCATCCTGTAGATCTGATATCCGGCAAACAAACTCTTTTTCCTATCAAGCAAATATCAATAAGAATACTTTATATAACATATTCTTTGTATGACACACTTGCTTCTGGTTGAATAAACATAACTTACTTTCCCACTTTTATATTTCTAGTTACTAGATAAGAGTAAAGAATCAGATTACATTTAGAAAGGCTACAAATGGCAACATATAAAGAACTATAGATAGGCATTTGTACCTCCCGCCCCTACTTTGCCCCATTTCCTCTCCTCTGCAAAATATGGTGATCATGTTAGAGCTGAAGGGAGGGCTGAACCATCATTATAAAAAGTACTTATGGACTTAGAGACAGAGCTGTGCTTTTCTACACACACACAAATTTCCTGTAGGCTCAAGACTAGCACCTTCATGCTACCCTCTGCTGCCAGAAATACTCTCCAGCAGCACAAGTGAAGTGCACATGTGCAATCTTCCCAGGAAGGGTTTGGGTGAGGTACTGAGGTTCATGCTGACCTTCCTGCTATTTTTCTGCAAGATTAGGTGGTCTCTGCCCACTGGTTCCCTTGAGCATTATTAACTGAAAACCAGGGGTGGATTTTCTAGATCAAACCTTGTTTGCAATGCATGGAAATTGCCATGGATCAGTTTTTCATACATGCACAATTCTGTTTTAGCTGTTTTGGAGGGAAACGACCTCCTTTGGTTTCTCTCTCCCCATTTTTGTATTTCTGCAGACCTCTAGGTTCACTTGGGCAAGCTGATACCTCTGTCTTGTCCATAGTTGGTGCCATTTGCCTACATAAGCATCAGCACTTAGTCTATGAAGTTGGAATAGAAGAAATGATATTGACTGAAAGGAGCCAGTATACTAAACAGGTACTAAAGGAGTTGCAATTTTTCTTAACGGCGAACATATGCTCTGTGCCCATAATTAAAAGATATTTACTCTCTTTTGGCTATGTGGAAGATATATACCTGGTGCCTGCTAAGCTCTATGCTTCTTTCAAGTTCCATTTTAGCAGCTGCTAGTTCTTGTTGATGATTATGTCTTAGTTGATCAATTGCTGCAGCATGCTGATGGTTTAGTTCTGAGCGCAAAGATGCTGGAACATAATAAACAGATTTTTTTGTATAGTTCTACAAGTAGTAACCCAAACCACACATATGTATAACCATGCATTTATTGCTTTAGGGGAATGACTAGACACGTAGTTTTTAACAAATTTGTTTTCCAGCTATGTTGCCTCCTTTAGCTGAAAAATGTTAAATTTTGTCATACAATCAATAAATAAATGAGTGAATAAATGGAAATGTTTATCAATGTAACAGTAATTATTATTATATATTAAAATTGTGCTGAATGCCAAATTAAGCATTAAAAACCTTGCAGAATTTTATTACTCTGCGGTGGACCTAGGGTAAGCAATATGATATTTCATATTACTACTCCAGATACTTTATATTACAACTCCCATCAGCCTCAGCCAGCATTGCCAATGATCAGGGATGATGAGAGCTGCAGTCCACTTCATCTGTAGGGCACCATGTGGCTACTCTTGCCAAAGGTAATTTAAATACTTATTACATTCCTGGCACTCAAACTGCAGTATTTTGATGCTTGAAAAAGTTAGCCATTGTGAGTTGCATGGAATGTGGTTACATAAGTGTTGCCTATAACATTCAGTGAGAGCAACTCAGTTTCTGCCTCATTTTGTGACCCTTTAAAGTTTTATTTCAGTTTTCAATAATTTATGTACTTTTTTAAAGGCTGTTTTTCTTCTTTTCACAGATACACACCATTTTGTGACTCCATGTGTCCACTAAGCATGCTCAGTGGATTTTTTTGCGTTTACAGGTTGCTCTCTTTTTGCCCCCCCTCCCATATTTTCTGTACTTCTGCAAATCTCAGGATTCCCACATGCACGCTGCTACTTTCCTGTTGTTTCTCAGTGACCCACTTTTGGCTCTATTTTTGTGAGCACGGGGACAAAGAGTTTGCTCTTTAAAAGGAATTATTAATGAATGATAGTGATATGAATAGGTGATATGCACAAATTTAACACTGAAGAAAAGGGCCTAGTAATGAAAGACTGGGACAAAACAGGCAAGATGAGGGATAGCACAAGACATCTGTCTGAAACTATCATAGGAAGATGTGTATTTCTCAAATTTGGCACAAGTTTCCATTAAAAAAAAACCAACAACAGGAGCATTATCCTGAACAGGAGGTGATAAATAACAATACTGCACCAATAAAATGGGTAAATTGTGCTATAAAACTGTGGGTATCAACTACTTAGAGAATAGTCAGCTTTTCTTCAGAAAAAGTCTAAATGTAGCCCAACACACGGGAAACCACCCATTTTCATTTTTCTGTATATTGGGCAGCACATGCTATCTGCCTTCTGCACCAGAAGTAATAGCTTATGTTTTAAATAGTCACATGAAAATACTGTACCAAGCATAGCTTTCCCTTCATCTTCTAGTTCAAAGCGAAGAGTCTGCAGTTCCTGTTCCATTTCTAGTTTGAAAGCATCCATAGCTTGCCTGTGTGCTTCTTTCAGCGCATGAAGTTCTTCTAAGTGCTTCTGTTTTAAACGTTCCTCAAGTTCCTAGCAAATTTAAAGGAGAATTGCTCTATGTGTATAGAAAAATATTCTTATCAATGAGGCAAAATGATTGCTAATTAATAATAATAAAACAACCCGCTGTTATTAACCTTTCTTTTTTTGTAACTCCAATCCCACAACCTAGAGTGTAACCCCCTCACTTTTCCATTTTCCCACTTTCTGGACAAAATGTGGGTTGTTAGGGCTTTGGTTGGGCCTAGAGGTAAGGCCTCAAGAGTAACTCATACCTCTACACATCCCTCCTACAGTTCAAGAGAAGTTAGAACACACATGTGTAGTTTCCTCTATGCCTCTCCACCCCTGCCTTTCTCCCAGTACAATGTTTCTTTGGGTGCCTTCTGAGTTCTCAAATGAAGATAAAAAAGTTCTCTGGAGTAATATCTCATAGTTCATGTTAACATACTGAAATCTGAAAATGTTAACATGCTACAAAATACTGAATGAACATGCCTTTTGCTCTTCTTCTTTTGTTTCCTCCATGTTCTGAAATGCAAGGATATGTGCTTCTTTCAAGGACTTGTGTCTTTGTTGATGCTCTTCTTCTAGCTCTTCAATCTCTTGGGCCAGCCTCTGTCGCTCCTGGCTAAATTGTGCCTGAAGTTGCTGCATTGAAGTCTGAGACTGGGAAAGCTGCATTTCTAGATTCTGCTTCAACAGGGAGATCTAATTCACAGAAAAGCAAAGGTAACTAGAAATTCAAACTATAAACACTGTGTTTATATTTACTGATAGATATTTGAGATTTTTTATTGTGGTCACAATACAGAGAAGTACAGAGATCCACAAGTGTGGTGTCCTGCCTTGCCAAATAGGAGCCCTCCCACACTGCATCAAGCAGTTTCTTATATGGTAGATGAAAGCTGGTGGGCAGCGGAGAGACTACAGGTGTACTGTGTTCACAAATGTTCTTGCATTTTTCAACATTTCCTCTCTGTATTGGGGCCTATTTTGCTTAGTAATACATTCTGGTTAATAGAAATTTGAATACCCAACTGCATGCAAGTCAACTTCTGTTTGCACAACAGGACTTTCTCTTCCTTTCCCATCCAGCTTCTAGTGTCCTCAAAATCTGCTCTAGAAAGATGGGGGACGCTATAGAGCAGAACCTGGGTGCATGCACAATGGACTACAGGGGGGAGGAAAGGAAGGGAAAGTCCCATTGTGTGAGCAATTTTGTTGGGAAGTTGGCCAGACATCACTGGATGTCACCTACAGTATATGCCTAATCAAGTATTACTATGAACTATAACTAATGAGCAAAGAAATACCACATAGTTTATGGAATGCAGATTAGCAATGTGTCATCACCAGCTGTTTGAATGTCAAGTGCAATACACGTTTAGTGGATTGCAATCCTACAGCCAGCTGAAAGCCAGTTCAGTGGCCACAGAAAGTTAATTCAAGTGCTGCACCACTGGCAGAGAGAGTGTCCTAATGGTGGGATGGCGCTTAAGCCGCTGGAGGACCTCAATACACCCACTGAAAAGTTCAAGGATATAGGTGTCCCACTGGTAGTAGGGGCCAAAGTGAGGCATTTTGGTGTGCGTATCAGGAGCAGTCAAAGATCCATAGGATTTTAAGCCCCCTTGTTTCTCCAACACACCTTCAAAAATGGCATGAAACTTCATCAGCCCTGGGGGGATATGGTGGAGTAATGTCCCTTCCATTGGAATAAACAGCAGAGGTGAGGAATGAAAAATCTGTCACCATCCCATTTCCTGGCCTGGTTGAAGTGAGCCAAAATGGGTATAGATATGTAACTGCAATCCTACACACACCTGGGAGTAAGCCCCATTCATCCCAATTGAACTTACTTGCATGTAGACATGCATAGCATTGTGTTGAGAAATTACTTATCAATTAAAAAAGATTCTGTTCCATCACCGCAGTCAAGAGACTAAATATCTGTAATTTTTTTTGCCTAATATGTACTACCAAAATCAATGCTAATAATTCTACAGCACCTTCTAAAGAAAATTCATATCCTTTAACCCAGCTGTAATACATGCCATTATTATGAATTTGTGGCATAGCTCATGCCTTCAGAAATCAATCTAAAGGCCCACTGGCAGCCTTCAATTCAGTAGATTATTTTCTACACGCCCAGTAATAGGCAACATGGGTACTAGCAGGGTAGAGAGCAATGTACAAACCACACAGGCTACTCCTGCTCTGGGCAATGATTCTCACAGAGTGAGTTATGTAGCACCACCCAGGACACGTTCATCAGGCAATAAAAGAGAGTGCAACTTTAAATCCAGCACGCACTCTTACTAGCAAAAAATGAAGCTCCACTGCAGAGGCTTCTGAGGTATGACATCACTCTGCAACGGTGCTACCAAGTCATTTTGATTTGAGAAACACCATTCCAAGACTGAACTCACATGAAACAACAGCGTGGACTGAAGCCCCTTTAAGATTTGTAGTGGGGCATATGGTTTTCCAGATTGATAAAGTTAACTGATAAAATCATTGCAGTCATTAGTATGCTCTGCATTAGTCTGCAGTGGTTCATAGTACAAAACAAAACAAAACAAAACAAAACAAAACAAAACAAAACAAAACAAAACAAATTTATTACTTATACCCCACCCATCTGGCTGGGTTTCCCCAGCCACTCTGGGCGGCTTTCAACAAGAGACTAAAAATACATTAAAACATCAGTCATTAAAAACTCCCCTAAACAGGGCTGCCTTCAGATGTCTTCTAAACGTCAGATAGTTGTTTATTTCTTTGACATCTGATGGGAAGGCTTTCCACAGGGCAGGTGCCACTACCGAGAAGGCCCTCTGCCTGGTTCCCTGTAACTTTGCTTCTTGCAGTGAGGGAACCGCCACAAGGCCCTCGGCGCTGGACCTCAGTGTCCAGGCTGAACGATGGGGGTGGAGACGCTCCTTCAGGTATACTGGGCAGAGGCCATTTAGGGCTTTAAAGGTCAGCACCAACACTTTGAATTGTGCCCAGAAACGTACTGGGAGCCAATGCAGGTCTTTCAAGACCAGTGTTATGTGGTCTCAGTGGCCGCTCCTAGTCACCAGTCTAGCTGCTGCATTCTGGATTAGTTGTAGTTTCCTGGTCACCTTCAAAGGTAGCCCCACGTAGAGTGTGTTGCAGTAGTCCAAGCGGGAGCTAACTAGAGCATGCACCACTCTGGTGAGACTGTCCGTGGGCAGGTAGGGTCACAGCCTGCGTACCAGATGGAGCTGGTAGACAGCTGTCCTGGACACAGAACCGACCTGCGCCTCCATGGATAGCTGTGAGTCCAAAATGACTCCCAGACTGCGCACCTGGCCCTTCAGGGGCACAGCTACCCCATTCAGGACCAGGGAGTCCTCCACACCCACCCACCCCCTGTCCCGCAAAAACAGTACAAAAAAAGTCAGTATAGTAAGGATAGTGGTATGTATTAGTGGTAATATTTAATATAAAGATTGAACTCGCAAATTATAGCAGGATTTTAAATGAAGACACATTTACAGTGTGATACAGGTAAAACAATAAAGCAATTATTCTAATTACTGATCAGATTTTGTAAAAGCTAATATAAACACTACATATATAAACGAGCAAGCTGAAAGACCGCTGCGACAAATTCTAGTGCCTGCACTAAAATTAACTTGCAGTCATGATAAATTTTTAATTCAGAATTTCCCTTCCCCCATTCTTGGTTTTCTTTATGTATCTGTGGGAACTAGCAACCTTGAACAAAAGATTTAGGGCAGGAGCCCTGACAACAAAAGGGACTTGAGTAGCCTCTTAACTTTGCTACTACAAATTATTTAAGTACAGTGGTACTTCTGGTTATGAACTTAATTCGTTTCAGAGGTCCGTTCTTAACCTGAAACCATTCTTAACCTGAGGTACCACTTTAGCTAATGGGGCCTCCCGCTGCCACCGCCATGCAATTTCTGTTCTCATCCTGGGGCAAAGTTCTTAACTTGAGGTACTACAGTGGTGCCTCGCAAGACGAAATTAATACGTTCCACGAGTATCTTCGTCTAGCGGTTTTTCGTCTTGCAAAGCAACCCTATTAACGGCTTAGCAGATTAGCGCTATTAGCGGTTTAGCGGCTATTAAAGGCTTAGCGGCTAATAGGCTTAGCGCCTATGGGCCAGAGGTTACACAAACCCTCCATTATCAGTGGGAACAGGACTCAGGAGTGAAAAGCAACAACAACCCTACACTTGCCAGTGTCAGCAATGCAGACTATGAGCATGCTCAGATATATTCATTTCAGAATAATGTTTAATTCTATAAACTGCAGTTTTCCTTCCTGATTAATGAGTGAGTCAAGAGGGAGAAAAGTCTGCATTTCCCAGATTACACATTGGCAAATAAAGCTTAGAAGCAGCATTAGCTGATGTATCACATCCCTCTTCGGACACCTGCTAAGTGGGGAAGATGGAAACTGGCAGATCAGAGAACTGGTGAGGAGCCATTACAAGCTGCCAAGGCAAAATTTGAAAGGGAATAGGCTTAATGTTTTCTGAACTGAGAGAGGTTCAAACACTCCCCAACCTTCCAAAATTCTTGTCCACCCTTAAACAGTACTTCTATCTACAGTAGTCCTACCCCTTCCTGTTGCTGTGTTCCACTCTACTTGCTACACATTATACAGGGCCAAAGCAAGAGTTCTACTCTTGACTTATATGTTCCTGCAGTGCAAGGTCTACAATTAAAGTTCCTCCTAAATCATTTATCTTGGTTGTGATACCTAGTATATTCAGCTTCTGCTCACACATCACCGAACAGACTTGAACATTAGTCCAATTCTCTAAATAAAACCTGGAAGCAACATATTTCTTATATGAATTAAATTAATCATTACCAATTTTAACGTATCAAGGCAGATACTATGTAAAGAATATATGCTATTGGAAGTTCCATTAAAAGTGGCAAAATTAAGGACAAACTTTTACGTGTAATACATGCATGCGTGGAATATATTATTTTATGCATATAAATCAATTTTTAAAACTTGCTATCCCATTTTGAAGTAGAAGAAAAGGATGATAAAAATCAGTTTGGTCACCTTAAATAAGTGGACTGGATTACTAGCTGCCTAGCACTTAATATGAACAAATTGTATATAAAGATTCTATTTTAAGCTTCCACATTTTTAAATCTTTTTCTTTTGCTTCTGTTAGTTATCTATTGTAATGTCTCATTTCCTATCCTTGCATTATATTGTTGACACAATGGCAACCAACCTACTAGAATCTGATAATAAATTATGAAAAAAGTTCCGTAACTGTGCAGAGTTTTAATGATCCATAATATATCTCATCATATAAAGAGCCCTATTAAAATTGCACAGAATGTTAATGTTTCCCCAGCATTGATCTTTTACATTCATATAACCATTCAGTGATGAGGTAGATTTCCAAGTTAACATGCAGTAATAGAAATAATCCAATTATGTTAATCAGTATAAATATCCTTTTTGCTCTTCTTTTATCTTTCCATTTGGACAAGAACAAATTTTAAGTTTTTGTCAAAATGTATTTGAGTTAAACAGTTTATTTCTTAAGAAATAATGTTAAATAAATATTATTTTTATTATTAACCACCGCTGCAATCCAAACTGTGCCAAGAGTAGGCAGTGGAGAAACATGCATACAGCCTGTTTTCTTATAGTTTCTACTGCAGCTGATTCTCCAACTGTGTGGAGTAACTGTCATTACTGTAACTTTCCCCCCCTAAGTTTAACCTAACCCTTTCCATAAGAGAGGCAGGAAGGGTGAGACAGGAAGAAATAGAAAGCCTTGCCTAGCAGGCAGTGGCACTAGCAGCAGAGCCAATCAGTGAAAGCAAACACCAGTGAACTCAATGAGATTTATTTCTGAGCAGATATCTGTGCTGTAAAATACTATGCAACTCTATGAAGCCTGCAACTAAAATGACACCCTGTACCTGCAAACTATTGTTAGTCATTCTAGGAAAAGCTCTACCTACAAACTTTTTTTAAAAAATCATAAATTAATTGCCACAGGGCAGGGATGGTGAACGTGCTGCGACCCACCCTAACAATTAGCCACACTGCCTTGTTGGGCTAAAGGGAGATAAGAGTCCATCAGTAACTGAAGAGCTGTACATTTCTCATCCCTGCCGCAGGGGATCTTCAACTGTTTTGATTATCCTAAAGACCAAAGTCAATATTCCAGGGAGTTTTCCTAAACATTATGTTTAAATGTTAGCAAGGATCCAAACAGCCTTAAATGAAGTGAAAGGCACTTCCTTATGCAAAAAGGGGAACAAGTGATTTATTCCTCGCTGCATCACAGCCCATTGCATTACACACCTCTCTGAAAGGTCTCCTGACCATCACAAGTGGCTTTTCAGCCATGTATGTGTGTGACAAAGTAAGTGAAAGATAGAGAAGCTACATCATGTGTGTATGTATTGCATAAACTTAATAGCGTATGACCTTCTGGTGACCATTGAGATCCCACTCATTGATTTTTAAATCTTTGTAGAAATAACAGAATGAAATATAGTAGCCAAACCATAACTGAGTTGCATTATTTATATTAAATTGTAACACGGTACCACACATTTCCATGCTTTAGAAAAAGCTTTATAATGTGCAAATGTACTGCCTGCAAGCTTGCTTTTACATCACATAAAATGACTGTGTGATGTTTAATGTCAAATGATATTAACACATACACATACAAATGAATGAATGAATGCAGCGCAGAGCTTTTTATGAAATTAATGTGTAAACTCTTCCCTTGAACAACATTTCTTTACTGATTTCAAAGGCTCTGAAGCAGCACTGGCCAGTATGCAAGCTGAGAAGTGCAAGCATGCCCTCATGTACATATTGTAAGTGCAACTCACTTACATTGCTGATAGATTTATGCAAAGCTTCACCGAGACAGTGCCGCTATGAAGGAAAGATCACAGGAATAAAGGGAAATATTCAGAAATAACTAAGAAGATGGAATAAAGAAGGGACAGTAAAACACAGAACATTATATTAATTTAAGAAGGAAAAATATGTTGAAAATTGGGCGAAATTGACACAGAACATTTTTGCTATGGCTTGTTATGGAAATCCACTGAACATATTAAAATCACATAAATACAATTTGTGGTCCCATTTTTATAAGAGTTAAATATTGGGAGGAAATTTGTGTATGCTCAAGGATTTTATCATGCTCCTGTATTAAATATTTTTTTCCTTTGATCCAAATTGACACATCTACTTCAGTAAATATACTCTGGAAGAATGGCCAAGTATCTGTTGCATTTCACTATTAATATTTTGTTAACAAAAGCCCTTCAAACATTTTAAACAAATGTTCAGCTATATTTTGACATACATTTTGCCATCGTTTTAAACAAGGTGGCAACATGATTAAACATCGACATCTATTTTATTGCCAAACTCAAACCAATCTGTAAATAATTTGGAACACAACTGAAACTTTTTTTTAAAGATTTAGTTATGGATGTTCCTTAAAATATGTATTTTAAATTGTCAATCCATAGCAAAATTACATTCTACATATAATACTTTAATGTCATTTAATAGGGGTGTGCACTGGTCACAATTGTCAATTTGTATCTGTCTTTGGGAAGCAGTCCAATTTGTTTCAGAACCATTCTGTGTCTTTCCAACTTGACATTATTGGAGATCGAATTAAACCTATTGAAAATTAAGTTTTCTTTTCCCCTGTCCACTATAATCAGGAAACTACAACAGCTATAACTTTTTTCACAGAAGTGGATGAAATGTGCAGGCATAGAATCCCTCCTTAGTGGATTAAGCCTTCCTAATTGTAAGCAGATACAACTAGGGAACTTTGTGTGCGGCATCTTTACAAATTGATTTTCTTAAAAACAAGTATTTTTTTCATGTTATGACATAATTAGATTCAGTTTGTAGAATAGGTCATACCTTCAGAGAGGACGAAGGCTGCAAAATTTCAGAATGATACATGTAATAGTTCTCCTACAAGTGCAGATCTTACTATTTCAGAGTGAGTACTATGAGACTCTTGGAAAGCAGCAACCATGATGTAAAAATAGCGTAGATTCCCAAGAAATGACCCTTGTTACTCCAAGGGTCATTGATAGGGTGGGCTTCTGCCTCTCCCCATGGATTTTTGGGGCTACAAAAGAGACCTCTTCATTGACTTGTTTTGTGAAAAACAAGCAGTTTTTAATGTCTCACACATCACTGTGATTGGAGTACCCTGGGAAAATAATTCATACTGATTCATAGAAGACCTGTCCATCAAAATGAAACATCTCCCCCACCTCTCTATCCACTCCCCTCTCAAGCTCTTGGCGTTTCCCCAGTCAGTTTGTTTTGGTTTTTGAGGGCAGGGTGGGTGTGGAAAGTAGAGGCCACGGAGTAACAGAAGCCTTAGGAGTCTGTGATCCACCTCAAGATGCCTTGTTTATAGTACAAACTGTAACCTTCCCTGTTTCACATTCAGGGTACACAGAGCCGATGCACACCCCTACCATTTATTAACAAGCTGAAGATGTACTGTCAGCATGTATAAGTGGTACATCACCATATACATCAGATGCAACAAATATATGATCAATACAATTTTAAAAATTGAATGATGGGTAATTTCATTTCTGGATACATGATTTATGATTCAGGCACCAGTTATTTCAGATTAGTGCGAAGCAAATAACAAAAAAAACCTAAGCTATACTAATTCCCAGATCTAGGAAACTGCAAAGCTACATTCATGGCTAAGCCAGCTTGATGTATTAAGATTCCAAACTCTGAACTACTCCTCTGAAAAGCGGGTCCTACACTCTTTGCTTGCTGAGATTGGATGTCAGATACATCCTTTAAACCTGAAATTTGGGACATTATGCTTGTTTACTTTGGATTTTATTTGATTTAATGCTAGGAAATTGTTATCTACATAGAGTAGACCCACTGAAATTAATGCACTTAAGTTAGCAATGCCCACTGATGTGTCTACTTTGAGTATGACTTAATTGTAGTCAAACTAATATTTGTGTGTGTTGAGAAAGTCCTGGATGTGATCCTGAATTGTTGTTTGCTCTGTGTGTGTGTGTGTGTGTGTGTGTGTGTGTGCATATACTAACAGTCAGGATCACCTATATTCTCTATCAGAGCTACCTCATAGTCTAACATACTTTTCAGCCCTATTTCTTTCCCCTTAATGGGGAAAGCAAAGATATTATTTTGTGTCCTCAAGCCCGTGATACTTAGTTCTATCTCTAATTTCCAAATGAAGTCTACGAGACCACATTCTGAACCATTATCTCAATACAGTGAAGGCCTGGTTGGGGACTGTGTAGAACCAAAAGGTGCAAATGTCCCGGAAGGCCTGTAACTGCTATCTTGGTAGTCAAGATAACCCCAGGACTAATTGGTGTGAGCTGTAACATGAGATCACACATGTTTATCTGCTTGTTTGAAGCCTTCTTTGGGATAGAGGAGGCTTCTCATGCTGCTTGCTTGTCAGCTGCTTGCTTATCTGAGAGATGGATAAGAGCTGGGAAGGGGCCTCTAAGCAAGGTGTGAGTTAATTGGACCATTGTTGCCTGCTTAATAAGTAAACCATATATGATTAGCACTTCATGGACGAAGCCAAAGTGCTGCTTGCCACTTCAGCGGCAAGGAATCCTGCATTACATTGCAGTATGTGAGTATCTTGCTATACCTGTAATATAAAATACTACAACTGATAGCAGTCATCTTTGAGAATTCCTGGAGAACAGGCGAAGTCCCAGCAGACTGGAGGAGGGCAAATGTTGTCCCTATTTTCAAAAAGGGGAAAAGAGAGGACCCAAATAATTACCGCCCAGTCAGTCTGACATCAATACCAGGGAAGATTCTGGAGCAGATCATTAAGCAAACAGTTTGTGAGCACCTAGAAAGGAATGCTGTGATCACCAATAGTCAGCATGGATTTCTGAAAAATAAGTCATGTCAGACTAACCTGATCTCGTTTTTGACAGAATTACAAGCCTGGTAGATGAAGGGAACACAGTGGATGTAGCCTACCTTGATTTCAGCAAGGCATTTGACAAGGTGCCCCATGATATTCTTGTAAAGAAGCTGGTAAAATGCGGTCTTGACTATGCTACCACTCAGTGGATTTGTAACTGGCTGACTGACCGAACCCAAAGGGTGCTCATCAATGGTTCCCCTTCATCCTGGAGAAGAGTGACTAGTGGGGTGCCACAGGGTTCTGTCTTGGGCCCGGTCTTATTCAACATCTTTATCAACGACTTGGATGATGGACTCAAGGGCATCCTGATCAAATTTGCAGATGACACCTGTCAGAGCTGCTTCCAGATCCTAGCTCACAGAGGATCACGCTAGCCAGCGATCATTAAACAAAAGTCTTTATTGAGTTACAGTTTCCATTCTCAAACTGCTGCGTGCAACTCTACGTCTCATGGTTAGACCGGCGAAGCTCCGTCTGAGTCTCCGCCCCTTGTACACCAACTTAATATCCTAGCCCTGCTCCACCTTTTCCGCCTGACTGTTCTTCTCTGGGTCCCTCTGCCCCTGGGGTCTCTTCTTTCCGGGATTCCTCTGACGCTGACGCTGACGCTGACCCCCCCTGACTCTTCTCCCTCCTTTCGGCGGGCTTTAGGACCTGGCTCCCTTTCCGGGCTGCCTACTGTGCCACCTTCCTGTGCATTTGAACTTAGCGCGCGCGCCCAGCCTTCCACCTTCCGTCTGACCGTTTCTTCGGCTCCCGATGGAGGTGTGGCCACTCCTGACTCGTGCCCTCCCCCCTGTTGTGAGCTGCCAGCGCTTGATCCCTGGCTCCCTTCCTCTTCCCTGCTCTCTGGCGGTGACGCTGGTCCCGATTTCCAACTGCTCCCCTCTGAGTCCCCTCTGGCTCTATCTTCCTGGGGCGTCCACCTAGGCTCCCCCTTGCCCTGGCCACTGGTGCTCCTTTCTGTGAATCTTCTGATTCACTGGAAAGACTCGGAGATCTCGGGTCGTCGTCATCACTCATCTTTTCTTCTGCCTCCTCCCCCTCGCTCTCTGTTTCCTCCCTTGCCCTTGCCTCTGCTCCTGAACCCCTGACATCCATCCCCCCCGCGAAGCCCCCACTTACCCCCTCCCCACCGTCCGGTGCGGGATCGGGGTGCTGCCGGGTCAGGGGGACGGATGTCGGATACAGTTCGCTTCCCGTGGCGGGCCGCCATCTGAAGTCTTCCGGTTCTTCCTCCCTGCTCTCGTTGACGACGGTCACCTCCGCTTCCATCTCTGTGCCGCCGTGCTCGAAACCGGGTCGTCCCAGCGTCCATGTCCGTCTCTCCCGTTACCTTCTGGAGACGTTGCTCGTCCTGGACCCTCCAGCCACCTTCTGCGGAACTGCTCCTCTGGTCGATCATCCCACCAATACGAGGGTTCTGAAGCAGATCCCGAGGGTGACCCCCCGGGGAACGGGCGTCTCGGGTCGGGTCCCCGTCCGAGTCGAACCCCGGACGTGCTGGCTGAAAGCGTGGGCGTGAAAAGCCAGTCGTCGAAAAGTCTGCTGGCATTGGCCTATGTGGGAAGAGGGCATGAAACTCTTCTTTGAGCAGAGGTTCGTCTAAGCGTAGCCCGGCACCCAGCTGTTGGCACTGGCCGGGGTGCCCTCCTTGGCGAGAAGGTATTCTACCCCTCTTCCCCCATCTGGAGTCCAAAATCTCCGTGGCTTCGTTGATGCGCTCCTCCCGTGCCACTCCCCCCTGCCCGGTTCTCTCTCGGAGCGGACCCGGTGCCGTTCCTGGTTCCTGAAACCTGTGAGGTGCCTTGTATGGAGTGAGCACCGATCTGTGGAACACCGGATGCATCCTGGAACCCTCCGGAAGAGCCAGCCTGAAAGCCACCGGGTTGACCTGTTCTTCGACTTGGTAGGGCCCCAGTTGTTTATGCCCTAGTTTCTTCTTCGCCAACGACCTGGCCGGCACTGCGTGGGCTGCTAACCAGACCCAGTCTCCCACATGGATCTCTTCGCCAACCCTTCTGTGTTTGTCCGCTTGTACCTTGTATGCGTGTTTAGCCAGCTCCAGGTGCCGCCGCAGCTGATCGTGGACCTCCTGCAACTCCGGCGCGAATGCATCTGCTGTCTGCGGCTCCCCTCCCCCATTCTTTCCAGTCCCGGGAAGGTTCTGGGGTGCCTCCCGTTGTTGGCGAAGAACGGCGTGACCCCCGTGGACACGTGCTTCGTGTTGTTGTAGGCGAACTCGGCGAGAGGCAGGTAATCCACCCACGTCGCAGGCTGTTGATTCGCATAACATCTCAGGTACTGCTGCATGATGGCATTGACCCGCTCCGCTTGCCCATTGGTCTGCGGGTGTCTAGCCGACGCCAGGTTGATCTTGACGTTCAGGAAGCCCATCAGCCTCTGCCAGAAGTTCGAGATGAACTGTCGCCCTCGGTCGGACAGAATAGACCGCGGCAGACCGTGAACCTTGAACACGTGGTCTATGAACAGTTTGGCGGTTTGTTCCGCCGTGGCCACCTTCGCACACGGAATGAAATGTGCCATCTTGGAGAACAAGTCCACCACCACCAGCACAGCCGTCTTGCCCCTCGAGCTGGGCAGATCCGTGACAAAGTCCAGGGCCACTCTCTCCCATGGTGCGAGCGGAGTTTGCAGCGGTTCCAGCAATCCGGCCGGCGGTCTGTGCACTGGTTTGGCCCTCTGGCAGGTGTCACACCTCGCCACGTAGTCCGCGACTTCCCCTCTCATTCCTGGCCACCAGAAGTCTCTGGCTACTAATTCCACCGTCTTCTCCTTGCCAAAGTGCCCGGCAGTGGGCGCGTCGTGCAGCTGCTGCAGTACCTTGGCGCGAAGTTCGTCTCCCGGCACGTAGATGGCCCCTTTACGGATGAGCAAACCATCTCGCAGCTGGAACTCGTCGGTCGCTGCCGTGCCCCTGTGCGCCTCTGCCATCTTTGCTTGCGCGAAGGAGTCATCCTGCAACGCTCGTCGCACCGCCTCCAGGTCAACTGTTGCCGCCGTGCACGCCCACACTGTCGGTGCGAAGATGTGCATGGCGGCCGCTGGCGTTGCCTCCTCCAGATACTGCGGCTTACGGGAGAGAGCATCCGCCATGATGTTGGTGTTCCCCGGGACATACTCTATTCGGAAGTCGAAATTCGCAAAGAACTCAGCCCAACGTATCTGCCTCTGGTTCAGGAACTGTGCCGTGCGCCAGTGCTCTAGATTCTTGTGGTCCGTGCAGACCTGCACCGTGTGCTTGGCGCCGATCAGGAAGTGCCTCCACGCTTTGAGCGCTGCATGAATGGCCAGCAACTCCCTGTCCCAGATGGTGTAGTTCTGTTCGGACTTGCTGAGCTTCCTTGAGTAAAACGCTCCCGGCCTCCAAACCCCCTGCGGGTCCTTCTGCAGCAGGACTGCTCCCACGGCTCTGTCCGAGCGTCTGTCTCCACCCTCATCGGCTTGCTGGGGTTGACATGAAGCAGTTGCCCTTCCGACGCGAAGAGGCGGCTAGAGTGCCTGAAAGGACTGCTCCGCCTGCTCTGTCCAGATGAACTTCTTTTTCTTGGAGCTGAGCGTGTCCGTGATGGCCGCTGTCTGCATGGCAAAGCCTTTGATAAACTTGCGATAGAAGTTCGCAAAGCCGACAAACCGTTGGACCTCCTTCCGGTTGCGTGGGCTTTTCCAATCCAACACTGCTCGGACCTTGGCGCTGTCCATGGCGAGCCCTTTATCAGACAACTTGTAGCCCAGGAAATCCACCTCCGTCACGTCGAGTTGGCACTTCTCCAGCTTGGCGTAAAGCCTATGTTGCTGTAGCCTGCTCAGCACTTCCTTGACGTGTCTGTCATGCTCCTGCTGCGATTCCGAAAAGATCAGGATGTCATCCAAGAAACAGACGCACGTCTTGTAGAGGAGCCCCGCCAACACGTGATGCATGAGCAGCTTGAAAAGCGTGGGAACCATTTTGCAATCCAAAGGCATAACTCTATATTCGTAGGTGCCCAGGGGCGTGAACATGGCTGTCTTCCACTCATCTCCTTCCCGCATGCGAATGAGGTTGTACGCCCCTCGCAGGTCCAACTTAGTGAACACGCTGCCCTTCCGTACCTTTGCGAGGAGGTCGTCGATTCGGGGCATGGGGAAGTCCGATGGCTTGGTCACGCTGTTCAAAATGCGATAGTCCACTACAAGTCTTTTCTGGGGCGTGTCCCTCTTCTTAACAAAGAATACCGGACTGCCCCCCCGCTGCCTTGGACTCTCGGATGAAACCGCGCTCCAAATTATGATCTATGAACTCTTTGAGTTCCTGCAGTTCGTCCTCAGACATGGAATACAGCTTCCCTTTGGGCAGCGCCGCCCCCGGCAGCAGGTCAATTTTGCAGTCATATGGTCTGTGGGGGTAGCCTGTCTGCCTCCTTCTCGCAGAAAACCTCCAAAAATTCTGCGTACTTGTGGGGAACCGCTTGCAGCGTGCCTAGCTGCAGCTGTGACTCCTCTTCCTCTCCTTCCTGCCGGGGCACGATGCAGTGTTCAGCGCAAAAGGAAGAGCCGAAGGTCAGCTGCCTCTGGTACCAAGCCAGCGTCGGGCTGTGCTTGTCCAGCCAACTCATGCCCAATACAATGGGCGTGTCCGATAGTTGAGTGACATTGAAGCTGATGATTTCCCTGTGATTCCCAAGCCGCATCACCATTGGTGGCGTCTGCTTCACCACTTGCCCCCCTAGCAGCTCCCTGCCATCCACCGTGACAACCTGCAGGGGCAGCGTGGCAGGCAGCAACTGTATAGCGTGCCGGTCGACCCCGTCCTGCCCTATAAAGTCCGCAGTGCTTCCGGAGTCAATGGTGATTGGCACGTCCATGGTGATCCCATTGGGCAGCTGGAGCGACGCGGTGAGCCTCACTACGGTTTTGGGGGGTTGGGGGTCCATGGGCTGTAAAATCTCTGGGGACTGCTTCACTGACACGTCTGGCTGGGCCCCAGTGCCTCTTCCTCCAACCAGACTCCGTCGTTTCCCTGCTGTGGTTCTCCTTGCTGCGTTGCTGCAGTTACCATTGCTGAAGCTGCAGTGTGCTTGTGGAGCCTCTGGGGACACTCTTTCGCCATATGCTGTGGAGCATCGCAGATGTAACACTTCCTGTTCCCTCTAGGAGGCTTCGCTTTCACTGCTGCCGGTGCTAGGGCTCTGGCTGCTGACTGAGCCCTTGCACCTCCAACCTCCATAGGTTCCGCTCCTCCTCCTGGCGGAGGCGTGGATTGCGCACGCGCTGCTTCTCTGGGAAGGAAGGAGGAGCCCCTGGCTGGTTCGCGCCCTCCACGCCCTTCGTCCCTGCTCCACGGACGTTCTTCCAGCCGCACCCCACCGCCAGCGCCCTCTGAACGATCTCCTGCGTGGTCCGGGGTCTCTCCCCCCTCGCAATTTCATCTTTAACCGAGCCGTGCAATCCCTCCCAAAACAGGTCTCTTACAGGAGCCGAATCTCTGTCCCATTCCAGAGCACTGACCAAAGCGAAGCGGGCATGGTACTGCCTTACGCTGGCCCTCCCTTGCTTCAGTCCATGTATCTGCTGCCGAGCAAGATCCACGTCAATGCTTGAATAAAAGCACCCATCCATCGCTTTAATAAAGGCATCCGCATTTTGGAGCGCCGGATCCTTATCTCTCCACAAATTGCGCAGCCATGCTTTAGCATCTCCATGCAAATGGGACATGATGAATCCACCTTCTCTTGCTCATCTCTAAAGTCTTTGTCCAGCAGTTGCAGTGCACACATTACATCTGCTCTAAAGTTGGGGTACTGTTGCAAATTCCCATCGAAGTGAGAGACCAGACCGCCTGTTCGTCTCCCCAACCCAATCCCCTCCGGTTTGGGTGTCAGTTGCCCTTGCTTCGTAAGCACTTCCAACCTGACCTGGAGATCCCTGTAGGCGGCAGCTGCGTCCTCCTCTCTCTTCCTGGATGCAAGAGCCTCGGCATTCAGTCGTGACACTGCTTCTCTGAGTTCCGCTATCTGCTGTTCGGCCGTCATATTGTCTGCCTTTCGTGAGCTCGCTAGTAGGCACCCGCTTTCTCTCCTCTCCGCGAGGTTGTAGATGCCCACAATTTAAAGAGACGGAGCTTACTGTCAGAGCTGCTTCCAGATCCTAGCTCACAGAGGATCACGCTAGCCAGCGATCATTAAACAAAAGTCTTTATTGAGTTACAGTTTCCATTCTCAAACTGCTGCGTGCAACTCTACGTCTCATGGTTAGACCGGCGAAGCTCCGTCTGAGTCTCCGCCCCTTGTACACCAACTTAATATCCTAGCCCTGCTCCACCTTTTCCGCCTGACTGTTCTTCTCTGGGTCCCTCTGCCCCTGGGGTCTCTTCTTTCCGGGATTCCTCTGGCGCTGGCGCTGACCCCCCTGACTCTTCTCCCTCCTTTCGGCGGGCTTTAGGACCTGGCTCCCTTTCCGGGCTGCCTACTGTGCCACCTTCCTGTGCATTTGAACTTGGCGCGCGCGCCCAACCTTCCACCTTCCGTCTGACCGTTTCTTCGCTCCCCGATGGAGGTGTGGCCACTCCTGACTCGTGCCCTCCCCCCTGTTGTGAGCTGCCAGCGCTAGATCCCTGGCTCCCTTCCTCTTCCCTGCTCTCTGGCGGTGACGCTGGTCCCGATTTCCAACTGCTCCCCTCTGAGTCCCCTCTGGCTCTATCTTCCTGGGGCGTCCCCTAGGCTCCCCCCTTGCCCTGGCCACTGGTGCTCCTTTCTGTGAATCTTCTGATTCACTGGAAAGACTCGGAGATCTCGGGTCGTCGTCATCACTCATCTTTTCTTCTGCCTCCTCCCCCTCACTCTCTGTTTCCTCCCTTGCCCTTGCCTCTGCTCCTGAACCCCTGACAACACCAAACTGGGAGGGGTGGCTAACACCCCTGAGGACAGGATCACACTTCAAAACGACCTTGACAGATTAGAGAACTGGGCCAAAACAAACAAGATGAATTTGAACAGGGAGAAATGTAAAGTATTGCACTTGGGCAAAAAAATGAGAGGCACAAATACAAGATGGGGGACACCTGGCTTGAGAGCAGTACATGTGAAAAGGATCTAGGAGTCTTGGTTGACCACAAACTTGACATGAGCCAACAGTGTGACGCGGCAGCTAAAAAGCCAATGCAATTCTGGGCTGCATCAATAGGAGTATAGCATCTAGATCAAGGGAAGTAATAGTGCCACTGTATTCTGCTCTGGTCAGACCTCACCTGGAGTACTGTGTCCAGTTCTGGGCACCACAGTTCAAGAAGGACACTGACAAACTGGAACGTGTCCAGAGGAGGGCAACCAAAATGGTCAAAGGCCTGGAAACTGATGCCTTATGAGGAACGGCTAAGGGAGCTGGGCATGTTTAGCCTGGAGAAGAGGAGGTTAAGGGGTGATATGATAGCCATGTTCAAATATATAAAAGGATGTCACATAGAGGAGGGAGAAAGATTGTTTTCTGCTGCTCCAGAGAAGCGGACACGGAACAATGGATCCAAACTACAAGAAAGAAGATTCCACCTAAACATTAGGAAGAACTTCCTGACAGTAAGAGCTGTTCGACAGTGGAATTTGCTGCCAAGGAATGTGGTGGAGTCTCCTTCTTTGGAGGTCTTTAAGCAGAGGCTTGACAACCATATGTCAGGAGTGCTCTGATGGTGTTTCCTGCTTGGCAGGGGGTTGGACTCGATGGCCCTTGTGGTCTCTTCCAACTCTATGATTCTATGATTCTATGATTCTATGATCACTATGAAGATTTGTGCATCTTTCTTTGGAATCCCTGCAACTGGGACCATCGGGCCATCAGTCAATTCATCACCCTGGTCTGTATTTGGACCCGAGGGACAGAACAGGACTAACAAATTAATTTCAGACAAGAGAGAGGTGCTGTTGGTCAGCAGACAAGCTAATTTAGGACTGTGAGTACAGCCTGTTCTAGATGGGATTGCACTCAATTTGAAGGATAGGCTTTGCTCTTTGGCAGTGCTTCTGGATCCAGCATAGCTCCTTGATGCCAAAGCAGCTGCTGTATCCAGGAATGCTTTTGCCCAGTTTTGGCTGGTGTGTCAACCCTTTTCTGGAGAAGGCAGCTCCGATATATCACCTTCAAGCTAGATTTTTGCAACATACTCTATATGAGGCTGTTGCCTTTTAAGTGTGTTCAGAAACTGTAGCTGGTACACAATGCAGCAATCAGATTGCTTTCTTGTGTATGTTTCTAAGACCATATGACACCAACCTTGTTTGGTGTTTCCAGGCCCAACTTAAGGTCCTGGTGGTTACCTATAAAGCCAACAGCTTATGGGAGGGGATCTGAAAGACTGCCTCCTCCAATATGAACCAATCCAGAGGCAGAAATCATTTTCTGAAACCCTTTTGTATGGCCCACAAAAGAGATCCAATTGGTGAGGATGCTAGATAGGGTATTTTCTGTACTGGCACCTCAGTTTATGAAACTCCCTTCCTAGAGACATTAGACTGGCCTCATCCCTGCTTAATTTTAAACATATTTTTTTTGTTTGGCTTTTAGTGTTTTTTAAGTTGATATTTTGTTTTAATGTGTTACTTATATTATTGTTTTAAACTGTATTTTCTTTTCTTGCAAACTTGCTTAGTGGCCCATGTTATAGCCAAACGGTGATACAAAAACATTTTAATAAACAAACAGTGAAATTTTATGGCTATCTACTTACAAGTTAGTCCCAATAAGTTCAATGGGACCTACTCTCAGACAAGCTGATCATAGGATTTAAGGATTAAACCATATTCTGTTTACCACATTTCTAAAATGCACCTATAAATGTACTTTTTCCTGAACACATCAAAATCCATAGCTTATTGTATTTAATTTGTGTGTGTGATGCTTTTTAGTTCTGTTGCAGAACAGGAATATTTGGTAAAGTTAACTCACTACTTTCAGGAGGGGGCATCATTAATTTGAAACCCATCAAAGATATGATGCAATAAAAAATCTTCCAGTATCCATTAATGGAAGACATATGCGTTCCAGTGGAAACTATGCTGAAATTATTGTTTCCTTCCTGTGACACCCATCCCTATGCTTTGTCTGCTGCATAATTTTTACAAGTCTCAAACTGTCCATCCTTAAATAAGTCTTTGTCTTTGTATACAGCCTATCACAATTATTTGATTTCTGCAGGTAACATTTGTAGAACATATGAAGGTCCTATGAAGAATTTCCATACATAAAACCAGGTGGCTTCCAATGTGAACAGATATTTCAGCAACAAACAAGAAACTTATTACTGGATAGTCTTCAGTACCTACATTTTTGCTTTTTGCAAAATGTGCATAGTTCAGATGGCTGTTGTGGATTTAGCTCCTCTCCTTTGTATATTGTGAGCTGTTGGGCTGCACTGGGCATGGATGCTTAATACGTTTATGTTTTTCATTTTGGATTTTATTGTTATGCATCAGGCTCTGAGTAGCACGAGCTTTTGAGGGAGAGGGATATAAACAAACTGGTGAATAATAACATTTCCCCCAATATTTTAAGCTAGAGTCCTCTCAGATGTGAATCATACAGTTAAAGTCTGTCCTTCAGGTCCACAGTTGTACATTGGAGAGAGCAGATACCATGGCTTAGCCCTTACAGATTTCCCAATTCACTGCTAATCAAAGCATATTCATATATTTCATATAATTCTGTAACAGACACAGTGGCCACCGACTTCAGCATATGATTTCCCTCCTTAATCATCCAACTAGCTCTACAACAATTTATCCCTTTTCAGATGTAATTTCACAACAGTAATAAAACATGCTAGTAATCATTCCAGTTACCTGATCCAAAAGATCTTCAACTTTCTTCTGCCAGCTATCTCTGGCAGCATTTTTCTCTCTCTCTTTTAGCTGCAGAAGTTGAGTCATTGCTGACTTTTTATCCTCCTCATGCTGAAGCCTTAACTCTTCTCGAAGTTTGGTACATTCCTGCCTAAGAAGAATAAGCAGAACTAAAACTTTCTGGCCTTTAATAACACTATAAAAATATTATTGAAATGCACAGTTTGGTCACATAACTGCATTTAATACATGCTTTGTTGTAAAAGAAAAAAAATAAAATAAAAAGGGCACTTGCCGAAGATTTTCTGTCCATTTTATTTCTAGATCACGGGCCATTCTGTCAACCTTGAATTTTTCCTCTTCCCTCATAGCTACAATCATTACTTCATGCTGCTGTCTTTCCTGGTCTAGTTCACCCTAGGAACACAAAATTCAAAACATAGATAAGCAGCAACAAAATGATTTCATGACAATATTTTGCTCGGAAGCAATGTTAGTGCCTTTACTGAATGCTCAAGCAGTACTAGTGATTTTTTAAACTGACTGCTCAAGAATATGTTTTAGTTTGTATATTTTTATGCAATTAATTTAATGACACCTTAAAAATTTGTATTTTGATAATATTTTAATTGTATGAATTGAGTTGCTTGTTCCTATTAACTATTCATTAAAAAAACAAGGATTTTCAAGTTCATCAGTGTTATGTAGATAAAACAGATCCTGACTCAAGGATCCATGATAACTTTTAGGTACATGCAAAGGATGCTTGATATGTGCATAAGAACATAAGAGCCCTGCTGAATCAGACCAATGGTCTATTAGTTCAGCAACCTATTTTCCACAGGTGTCCTCTGGATGCTTCTCAGAAGCTCACAAGTAGGAAATGAAGGATACAGTCTTCTCTTGTTGCTTCCAGCAGCCGGCATTCAATGACATGCCAGCTCTGAATCTGAGGTTAGAGCCATAATGACTAGACTCATTCCCCATGAATTTGTCAAATTTCCTTTTAAACACATCTAGTTTAGAGGACAGTAGCACATCTGAGTGAATATAAATATATGGGGTTACAGTAGACATTAGAATAAATAGGAAAGCTTCTCTCTGTGTGTAAGGAGAGGGAACTTCAGATGTGTAAAGCAGTTGCCATGAATCAGAGTGAGGGAGCTGGTATCCTGCAGTTACCTGAACATTATACAGAGAATCAGTGGTCTCCCTCAGTCTTGCCCTGGTTAACTCCAGTTCTTTTTGTAGTATTTCCTGGGTTTCCTGGAGATTGGAGATGTGCCCTTCTGCAGTACCAAGGCCCTGTTCACTTTTTCTTACTAGATCTTGTAATCGACCCATCTACAAAAAGGAGAGAAAGAAGTATTGATAGTTTAACAATTTCAGATTATGAACTTGTGTATGCTGAATAGTATAGTACTCAGTATATAGTTAACTGAGCATGACATACTTTTGTGCATATTTCCCCCTATTTAAATATAATCTTCATACAGGCAAAACCAACCCCACTCATAATTTTACTATTCACTACTATTAAAAAACAAACATACACCAAACATTTCAAACAAACACAAGTATCACAGTTTCCTAAGATTTAGTCTTTTAAAAAACAGGTTATAAAATACAATATTATAGATAAGAGAGGGCTGCCAAGAGCTACTGTAATTTCAAACATGGTTGGCAATTGCAAAGATATATCCCCTATATGCTGAAGCTTTATTCATTATGCACACCAGTATTCTGCAAGAATGTAGACAGCACTGCATCCAAGCACACACAACTTGCTGTTTGAAGTCTCATGGCCTTCACCCCATCAATATCTGGTAAGGAGACAAGCTTGCGTTTACGAGACTATACCTGTATTTTGAAATATTTCCTAAAGGATTGTATTAGTCAGGAGTTGCCAACCTTATTATTAAATGTTTTTGTAACAGAATTTTGTGGAAGGCAATTCTTTTATAACTTTACTTTTGCAAGGATTATCTCAAATAGAACTTCAGACATTTTTAACACTACATAGTGGACCTTTGTTATATACGCTAGCAGTATATAACAGCTGCCTGCAACTGGGAATGCATGAAGAACATGCAATACAGATTACTTCCAATTATATCCGCATGAGATAGACTAGTATACATATTTTGGTTAATATTCTCTTTTTTTGTATTTGTTTGCTTATGCATAAATATCACCCTAAATTAAGCTTTCGATTCAGAACTACTGACAGTATCAATGAAGCTGAATGTGAGGAAAATGCAAATCAATAGTGTGAATAAGGAAAAATTATCCTTCCGTTTCAAGTTTAAAAACCAATAAACCATGAAGTACATGTCTCCCTTAAGAGTCTTCAAAGCAAATAGTGAACCTAGTACACAATCTCCTCCTAGAGAATGAGTAACTAATGTGCCACTTTCCAAAGCAGAACTCATATTTTGCCTGACTTGGAAGCTCTATATACCCATATCCCTTCATCCAGTGGCCTCATATACCCATCAATGTTCTTGAACATAGGAGGAATTTAATTAAACTTGAACTTTTACTCATTGTATTTTGAAAACTAGCTTGGTAAAGCTGCATTATTGTTTGTTACACAAGTAATCAATACCACCCTTTGAAAAGAGATGACTCATCTACAGTTATTTGCCTTCCGCTCTGTATATATACATTTGCATATTCACTTCTCCACCAGCGGTCCACCAGCGGTCCACCAGCCACCACTCCAACTTCAGATTCTATTTTCTAAGAAAAGTTGTTGAATAGGTGGACAGTCTGCAGACTCAGACATACACAGATACTGTCAGCTACATATAAACCTTCTTGCCTGGCTTTTTACCTGGGTATGCAGCAAGACTGAAATTGCAGTTGTGACTGAGAATCTCGGCCTAGATGTTGAAAAGGGAAATAGCATCCTTTTGATTCTTTGGCAACCTTTGATAAAATGTATAATTTGGACCAAGAATTGAGCACTTGGTCTTACATGATCGACATGGCTTTGGATTTTGTATTTCACAGCAGTACACCACATAGCATTGGAAATTGCTTTTGAGACTGGATATTTACAATTCAAAGGAATACAAAATCTCCCTAGGCATGTACAAGTCCTTGTTACATGCCTGTAGTAACTCTTTGGACCTTGATCTTGGCATCATTGTTTGCATCTGAAAGATTGCTCCCAAGAGACTATACTTAGGCAAACATTCATCACCTCTTCGAGGTTTTATTCACAGCAAAGCAGTACAGTGGACGCTTGGGTTGTGAACATGATCCGTGCGGGATGCACATTCACAACCCGCAGAGTTCGCAACCAGCGTCTGCGCACGTATGGGTTGCGATTCGGCACTTCTGCGCATGCGCAAAGTGCGATTTAGAGCTTCTGCACATGGGCGACTGCCGAAACCTGGAAGTAACCCGTTCCTGTACTTCCAGGTTTTGGCAGTCCGTAACCTTAAAAAAAGGAACCTGAAACGTCTGTAACCCGAGGTATGACTGTATGTAAATGTTGTTAAATATATATAAATAAATAAATAAATAAATAAATCTCCTGGGGATCCTGCCTTTGGTGACCCATTGGGATCCTATTTTACTCCCTTCTTGTTCAGTGCAAATGTGGGGCCACTTTGTTCTGCAACAGTTTAGACGCTAAGAGCAGAATCTTATAAATGTCTACTCACAAGTTAAAAAAATAGGACTTACGGTAGATGTGTAGAGGATTGCAGCAATAAGTAAGCAGCTTTTATTCTCAGCAGTCCCTAATCCATTTATAAGCTATTTATTAGTGTTTGTATGAAATAATGAATAATTTAATGAAATAGTTTTAAAATGACAAATTGGCTTAATTGGCTTTTTCTGGATACTGAACCATTTCTGTGACAACTTATAAGCGACATTATTATCTGTAAAACTGACATTTTAAAAATGTTAGTTTGTAACTCTGAAGCTGAGCATATAATTATTTTTTATGAGAAGGATCAATAGTTCAATAACAGTATTTTTAAAAGAGCATCTTAAGAATGCAATAAACATTAGATTTTCCTGTTACTAACCAATATACCATCTCTATCAAGTTGTTTAAAATAAAAAGCCACTCCTCTTCAGGACTGCAAAATAGTATATTAAAAATGAATGTACAAATGAAATTACAAATAAGAAATACTTAGCACAATGTTGCTCACAAGAAATATGGTCCTCAGACTGAAACAGGTTCTCCGCCCTGGTATACTGTATGAATGCCTTTGTTTGTATAAAAAAAGAAGCTATAATGCAGACATCCCCAAACTGCTGACCTTCAGTTGTTGACTACAACTCCCAACATCCCTTACCACTGGGCATGCTGGTTGGGGTTTGTGGGAGTTGTGAGTCCAACACTGGAGGGTCCCAGATTGGGGGATGCTGCTGTCATGGGTAAGATACTGAACTTGGGCCAAGAAATCCAGGTTCAAATCCCCCCAGCCACTTAGTCGTGGTCTTAGAATATTCAGGACACTATCTATCTAAATCTATAATACATTGTAGGGTTACTTTGAATGTAAAATGAGGAGAATCTATGTAAATTAACCTGAGCTCTTTAGAAGAAGGTTGGAGTATATATGCAACTACTAAGCAAAGCATTTGCATTTTTTAAAAAAAAAACATTGGGGGAAATACAATTACTGTACATGGGAAGTTAAGAATTCTTGCTGGATTAGAGCAAGGTCAATGTAGCAAATTCTGTTTTCAACAGTGGCCACCAGATGCCTCTGGCTTTTTACAAGTAGGGCATGGAGATGACATTCTCCTCCCTGTTTGTCCCTAGTATTTGATATTCAGAGGTATGCTGCCTTTGAATATGGAGATTTCATGTTTAGCTACCCATGGCTGTTGCCACCAATATAGCTATCCTTAATAAATGTGATTAAACCAGTCTAGTGGTCATTACCAAGTCATGACAGAAAATTCTAGCATTATCAGAGAAGAGAACAACCTTCCTTTTCTCTACACCATTCATAAAAGTCATGAATATAAGAACTATATTTTTAAAAATATATTTAAAAAGCAAAATAGAATAGAGCAAATCTTAAACATACAGCTCTAAAACACTGACTAAAGAAAATATCAGTATTGGTTAAAAGTGGTCTAATGCACATGACAGTTAGCTGATATGACTAAGCTGATTCTTGCCTCCTGATTGGATGAAGTCAGCTTGGTTGTCAGTTCTTCCCTCAGGTTTTCCAACTGCTGTCGAAGCTGATTCTTCTCGTCTTCAAAATGTATCTTCTCTTTTTCAAAGTGCTGCTCCAACTCCTTAAGAGAACGAAAAACAATAGAAATGCCTGTTTAGGTTCATTACATACTGAAGCAGGACTCATATTAGTCTGTTTTTCTAATGCTCATGGTTGTTCTATGTATTACTTATAAGACAAACAGAGAGACCTGCTGTTGACACAAATAATATTTAATAAAAGTGCTGGAAATGTTTCTCCTTTTCCCCATTCTAATGAGTCCAACATGCAGAAGAGACAGAATATTAGTAAATTTGTAACAACATCTGGACAAGTCCAAAATTAGGGTAATTCTAAACAAACAAAGGTTTGAGCCAAATATGCCATTTCATAGATGAGAGTTTTAGAAACTTCTGGTCTAATAAAAATATTTAATTTCAAGATGTTATTCTGTAGTGAAACTACCCAAGCACAAGGATAAAAAATGTAAAAATTTAAGATGTCAGCTGAGGGCTTTCATGAAAGTACTGGGACTGGTAAATATCTGGAACTAAGGTATGCTATATACTTGATTTTTTAATTCAAAATCTTTTTCATACAGCAAAACTAAGAACAGTCCTCACATTATAGTTCTCTTACCATTTGCAGTTTCTTTTTCTCCTTGTTAGCAGTGCTATGTGCTGCCTCAAGAGCAGTATGATGTTTCCATGCCAACTCCTCCAAGGTCTTAGAATGAGCCTCATTTAATTGTGCAGCCTCCCCTTCCAGCCTAGCTTGCAGTTTTATCAGCTCCTTCTCATAATATTCTCGTTGTGTTTCCCTTGCTTCATTCACTTTCTGTTGATTCAAACAAACAAACTTGAACTCATGACATCATCCATTTTTTCCAATGTAATCTTTGTCCCCGCCTATGACCTTCAATTCTGCAGCTCTACCACCATTCTCTGTCTTATACAAGACTCCACCCATATTCTCTTGGCAGCTGAAAACTCCACCTTTGCTGTAGTACTGGAAGTGTCTCAGGGACAGTGGGCCTAGAAATAAAGCATTCTGGGTGAGGCCTTGACACCCCTCTCATAAAGACCAAAGAGGTAAGTCGGCGTTGGAGCAGATATGTTTCCCTGTCCCATTAGTGTTAATAGAAAATGTTTTTAAAAGGATAAACAGAGGGAGAGGGTACAGAAAATATCCCCTCCCTCAAATTCCCAGTGTTCTGTGGCCAGCGTAAAGAAGTAGGGCTTAGGAAGTGGCTCCTCCACCACAGTATTTCCTCCTACCACCCTCCACTTTAGGACTGTTGAATCGGAAGTTGTTCGTTTTGAAAAAGCATTACTTCTTTTACCTTCTCCAGTGCAAGAATTTGTTGCCTTTGTCTTTCATCCAGGCTCTGTGTTTTGCTTTGTAATAGATTTCTTTCATCTTCTAGCTGGGACAGTTTCTCCTTTAATCTAGATTTTTCTGATTCCAAATCCCTTATTGTAACTTCCTGGGTCATTTGTGTAGCTTGAAGCATTCCAATATGACCTATAAGAAAAGAAAGTATGAATTTAGAATCAGAGACACATCCAAACACAATTGTGTAAGAATGGCATCGACCATTGGCTGCGTTTAGATTATCCTATCTTGGTTTAAGAAGCACGAGTCTTTTGTTCACATGCTCTGTACCTGCACTGCTGCTTCCCTGTTCCTTTTTGTGTTGTGTTGTGGTAATTCAGAAAGTTTCCCATTATGTCTGATCTGGGAAAATATGGTTACCAGGTTCAGAACAAGCCAGGATCTTAAAACCAGGGTTTGAAGTCGGCTGAATGTCCTTACCAAAGCTGGTAACCACAGGTTATCAGTTTGGATGTTAATTGGAAATTATGGTTCCCACGGATTTCCAAGGATCGATTGCAACACACTGAGAAGGATAGAAGGAAGGGGCTGCATGTGTGGGTACAAGGCTTGTTCATATCTAGCTTTATTAAGCTGATATGATTGCCCCAATGCAGCTAAGTGTTATTTAGACCACAATCCTATATACCAAGGGTCACCAACCTAAGGCCAATGGGCCGGAAGCGGCCTGTGGAGGTCGTTTGACAGGCCCACGAGCCGCCCCCAAACCAAGTTGCCCGCTCACGCACTGTACTAATCTTGCGCAGTGCAGCAAGGGGCCTCACTTCTGCGGCAGCAGAAATCGCATCTGCGCAGAGACAGACACAAAAATTGCAGGCGGGCGTGCTCACACATGCAAGAGATCCGGCCCACGGAGGGATCTCCACAGGACCGATCCGGCCCAAGAAAGATAAACCTTGCTGACCCCTGCTATATACATTTACTCCTATGTAAGACCAATTGAATGTAGAATGACTTATTTCTAAGAAAACGTGTATAGAACTTCACTGTCAGACAGACTGATCATATAACAATTTTATTATTTAAAGCCACACTGCTCTTATATAAAATCCTGCCTCATTATGTATGTTGTCCAAATAAATCTTTGGGCCACAAGTGAAACCACAATGTCTTCTGAAGAGTAATTCTGTCATAGAACATTCATAGTTAACTCATTTTATAGTTAACTCATTGACACAACTCTTGAACGGCTAAAGTAAGAGGAAATCACCCTAAAAGTCCACTAAACTTTTCCACTCCCTAACACTTGCAGCCCTGGCAAATGTTGTAGTGAGCAAAGTGCAGCATACCCAGCAGTTCCCATAATTATAAAGCTTTTCTATATCTTGAATAGAGCAATCCACTAATTCTTCTTTTTTCCAGGATCCTGAACAGGCTACACTCAATAAGAGCATCAATAGCAGTGCTGGGCTTGTGCACAGAAGGTTATGCCCAAAATTATTACTCTATTGAATAAAATTTCTGAAACAGATTTTGTTACTATTTTAGAGAGGTAGGGAACAATCAGCAACAGGAGTGCATAACTGCCAGCATCTGGGCTGGATCTGGCCCATGACACAGTACCATCAAGCCAGTAACAACTCTTGGTTGCACCTTTTCACTCAATTGTGTGCCTCAAGCCAACTGTATTTCTGCGCTGGGCGGGGAGAAAAGAGTTCTAATGTGTGGACCAGCCTTCAAATTGTAAAACAGTAACAAGCCAAAAACCAGCAAGGCAATCCATGAAAGATTATGCCATAATAAATGTGTAAGTTTTCAAAACGTCACAAGATTCAGTTGTTTTCGCTGCGAGAGGTACCCCTTCAGAAATTATAAAAGTTAATTAATAGAGAATACAAGACTTCACACTGAGTGTTTTGGAGTCTCTCAGTATGTATGTTTGCATTATATATTCAAGACTTTAACAATGATTTTTTTCCCACTATATTTCACATATATGCTAGAAAGTTCAAAATTTAAGACAGCGGGGTAAGGAAGCTCTGGCCTGCAGGCCAAATTAGACACATGAGGCCATTACCCCCAAACCAAACATATCTGCTGTACACCAGACATAATATGTGACACCAGGTATGGGGCAGGTAAAAGCTGCAAAGAACAACTGGGAACTTAAAGTGTGCTCCCAATTGTTCCTTGGTAAGCAGCACTCCTTGACAGTGCCAATAATTTGATGATTTGTGCTGATGGATAACTTATCTGAAGTTGTCACCCAATGTCATAATGATATCAGGGGACTGACATCTGGGCAGCCCTGCCTACTTGTTGTAGTGACCTGTGGGTTGGTGGGAGAAGTGAGAAACTACCTGGCCTGGGCTGCTACATTCCCATCACTCTTGATATAAGCAAAGTCTAGCAATAACAAAAGAGTTATACTATAAGCTTTTCAATTCATCATTTAAAGGTTATAAAGGCTTTGTATAAAACAGGCTTTTTGCATTAAACTACTGAACAAAAACATTCTGAATATATACTTAAGGTAGATTACATACAAAGCACATAAAAACATATGCACACATACTGGCTTTTAGTACTAGATCTGTGGCCTGTTGCTGTAAACGTTCTCTAGCAGCTGCTAGTTCACTTTCAACCTCTTTGTGTTTGCTTAACAATGACATTTCCTCATCTTTGACATCATCCAACTGTTTTTGAAGAGCCTAAGAGAAGAGAAAACCATATTAAAAGGACAAGGTAATGCTTTTTAAATGGGACAACTATGAATGAAATTTACCAATTTATAAAACAAAGGCTGCTAGCAACTTTCTTGCCTGGACATTCTTGCAGTGCTTTAGTCACAAAAGTCTGTGAGCCTCTTGCATACAAGCCTGATGTACCAATGTGTCTAATAATTAATCCCCCCCAATCAATGTAGAAAACAATACAATGTTAAATGTAACCCTTTCCTTTTACATTTGATGTGGCTGGGTGGGTGTACAGGCCCACAAGCCTCACACTCCATGATGAAAACAACACACACACACGGAAGCAAACAAAAATACTAAAACAGCAACATGACAAACAATCATGTTGATAATAAGATAATATGAAAAATAGAAGACATTTTTCTGAATGGAAAGAAGGGACCAGATAGGCTTCCACCATCAGGAGGGCTGTGTTCTAAGTACTCAGGTGGTGCATTTTTTAATTATATGGCCATTCAGATAAGTCAGAATAAATGTTCCAGTAATAGTATAGACATGTTGGCATTCTGCCCTGACAGAAAAAAATGCAATTTAATTAGAACAACATATTAAGTTCCCATTACAAAAATGAACTTTATTAAAGAAAATATGCCAACTTAAAAAGCAGCTTACAAGGAAAGAGGCATGACTAAGCTATGTGTGACTGATTGCAAATCAATGCTATGTATTATGCACGCTCAATATATAATTTTTATCCCTTTTTCAAGCCTTAAAGCTATGTTAGATGACAGTCATAGAAAATTGATAAGTGCTTAATGTGCACAGAGACAGAAGACTGAAAATGCCATTGTACTAAATATTAATGACTGCATGATTTAGCACAATATATATCAAATTTGCAGGAAGAATGGCAAGAAGAACCACTTCTTAGTCTTCGGGGCTGGGGGAGGTAAGTAAATCAACATTTAAAACATGCATTTAGTCCCATGCGGAATAAAAGCAGGAGAATTGGCTAAGAACTGTCAATACCGGTAATTAGAAAAAGATGTTCAAGAACTATTAGAGTTCATGACTACGCCACAGAAGTGAGATTTCAGTGAGGCAGTCTACATAAAATGAAAAGAAGAAAGCTAGAATACAAATTTAAGTTCTGAGGTAAGGATAGAAGAGGTTTTAGTAGCTTTTAGTCACAAGCAGCAAAATCCACCAAAGTCCCATAATCCATTATTGGATACAAAATAGGTTAAATTGCAAAAAAGTTTATTATTAATATTATTCACTATGGTAAATTTACATACCACCCTTCATGCATGGATCTCAGAGTGGTTCACAATATAAAAACACAACATTCATAATAAAAGCAAGAACAAAACTAAAACAAAACAATAACTCCCCTCCCCCTATCCGCTTCTTAGTTACACTTCAAAATACAGTGGTACCTTGGTTTAAGAACAGCTTAGTTTATGAACAACTTGGATTAAGAACGCTGCAAACCCGAAGTAGGTGTTTTGGTTTGTGAACTTTGCCTTGGAAGCAGAACATGTTTCGCTTCCTGTTGAGTTTGTTCCATTTGTAAATTGAGTCTCCCGCTGTTATGGGAAAGCACACCTTGGTTTAAGAATGCTTTGGTTTAAGAACAGACTTCCGGAACGGATTAAGTTTGTAAACCAAGGTGCCACTGTAACCATCCTATCCCAGGAGAGTAACTCTTTTGGCATGCATGTCTAGTTTATGTGCTTATCTGTTCAAAACAATGGAGAACCCAGTAGAAGGGTAACAACCTTTTACCATGGAGGAGAGTGCGCATGTGACTGCAAATTCACACACACAGTGCTAAACCATGTTTTTTCATAATATGTGACTAGGATGCAGAGGATCAAAAGATATTTTCTGAGTTCACTCCATTGCAGCCCCCTATGTAGCATCTAAAAGCCACTCCTTTGGGTAAGGGCAATGCTCTTATAAAAGGTAAAGGTAAAGGACCCCTGGACAATTAAGTCCAATCAAAGACGACTATGGGGTTGCGGTGCACATCTTGGTTCAGACCAAGGGAGCCGGAGTTTGTCCACAGACAGCTTTCTGGGTCATGTGGCCAGCATGACTAAACTACTTCTGGCGCAATGGAACACTGTGATGGAAACCAGAGTGCACAGAAACGCCGTTTACCTTCCTGCTGCAGCAGTACCTATTTATCTACTTGCACTGTTGTGCTTTTGAACTGCTAGGTTGCCAGTAGCTGGGGCAGAGCAATGGGAGCTCACTCTGTTGCACAGATTTGAACCACTGACCTTCCGATCAGCAAGCCCAAGTGGCTCAGTGGTTTAGACCACAGTGCCACCCGCTCCCTTTTGTTCTCTTACCATGGCAATGGCGCCTACCTGTGAGGTCCTGGAACTGAGTTCCGGTGAGTTCAAGCTGGAAAAAAAAGTCCTGGGTCAGGGGACCCCCTAAAATGGTGTCCAAAGTGAAGCTGGTGGCTTCAAGCTGAGGCTGGGAAATTGGTGGGGTGGTATCCAGTGCTCCCATTCCAGAAGTGCAAGAGATGTGTGCTGGTTGAACAGAACTTTTTATTCCTCTTCTCCCCTGCACTTCCCAACCTCAAAATCAGCTTTGGAGGATTAGGAGACTCTCCAGAGAAGATTTGGGAAGCATGGGGTGGAGGAGGAGAAACATCAGCAGAACTCCACTGGCACTGCTTTGGATACAACCCCAAATTTGTTGCATCAATATAAGTGCCATCTGCTTGCCCAAGGGGTCCCTGGATCAAAGCCACCAATTTTAACTGTTAATTACTTCATATTGTCATTTGCTTTCACTGTTAGAAGAAAATCTACTGTAGCTTCACCTGGAAAAACTGTATCATAGTTTTGGATATAAACTTGAACCAATGCCATATTTAAATGTTTCACCCTCTAAATCTACTGTAAGGTGAGGAAGGCAACGTGTTTCTGCAGCTAGCACAGCAACAGGCCCTTCAGCAATCTAAAGTCCCAAAGGCAGCAGGAAGGAATATCCATCCTCAAAAACCATCAATATGGTAAACCAGAAAATAGAATGACTGGATCCTTTATATCAGGAATGGCCAACTGTGCTCCTTTAGGAGTAGTCATCCTGCTGTTTGCTTCAACCTGTCCCCATCTCAGCATCTGGTGGCCTGAGAGAGAGAGAGAGAAGCAGTACATGACTGAATATTAACAGAAGGGCACGTGAGGAATTTCTCTATTTAAGGTGGGGAGTGTTGGAAGTGCAGCTAACTCAGAAACAGAATCTTTCATGGGACTTTTTTGCCTGGGTTATGCAACTTCCCAAGCAATCTAATGTGAAAGTAGGGTTACCCATGCCAAAATAGTTATGTGAAACTTTTAAAATATCAGTACTGCATCCTTCTTGAGTGCTAAGTTGAGGGATTCCCAAGAGGCTTCTGCATTTAGGGTCATTATGAAGGCTAATATGCAGATATGTTCCATGCACTGCTTTTGGTTTGGGCAGTACTACTTCTCAGACAACTTACAAGGGAAATAGCAGTGCCCAAGTGAACAGCACCCCACAAGGCACTACAGAGACTCATCTTGAATGTCCTCACCTTTCACACTGAGAGGGCACCTGCCAATTTCAGCATGGGGGGTATGAACCTTGCTCTGAAGGTGTCTGGGTCTCAAGTTGTTTGGTAAGGAAGCGTCTGGTACAACATATGAAAGAAGTTGACGATCACAGCTTAAAACCTCACAAGTAAGTAACTCAAAATTATTTATATGTTTTGGATATAACCGTATCATCAATTAGCTTCACATCTTTTTCATTTAGTTCAACTAAACTTGTGTGTAAGTAAATGAACAAAGTAGGTATTTTTATAAACACCTATCTTTGCACAACTTTTACAACCTAAATACCAAAAGCAGCAGAGTCAATATTAGTTTCCATATAGTAAGGGACAAAATCAACCAGAGTTTGACATTCCCCATCTGACTCAGATAAGAAACCAAAGGCCACTTCAAAACGTTTTACCAGTTTGTTTGTTTGTTTGACAAAGAAACTACTTTTGTATAGAAAGAAGTTAAAACTGTTAGCTAAACTTCATGCACACATAAATTATTTCCTTGCATATTCAATATATGGAACACCCAGTAGAACACTCTATCCCTTAACTATACACAGAAGCATTGTAATGCTTTTCACTACGTGTAACCACTTTGTGTTGAGGAAAAGCCCAGCAACTGAGTCTTTGAGGTCCAGTATGCAATAAGTCATTTATCATGTATATAGGAAAGATGTGAAACAGCCAAGTGGTAGTGACAAAGACTTGAAACTTTGCAATCAACATACAAATGGTGAACCATCATTACTTCTTACAGGTTACATTACTTTTGTTCTAAACAAATAATGTAACAATTCTCATCTCACCTGCACATTGTTTTCTGCTGTGTTGAGTGCTACTTGAAGTTTCTGACATTTTTCTCGTAGACCACCTGCTTCATCCTGTACCATCTGCAATTCAGTCTTAAGCTTTCCCAGGTTTTTTCGTAAAACAGATTCTTGGCTTTGAAACTCCTTTCTTAGTTCTATTTCCTTCTCTTTGCAGGTCTTCAGGCTTTCAGCCGTAAATAGCTGCGACCTTTTCATAGTATCAAGTTCATGCTCATAGAAAGATTGAGCTTTGCTGAGTTTACCTTCATAGTCCTCAATTAGCTTTTTTCTTTCCACTCTTAGCTCTTCAACTTTGGCATTCAGTTCTTCCACATCCCGCCTGTGTAATTCTTCTAACTTTTCCTGTCCCTTATTTAAAGTAGCATTCTGGTTCTGATGGGTCTTTACAAGTTCCTGGACCTCAAGTCTATGTGCAGCTCTTAGTTCTTCAAGAGCTGAACGTTTATCCTTTTCCAACTGTACTTGTAATTGTATAAAACTCCGCAACCTCTCCTCAAACTTCTTTCTAATTTCTTCTACTTCCCGTGACATAGTTACTACACGCTGAACATGCTGAGCTTCTGCACAAAGTTGCATATCCTCAACTCTGTCTTTATATGCTTCAAACTCAGTTAAAGCTTGATGCTTCATCTTTTTATGATCTTCCAATGACTCTTCTAAAACCTGGATTTTTCTTTTGAGATCCATTTCCTCAGAAACTTTACTCTTATACTGTAGAATCTTTTCTCTGGTTTCTGCAATAATTTGTTGGATTTCTTCTTCATGAGCATCTTTGAGGGCTTGAATAGCAGCCTCATGTTCATCATTCTTTGTGTTCAAAGCATATATTACCTGCACAAATACACATATAAAAGATTACTTCCTTACTCAGAAAAAAGAATTTCAAAATAATCTGACAGGACACTTTGTGGCATGGTACTGAATGCCACATGTCATTAAAAGTGATGTTTTATCGTGCTATTAAAATGACAGCAAGTACAAAGAATACATTAATATTAAAGAATAAGTACATTAAGTTAGCAAAAGCAAAAAAGGCTTGACTTCTTTTTGTGATAAAGGTAAGCAGGAATGCTAGCAAAACATTTTGAAACTAAACAATACCTATCAATTACATTTACAAATTTCATTATACGTCTTTGTTTAGCTAAAATATACACATATGGAACATCTCTCTTCCTCTGTGCCTACTTGTCCCTTAATATCAAGCAGAGACACCTTCCTAGAGACCCCTTTTGGAAAGGGAGTGATGGGGACTCTGACCACAGCTTCTCAAGGGTGGCCAGAATCCTTTGGAGTCATCTAATCTGGCGTGCAGAGAAGACTGGCTATTGGCCAATTTATGATGGACCAGTTATTGCCTCCTGGTTGCTGGGACTCTTGCAAAGAATGCTGGAATAAGTTGACCAAGATTGATCCTGTGTTCTCAGGCAAGAGTACATACTTATAATCACACCAAATAAATATGTTATTCCTTAAATCAGGGATTCCAAAACTTTCTACTCACAAGGCTCACTTGAGATGGTTGAAAATTACTAAGGCACTCCAGTCACAAAATGGTGGTGCAAAGAAAGAGCCTGTCACAAAATTGGGGGAGGGGCAAAGGAAAACACCTGGCATAATCCACTAGCAATCACTGGCATCCTTTTCTGCTCATATTCAATCTAGCTTTGAAAACTGCTAAATTCTTTGCCACAGCTTTTCCCTTGTAGCAAAGATTTACATAGGTCAGCTTTCCATATGCTGAGTACAGACATTTGCTCTGGAGATAGTAGGACAGTCTCCCCATTTTAGGGCTTCTAAGTGGCCAGTGCTTTTTCTTTTTTCCTCTCCCTACCTCTGCATGTCCCTGAAATTATTTTTTACACATCTTCTGAAATATCTCCATTCACACTCAATTTGTGCCTATTCCCCCCCCCCCCAAAAAAACCCCAAACCATGTTTCTTTCTTCCCTCCTCTTTCTAGATTTCTTAAACATGACTCCTGGACATTTTTCCTCAGAGGCCTTGTTCCTCTTTAACCAACAAACTTCTTTTCCATCCTAGCCACCTCTACCTAGCTTGCAAGGAGCTGCTGGTGCTAGCATGAGTCAAACCAAAACATTTGCCAAACACAGCTAGGGAGCAGAGAAGGCAAGTAAGAGACACTCAACAGCACATGGCACTGAGATCCACCTGAAAATGGCTCAGGGTTTACTAGCGGGTCCCACTGATTGACACAATCCATCACAACACTTAAATATGCTTAAACACACCAATTTCAGTGGGCTTCAGTAAATCAACTATGGCCACCCAAGCCTGGTTTTGTGTTGATTTGTAACCAGTCCTGTTTCTAATATTCATCTAAAAGACAACTTTGGATGAAACTAAAATGCAACCCTACAGACATCATTTGCAACTGTGTGTGTGTGTGTTTAAAGGTATGTGAGGGTACCAACGAGGCTTTCTTCCTGCAGCTTGTAGATTTTGGCAGGAGAGAGGTCTTGGTCAAGACCATAGCAGAAGTGGAACCATTGTACCAAATGGCGTTACTCAGCTGTATAGAAGAAGTGCTTTTCAGTAGTTTTCCCTCCCCTCTGCAAACCCCTGAACCACCCATGCCAAATCTATTCTGGAGGGTCTTCCAACACACTGGAGTATATTTTGGGAGTGAGGGCTGTAGGGCAAGTGAACAAAAATTGCTTCCCTTATCTGAGTGACACCCCCCCCCAAAAAAAACATCGAAAGAGCTTAAACTTCCCTATATGGGTAGGGTTGACATATTTCAAAAAGTTAAAGAAATGACACCTAAAAATTTGTTGAGCTTTTTATTAGAAACCCCCAAAAATTATTAAGCTTTTTTTTACAAAAATGTGAAAATATCACAATTTTTCAATTGACTTCCTACGATTCAGAACAAAGCACATTTTGGAAATTCCCCACGAACATCAATGCCACCTTTGAAATCCCAGTAATGGCAGCCCTATGCTAGGTTCCTAATAAAAATAGCCCTTACATGCCTATTTTTTTAACTGGCATATTTGAAAATGAGGTATTCAACATCATGTCTGATTTGCATTCAATAGATCTGTGTTCAATTGGAGTCCAAAAGAAAGATGGAGAGCCCTGAAGAGACTGGAGGTGCAGCAGGGCTTTGTTTACGCTGCTTAGCCTCCCTAACAGCTGATGTGAGGGGTAGCGCAGCAGCAGCAGCAGCAGCAGCAGCTACTGACACTGCTTTTCCATTCATCCTACAGCCTCCTGCCAGCCCCCAGAGCTTTACCGTATTTTTCGCTCCATAGGACGCACTTTTTCCCCTCCAAAAATGAAGGGGAAATGTGTGTGCGTCCTATGGAGCGAATGCAGGCTTTCGCTGAAGCCTGGAGAGCGAGAGGCATCGGTGCGCACCGACCCCTCTCGCTCTCCAGGCTTCAGGAAGCTATCCGCAAGCCTTGCAAGCCCGGTGGGAGTTCCCGCGGGCTCACAAGGCTTGCAGGCAGCAGCCTGCAGCCCCGGCGAGTGTCCGCAAGCCTTGCGCGCCCGGCAGGAGGTCCCGCCGAGCGCGCGAGGCTTGGGGCTGCAGCTTGTCGCCCGAAGCACGGGGAGCCCTCCGGAGGGCTCCCCGTGCTTCGGGCGAGTGTCTGCAAGCCTTGCGCGCCCGGCAGGAGGTCCCGCCCGGCGCGCAAGGCTTGGGGCTGCAGCTTGTCGCCCGAGCACGGGAGCCCTCCGGAGGGCTCCCGTGCTTCGGGCGAGTGTCTGCAAGCCTTGCGCGCCCGGCAGGAGGTCCCGCCCGGCGCGCAAGGCTTGGGGCTGCAGCTTGTCGCCCGAGCACGGGAGCCCTCCGGAGGGCTCCCCGTGCTTCGGGCGAGTGTCTGCAAGCCTTGCGCGCCCGGCAGGAGGTCCCGCCCGGCGCGCAAGGCTTGGGGCTGCAGCTTGTCGCCCGAAGCACGGGAGCCCTCCGGAGGGCTCCCTTGCTTCGGGCGAGTGTCTGCAAGCCTTGCGCGCCCGGCAGGAGGTCCCGCCCGGCGCGCAAGGCTTGGGGCTGCAGCTTGTCGCCCGAAGCACGGGAGCCCTCCGGAGGGCTCCCGTGCTTCGGGCGAGTGTCTGCAAGCCTTGCGCGCCCGGCAGGAGGTCCCGCCGAGCGCGCAAGGCTTGGGGCGGCAGTCTGTCGCCTGAAGCACGGGAGCCCTCCGGAGGGCTCCCCGTGCTTCGGGCGAGTGTCTGCAAGCCTCGCGCGCCCGGTGGGAGGTCCCGCCGAGCGCGCGAGGCTTGGGGAGGTAGCCTGCAGCCCGAAGCACGCGAGGCTTGGGGCGGCAGCCGCGGGGGGGGGGAATAATTTTTTTTATTCATTTCCCCCCCCAAAAAACGAGGTGCGTCCTATGGACCGGTGCGTCCTATAGAACGAAAAATACGGTAATTCTAGTTGTTGATATTTTTGAACACAGTATTTTCAGATTGGATTGAAGAAAAAGCGAAAGAGAGAGCATTTAAAGGGTGCTCCCCACTTTACACAATTTCACTTATGTGTGCAGGGGCCCAGAACATAACCCCCACATAAGTGGCAAATGGCCTCTACAGTAGTTTAAAAAATGCATTGTGTTGGACAAAAAGGAGTAAGAACAGTGCAAAGATTGCACCAGACAAGAATGGAAAAACTGTTCAGTTTGTGATCTACTCTGTATATCAGACTTTTAACATAGACAAAGATTGCTTTAATATGGTAAGAAACAAAAACGCAGCTGGGCCACTCATGATGCAAGCCTCCCCCAAAGAGATATTAAGAACAATTTCATTTCTGATAGGCAACTTTTTTCCACCTCACTTCAGTTCTTACACATTAGCCCTGCAGGAAAGAAAATACTCCAAGTATTTTTTTTCTCAACCCTAACAAAAAGGAACGATAAAAGCATGCACTGTATAATTTAACAACCTTGAGTAGTCTAGCCATTACAAAAAAAAAAAAAAGAGAGAGAGTAATAAAATGGAAGACATTTCTTATCGGAGGCTGTGCTCCTCAATGCCCTTTCTTCATGAAATCCCTTGTTTTTTTCAGAAGCACTGGCACATTTATTTAAATAATGCAGCTATTAATTTTTGAAAAACCTGACTCACAGCCTTTCCTTGGTAAGCCTACACTGTGCCTTCCCAAGTGTGGGAAGGGAGCCACCAAACACCAAGGTTGCAGAATGAGCCAGTGGCTTCAAGTTCCTAGCTTTCAGAACTGGGCCTGGAAGCAGTCCACAGTCCAACTCCTTACCAATATACTTTAAGCTGGATGAAACCTGAACAGGTACTGCTTTGCCTTGCTACCCATCCTTTGAGGCATTAACCTTAGAGACTTAAAACTTAAGGAAAATGAGTGACCAAATACATACATCAGAGGTACCAATCCTCCAATTTCCCATGGCTGGCCGGTACAATGATAATCAGATTCATGGCTGACCATTGTCATGAAGATATACATTTCAATGCTACGGTGTAGGATGAAAGGTAGTATGTAAAGTTTAAACAAAGGAGGGAAATGTTGCTAGTGTATATAATTATAATGTATTTAATATTTCTAAATGGTTTTAATTTTGTGAACAACATTGGGAGGGGTTGCACTAGGCAGGCTAAAAATTCACACATGAATCTGGACACAGACATAGCACAGTACTTGTACTATATTTTAATTGGTTTTAAGCTGTCCTGTTCATTTCATTTCATTGTAGCTTAATATTATTTGTATAAATTCATATTTTGCACATAAACTCACATGACTTTAGGTAGAATTACTATGTGCAACATTAGAAACTACTAGCAAAGGTTATCTACTCTTTTATTGAATTCATATCCCACTCTATCCCAGGGGCTCAGAGCAACATAAGTTTCCCCAAATGCTACTAATTCTGCCCAAAGAGTTCACAACCTATAAAAGAAATTTACATTTACAAATCACACTACTTTAGATTTAGACTGTCATATGCCTTGGGATGAGTCTATACAAACTGGTTTAGATGTCTGAACATTTATTGCAGTCAAAAGCCTTAGGACTCTCTCCCGCCTTGTTTGGCAGAAAAACAATTTTTACTCCAGAGCAGATGGCATATTCTTGCATGATCAACTGTAGACGGACCATTATCTGCTGCTAGCAATCTCATCAACATGATGCTCTTTTCATCCTAAATCCTATGTGTTGTCCTGCCTATACAGTGGTACCTCGGGTTAAGAACTTAATTCGTTCTGGAGGTCTGTTCTTAACCTGAAACTGTTCTTAACCTGAAGCACCACTTTAGCTAATGGGGCCTCCCGCTGCTGCCGCACCGCCAGAGCACAATTTCTGTTCTTATCCTGAAGCAAAGTTCTTAACCAGAGGTACTATTTCTGGGTTAGCGGAGTCTGTAACCTGAAGCGTATGTAACCCGAGGTACCACTGTAACTGCTAGATCATACCAACCAGGATTTTTTTCAGCCAGAACTCAACGGAACTCAGTTCAGCCACCTCTCAGGCGGGCACCATTGCCATGCTAAGAGAATGAGGGAAGTGGCTCACGGTGAGTTCTGGCACCTCTTTTTCTAGAAAAATAGCACTGATACCAACCATAGGGCAAGATGCTGAAGTGTACACGCAGCTATGCCTCAACAGCATACCAAAATATTTACCATAGTGCTACTTTTTATTTATTAAATTTCTATCTGGCATTTTATCTGCTGCTTTGCATGACATCTTCGGGGGAAGAAAAGACTAAGGAGACCATCCAGAATGGAGTCCCTAAGATGGTTGAATGGTATCTTGTACGCCTCCTTCCAGCAACTCCTGCAGCCAAGCTAAAGTTTTGCTCTGCTTTCCTTTGGTCCATATCAGTGAGGCAAAGAGAAGGATTTTGTCATCCGGTCAGCCCAGAACCTCCAAACACACTACCCAGGCAAAAACAACGTGGGAGGCAGCAGTTACAAGTTACCAGTCTCTGCAGCAACAGCAGGTGCTGTGATTCTCCAGCAATTTGACTTCACCCTCCATTGTCTCTTGACACAGACAGACGCCAATAACAAATCCTGCCTTTCCTCCAAAGAAGTGCAGGGTGGCAAATATGTCCATACTATAAACAATACAATTAAATCTTCTTTAAAAATTTAAAATTGTGTTGCGTTAGTACTGGAGTACCATAGCCTTGTCAAGACTACACCATGCTTCGGCATGCACATATACTAAGACTACACCATGCACCATGGTATTCCACAGCTCTTGTAGCCTAGCTTTGGATAGACCTTCATGTAGGTCCAAGCCCCAACAGCCTGAATACAAGAATCACTTGGGAATCTGGCTCCTCTATACAGAGATTTGAGGCATTTATCACTGGTAATACTGAATACAGTACTGTTCATGCAGGATTCTTGTGCTCAGAGAGCAATAAAATAGCAGCTAGAACATGACATCATTATGTGGTACAGAGGCTCCATACTTTGTGTAACACACACACACACACAGAGAGAGAGAGAGAGAGAGAGAGAGAGAGAGACCTACAACACACTCTGGTATCCACGTAACTTGTGATATAGAACAGATGCAGTTGTATTTTCATTTCCACTATTTTCAGTCATTTGCAATTCAAATCCACAGAGAATGCTACATTCTTGATAAAAAGATTACAACCCTACATGAAAATTTTTGCAGCTACTGAAATAATAAATGGAATGACAGACAACCACAGAGCTCACTCTATTTAACCTTTGATACAACAAGCTACTGAACAAAAGATTTTTTTTTTATTCCCTGTGCCTTTTCAAAGTATGCATTGTGTTAGATCTTATTTTTTCAAAATGCCATATAACACATATTCTGTAGCTGCAGGGTATGCCATCCATTCCTATTAGCCAATACAAAAATTATACACCTGCATTACCAATGCTTTAGTGTAGTTATTAAAATACTTCCTTTTCTATCACATAGAAATGCATGTACAAGTGTTATCTGCAATACCTATTCATATCTACTCATAAAATATTTCCCACATAATCAACTAAAATTAAAACTTTCCTTTCTAAATCTTTTAGTCATGAAGAAATCTTAACCTGCACAACATTTCATGTTTTTTCTTTTCTTTTTTAGCAATCAGAGCCCTCAGTCACAAGGCATGCTTGGCAAATCACACTAAGACAAACTTTGGCTTAGTGAGACTCTGTGGCTCCTAAAGAGGAGTTTGCAGTCTCTTTGCTCCACCTTTTGCTACTTCTCTAAGCCAGAGTTTGGCTTAGATTTAGAATGTTATCCAAACCTGAACTGATGCTTAAGCTATCTCTTCACTAACCACAAGCTACAGAGGTTGACATAATTAGACTATGGCAGGGAAAAAACCTAGGGAGGAGCAAAGTTTTCTTAGCATGTTCTGCAAGCCAGTCCATTGTTTTAACTGTTATTTGAAAATAATTACCTTTCAGTTTTAAGAAACCAAAATAGTGCAGCACCAGAAAAATTTAATGTCACCATACACAGTAAATAAATTTATGCACTAGCTCTTCAATATGAAATCTAAAAAAGAGTAGGTACTGTTAAAAGCGATATCCAAAATACAAGATGCTAACAAAGTTGAGCTATTCTTCTTGAAGGAGAATTTCAAGAGGTGGATTCAGTTACATTAAAAAAAAACAATGACTAACCCCTGATTTTTCATGTTAATCACTCCCCCACCCTTGAATCTCAGATTTACAAACAAAACTGCTATATTCTTCCCAACAATGAAGGGAGTGTATACAGAAATAATCAACTTTACACAGCCTGGAACTAGTAATATACAGGAGTGTACAGAACAGGTTACTTTATCCTTCTCTTACAGCCAATCTTCCCTATGGTATCTCCCTCTAACAATAGACATAAAATGTTCCCTCAGTACTTTCTATATCACCCTTCTTCACATCTTCTTTAAAAAGTACAATTTCTTCAACAAAATTAATGTAGAAATTTGTCCAATTCCATAGCATATGTTATGCCAAAGATTTGTGTTATTTTCTCCATCCAAAGTATTCTGGAAGCTCCAAAGCTCTGGAGTTCAAATAAAACATACTGATATTTGGGGGGGGGGGGAGGAATGTAGGGGTAGCAGGTAAGATGACAAATTTGTGTAGTTCATTTTCAGCACTTTTGCCTTCCAGTCAGGGATTCTGAATGTTTTGCATATATGCATGGCTTTTTGTTTGTTTTAAAACCTTTGGTCAAAGAAAATAGGTCTCTCAACTGTTACTTTTATGTAGTACTTGCTCAGATAGTTTAAAAGAGGTCTGTAAAAGCGCTTTAGGTGTCACAGTCAGTTCTGCTTATATCATACTTCTTTCCAATCCAGTCTTCACCTCAGGCTCAGCTTTAAGTTTGAAGGATATAGACCAAGACAAGATGGGGGAGTGTACAAGGAATTTTTTTAGCCGCTTACAAGTATCTGTCATGCAAGGTACATACAAATAGTATGTATCAATGAACATGTGTGTCATTTCATATTTGTTATTCACAAAACACATTATTGGGTATTTCTTAATCTTTTTTCAGTAATGGCTTCAAAGCATCATATATTAACACAATCAGTCCTGTCTTTATAATTGCCATAGGCAATTTCCACTTGGAAGACATGGTTTGCAATGGAAAAAAAGTAGACAGACATTAGGACCAGGTTGACACACGTCTGTGTAAACAATTTTCCAGTATATGGATGTGAGTTTATGAAATAGATGCTGCAGAACGATGTCTAGCAGCCATTTTGGAAAATATACTTCTGCTAATCTGCTCAGTGTTTTTTCCATTCCAAACCATGTCATGCAAGTAAAATTGCTGTAATTACTTTCCTGTGGAAGTCTATTAAAAGGAAAGAAATGTATGTTGTGAGTTAAGGCATTGAATATACTGAACTTTCTAGTCTTGCATTCCTTGTTAAAAGCAAATCACAACTTTGATCATCTGGAGAAGTACTGCTAGTTGCCCAATATTTTACAGAGGTCTAATAGGCCTCCAGGGAAGCGGGTGGCACTTTGGGTTAAACCACAGAGCCTAGGACTTGTTGATCAGAAGGTCGGCGGTTCGAATCCCCGCGATGGGGTGAGCTCCCGTTGCTCAGTCCCTGCTCCTGCCAACCTAGCAGTTCAAAAGCACGTCAAAGTGCAAGTAGATAAATAGTTATCGCTCCGGCGGGAAGGTAAATGGTGTTTCCGTGTGCTGCTCTGGTTCGCCAGAAGTGGCTTAGTCATGCTGGCCACATGACCCGGAAGCTGTATGCCGGCTCCCTCGGCCAATAAAGCGAGATGAGCACCGCAACCCCAGAGTCGGTCACGACCGGACCTAATAGTCAGGGGTCCCTTTACCTTTAATAGGCCTCCACTAGAAATTGGGCATTTAGTGTTACTGATCTCAGGCTATGGAACATTGTTCTATCAGAGATTTTGCAGGCACTCTCATTTTTCATTGCCATGTATCCCTTGAAGAACTTTTATATAGACAGGCCTATACCACTGTTTGAATTAATTGGTCAGCCATTCATTTTTATCTGTTTTGTACTTTTTTTAATGGTGTTTTATATTTTATTGTATATACTGCTGTATGCCCATGTTATATTGTAAGAATTGACAATATAAAACACTTCTTTAAACAAACTTTTAAAATTGCAAGCTAAAAGGTCATGTTGATAAATTAACTCAGTGTCTAAAAACTGAACATCTTTAGCAAGCAAATGATGTAAAAAACTTATAGAACTGTGGCTTCAATATGCTTGGGCGAAAGTTTTAAGGCAAATAACTTAATCTAAGAATTTGCACTTGTGCTTGGAGGCATTTACCCAATTACAGTGGTACCTCGGGTTACATACGCTTCAGGTTACATACGCTTTAGGTTACAGACTCCGCTAACCCAGAAATAGTACCTCGGATTAAGAACTTTGCTTCAGGATGAGAACAGAAATCATGCTCTGGCGGCACAGCAGCAGCGGGAGGCCCCATTCTCTAAAGTGGTGCTTCAGGTTAAGAACAGTTTCAGGTTAAGAACGGACCTCCGGAATGAATTAAGTACTTAACCCGAGGTACCACTGTATGTGCTGTTAGCTTTACAACTGGTGTTTGCCACAGTATGTTACTGAATATGTACAGATTCTGTATGTATGTTGATATACCAAGATCACATTTTCATATTGGGTGGCATTCAACTAAGTTTTACATAGACCCCCTGAAATAAAGGGGCATAATTTAGTAATGTTCATTAATTTTAATCAGTCTACTCTTGAGTAACACTTAGTTGAATACCCACTGCTTCTAAAGTCTTTTTCATTGCTAAGTATTGCTCAGTATTGCTTTTTCATTGCTAAGTATTTCATTGCTAAGAATATTTTAAATAAAATCTGATTCTAATCAGAGTGGAGAAATTTAGAGAAGCTCATACACTCAGGCAACAGGCTTATACTCATGATTGCCTTTCTGCTGCACCAAAGAATGCTGACTTTTAGGGGATGATTTTATGGGATGGGGCTGCAACTGGAAAGGGGATGTAATAAAGCCCCCTAGTGAGCATGGAAAACATCACACACCTTGGGATTCTGGCTGTTTGAGTGCTGTTATTCCTAGTATTTTAAAACAGCACTTATGTTCAAGTATGCATGCTCAGAACCACAGCTTAAGGAAGACTGAGTGAGCAGTGGATTCTATAGTCTCACAGAATAGGTTTTCCTGGCTCCTCTCTCCTCTACAAATTACTACTAGATGGGGGTTAATGGCCCTGCAGGAAAGGTGTGGGTATAGCAGGAGCTGCAGCAGAATGGGAAAATTGGAAGAATTTTGTTGGGTGGGGGACTGCCTTATACAAGCGGCTTTTCCACTCACTTAAGATATTTCTTGATCCAAAGCTAAGTATCTTTCATTTGGATTGTAAAGACATTCAGCAAACAGCTCATCTTAATGTCTGATCTTGTCACATCAAAGTCACATTTTGTGTTTCTTTGTGATATTTATAAATGAATGCTAAGGTTATCTACTCAGTTGCATTGAAAAAATGCAACTTATCATGGTATTACAGACAAAAGTAGCAGGCAGATAATCATAAAATGTAATTACTTTGTTAATTAGTATGTTACTGAGCAGCATTCAAGACAGGAACTAAAAATAAACTCGCATTCAACTTCAAGCTATAATAGTATTGGAGCAGCTACTAGAACAAATGTTAGCCAGCTGTTACCTTGAGTAAGAAGAGAGATATGACAAAAATCAGATTATAATATTAAAATTATCATATTGAATTCCAGTTATCTATGTCACCCGTGACACAAAATAAAAGCATAGCTAGACAGGTAGACCATGACTAGAGGAGATGATGCCACGTTCGGGGCTCATGCTTATTGTTTTAAGAGATGGTAGGAAATAAAACAGTGGCAAAGGCTGCAGTGAATTTTTCTCTTTAAATAAACTGTTGCTGTCATCAGTACCTAAACAATTAGGATATAACTTTTTCATCCACTGAGTTAGAAAATCTGACCAACAACAAAACAGAGACTTCAATTACACTATGCCTACCAAACTGATGATGTACACTCAACAGTCTTCTTTTGTTTGGATTTTTCCCCCTTGCAAAATGGTAGGAGAAAATGTCAATTAATATAATTTTTATTGTTCCACGTAGCAAGAAAACATATTTGGGGAGGTTTAAATATATAGGATACTTAATTCCCAACATTTATTTTAGCAAGAAGGTAACATGATTGCTTTGGGTTTCACACTATTTGATAATAAACACTATTTAGACTTTCCAACATAGAATATTAGAAAAACTGTGGGGTGAAATGGAACATAAAACATCATTACTAATAAACAAAAAGTAAAACTGGCAGCAGTATAAAGAAGACTAAACTGTATGAAGGATGTCTACAGATTATATACTTCCACAATTAATTTTCAAATGATTTTTGTGAATGCTCAATCTGCTAGGATGACAATCCAGAATATTTGGCTCAAATTGCTTTTTAAAAGATTTCCAGAGTGTTGAGGTGTAATGCCAACATGTCAGGGCTTTCAAAAGACTTGTTTTGTGTAAATGTAAAACTTGCAAAGTGACTGAGGCTGCTATCCTACATGAGAATCAGCCCCATTTAACTCAGTGGGACTTACTTCTGGGTGCACATATAAAGATTTGTGCTATAAGGTAGGTGAAAAGGTAAGAAGAGGAATCTCAAACTTCCAAACCTATATTGAAGGTTTTCCAACAGCTCAGTAAATTCTGGCCCAGTTCAGTAAGATAATCCATAGCATTTTGTGACAGCTAAAGCTTTGTAGTCCCATTGGTGATTGGACTTTGGATCTGGTGTAAATTTACTCCAGCTTAATTTACAACACTTTGCTTTATGCCCCTTTCTTGTGCATAAGGATTGCTCCCTTAGCCAATATCCCTGACAATCAGTCGGTTTACTCTGAGCAGGACTGACAGCATTGGTTTAATTTTTTTATACATCTCAATAAATACTATTCTGCCTCCCAGATCACAACGTTGTGAGTCCCTTTCTCACCCATCATCTCATCATATGTAACATAATTTATAAATTATTCCCTTGCTAACTTCCCAAATCCATTCCCCCCTCTATTCCTCTTTTTATATGTCAATTTCAGTTTCTCATTAAAAAAAAAAATTCTCAAGGAAACTCATCAGGATTATAGTTGAGATTTTTCCTAATGTACAAATTTTTGTATAGGATTTGGCTAATATACTATTTTTGCAAATAATTTTTCCTGATATAATGCATGTTCCTATGCTATTTTTGGAATTACAGTGGTACCTTGGGTTACAAACACTTCAGGTTACAGACTCCGCTAAGCTGGAAGTAGTACCTTGGGTTAAGAACAGGAATAAGAACCTCAGGATGAGAACAGAAATCGTGCAGCAGCAGGAGGCCCCATTAGCTAAAGTGGTACCTCAGGTTAAGAACGGTTTCAGGTTAAGAACAGACCTCCGGAACGAATTAAGTTCGTAACCAGAGGTACCACTGTATATGCATTTATATGCACACTTCACCCTAGAATATGCATCCCTAGCTGTAACCAAGGTTTGTTCTTAATTTATTATTTGTGGTTTGTCTGGGGGAGAAAAGACAAAATTGGGTTTGGTTGAAATGCTAAGCCTTACTATGGCTTAGCCCAACAATTAGTAAAGCAGTAGGGCTGTGGGAGGAGCACTGTAGCGTCAATCTTTCCTCCAGAAACAGGCACATTTGCTCATTTGCACTAAGCCACTGGAACCCTGTGAATCATACTGTCCCCTTGCTAGCACATGTATAAATGAATACGGAACAAAAGATGTGTGCCTCAAACTAAGTTCTGGGCCATTACAAATCCAGGGTAGTGTTCTCTTATGAGACTCCACGGCATGATGTGTGACCAAACACCTTAAAAAATGAACATAAAAAGTTCCATTTGTTCACATATTTCTGGAAGGTTTTTGAGCATTGAAGCCATCTATGATGTAAGGATTTTTTTAATTTATTTTTTGCGGGGGGAGAGATATCTTAGGGAAACTCTCTGACCCAAATCCTACCATTGTTTGAGGATATAAGCATCCATATGATTACAATAGATATTCAACCACAGCACAGAAGTAGATAAATTCAAGGAAGCTTCTCTCACACGGCTTTGTTTTGTATTTATCTTCTTAGCATAGAAACAAAGTTTTGGCTTCCAGAATGCTTGATTACTAAAAGAAGCTGACCCAAGAAAATGCATGCTCATTAAAATTCTGCATATATACAACTGCGCAGAATACTAATTGGCTTGACTCAGAGAAACTTGTACAAGAGGGCAGTACATGTAAGGAGTATGGTACTTAGATTGACATACTGTAAGTACTTGCATTTGCATTAGGTTGGTAATAACCAGTTTGGAATAGAGACCAGTTGCCGACACTTCATCGCTGTTGTACCCATTTAACTGTGATCACCAGCTTGCTAATGCAACAATGCAGCCAACATGCACAGGATTCCTTTGTAAATTACATGCAGAAGGATTCTACATGGATTTTCACAAATGAAAATTAGGCAGATGGACCTATGTGCATGCCATATGCAATGTGGAAGCAGAAGACACTGACTGCGGAGGCATAGATGGTTCACACAAACCATAGTCTAGCACTATGTGGATGAGCCTCCATGAATCAAATGAAACATTGAGCTTGAACATTCCACACTCCCATCTCCCATGCAGACAGCAGAATAACATCCACATACGTTTTTGCTTTTAAAGAAGTTTGGCTTAGCATTATGTACAATGAAGTGATCCTGGTTTAAAACAATGATTCGTTAACAAGGCAAATTTATGATCCATTGTTTGAAGCTGACACAGCAGAGCGTATTTTAAGCCAGGATTCCTGGTTGATTAAACACATTTCATCAAGCTCCTTATGCTGAAAGATATATTGACAGAAGTAGCAATGGACCATCAGGCCTGGCCTTATGAGCAATGACGTTCAGATATGGATGGGGGCAGTGGATTGTACCCCCGTTCACCCTCTGTCTGCCCTGACTAGCAGACTACCACTGCCACTGCTCATACCCAGCCATCCACCACTGTTTCCACCTCCTCCTACCTGCCCGGCACTAACTTGACAGCATAGTCCTTTCCTCACTCTGAAGAAAAAGTTTCTTCTAAAAAGTAAATCTGGCACTGTTGTATCAAAACAGCAGCACCTCAAGGTGCTGTGTGACCTTGCTCATAATACCTCACTTTGAGAAAGGGCACTTTCCTCAGAGTGAGAAATTGAGAACTTATACCATAGGAGTGAGCAAGTAGCAGATGAGACAAAGCAGTGAGGAAGAAAAGGTGACATGGTCCACCCAACTCTGGCAGTGCAATGTTTTGCATCAGCCCTGAGAACTGAAGATAATTCCTGTCTTCAGAGTTTCACTGACTTTAGAACTCCTCCTCAAAACTAATTTGTACAAACTGCAGATTAAAGAATCTGGAACATATGCTATTTGCTGATACACTGAAGAACTCTGATTTACAAAGACACATGTACATATAGTCCAGTAACCATTACAAAAGTTAAACAATGCTATGCTGTATTAGAGCATAATCAGCAGCAAACTGTAGGATTTCATGTATCCATTGTTAGTGATATGCAGAGCAGACCCACAGAAATATCAACAAACTTTACTAACTTTAGTCCATGCATTTCAATGTGTCTTCTACTCTGAGTGTGACTTAGTTGGATAAAACCTATGCTTTCCATCTTCTCAGACCTGACGAAAGATCCTACTATTATACAAAGGTAAGTCGGTCTCCAAGACGTCATACCCTTTTTGCATTGTTATTACAGACAAATGCAATTATTTTGAAATTTTATTTTGGGTGAACTGTCTACACTCATTGAAGCCTAACTACTACAGACAAAAAGAAAGGAGCTCTATCATAAGCATTTTCACATAGACAAGTCTGTCAGTCTGAAATGTTTGTTACAGTCCAGGCAAGTTGCCAGCATTTCCACTCCAATACATTAATTGGTAAAAGGAACAAAGATTCATTCTACAACAAGGAGTGTTTATTTCCCTTCCTCTCTCAAGACAGACGAAGAAACACTACACAAACCTGAAGAAACTTTATGCATGTATTTGAAGTTAACATATTTGGGAACACATCCATTACACTTAAAGCACAAGATACCTTTTATTCATGTACCCTGGTACAGCAATAGTTGACATTAGTTATTCCATTAGTTATTCAAGCTTTTATGGGTAATTCATATGTCACAGAGGTGGTGGGACAAATGAGGTTCATATACCGGATTAGGCTGCTTGCAGAACAAGAGGTAATTCTGCTCTCCCCAGGGAGGTTCCTAATTCTCATTTATTGCCCATCCAACTGCAGCTCCCCACCCAACCCACAGCATCCCATGCTGTTCATCAGGATCCATTGATTCCCATGAGCATCCATGAGGGTATGGTTTTGTAGCAAGCGGATAAGCCCATTCCAAAAGTAAAAATCAAGTCACAATATGTAGGATCCAACCAGCTGTGAATAAAGCTCAGCCCATTTTCTGGCTGTTTGCACATGGTTATTGTACTTATATGTGTATATATAAATACAGTTATATATTTATTGTAAACCACTTTGAGATCTTTCAGATATTAAGCAGTCTATAATTTGATACAATAAATAAATAAATATATAAATAAAGCTGAGGACTACTACCTAGCTAAGTTGAAGCTTTGAAGGAACAAAAACTCAAAAGTAGTGAAATGTTCAATGGGGAAGAAGCAAGAGGACACAACATCCCACACATAATTAACATTTTATTGTGGCATCTCACTCAGTCCTTCTATTTTCAGTTAAATCATCTGAATGCCATCACATCTGCAGCTAAAACCATACAAAAGGAAGGCATGAGCAGACCTAGTAACACAAAAATTGTTACTAACACACACAAAAGGCAGAGAACCCCAAAAAAAGTCAAATGAGGACTGAACATGTTCAGTACACACAGAATGCTGAATGGGGGATGGGGAGAGGACCCGAATAAGGTATACTGAACAACAGCAGTATGCAACATTTTGTTGTAGCTCTAACTTGTCTACACTGCATTTAGCAAAGAAGAAAGGAACTTCCTACAGAGCCCAAGTACAGTCATACCTCGAGTTGAAGTAGCTTTGGGTTAAGCGTTTTTGGGTTGTGCTCCACGGCGACCCGGAAGTAACGGAGCGTGTTACTTCCGGGTTTCACCGCTTGCACAGATGCTCAAAATGACGTCACGCGCATGCGTGGAAACGGCAAATCACACCTGTGCAGGTTTGCTTCAGGATGCGAACGGGGCTCCGGAACGGATCCCGTTCGCATCCAGAGGTACCACTGTACCTTTTTGCTGTAACTCTATACAAAATAACTATTCCATATACCCACAGGTCACATCAGACTCCCCTTTGTGACACACAGTCTGTATATTGTGCATTTTTAGTAACTTAGAACATCCAAGTTTCCTCAAATGGCATGGAGATGAAGTTACAAGGTTAGTGGCCTTCTATACACTTTATTGTATTTTAACACAAGAGCCTGCTGTATCATACAAAGGTTCATCATATCCAACATCCCACAGTGGCCAACCATGTGTCTCATGGAAATACAGAAAGAGGTTTGGAGCACATAGGTCTCTCCTACTGTTGTTCCATAGCAACTGCTATTCTGAGGCATATTACTTCCAAATTTGAATGTTTAATATTGTCACTGACAGACCTATCCTCCATTACACTTCTCCAATCTAAATCAATGGAGGTTAAAGTCAGACTGTTAACAAGTAACTTGTCTTCAAAGCATTTTTGTAATGAGCAAGTTTTCTGCTCTCATCTGAGACCCCTTTCTTCTTATGAGTACTGCTCTAATGTTCTTATTTTGTGATGTTTTAAATTATGTACATTGTAGGTCAGATTCAACTAACTGGTCCCGCTAGTGGAAGCCTGTGCAAGGACTTCTGCTAATGCAGTGGGGCTTCCCTCTGCTCTCTCATGCACTTCAAACTGGCTCTGGGAGTTTAGGAGAACCCCCAGCATAGCACACAGAGGGAGGAGAGGAAAGATCTTTCCGTTGGGCAAACAATAATGTTTGTGTTGACAGAAAGCCTGGAAAAGTATGATATTGAATTTCTCCTGCATTTTTTATCTTTGTAAGCCAATTCAAGATGTATAAAAAGCAAGATATACATTAAAAATACATACAAATATAAAGAGACTCCAAAGCGACCAACTCTCATTGGAATTAATATAAGCATTTGTTACATTAGCATAAAATATTTTCTTTCACATATACATAAAACTTAACATACCCCTTTTAGTACAGATATTATTATTACTCTAAATTATCATCCGTCTCCCACTTTTTCAAAACACAATTGCCCAACACCACCAAATCATCCACAGATTTATTATCATAAAACAAACTTGCCACAATGTTTTGAACAAAGAGTACAGCACTACAACTGTATACATTTACATAGGCTGATAAACATACACCTTAATTCAACCCCAAATCTACCAGTTTAGGCTGGATAGCCTGAGCCTTCTTTTTCCTTGGGATAAAGTTTTGCACTTCATTAAATAGCCATCCTTAAATAAGGTTAAAGAACACTGTTCCTGGCTTTAGAGTACTGTACAAAGAAATATCTATATCTTTGTTTTTCTTTCCCGAACTTACTACGCTTCCATGCTAAAGGTTTATAGGCACTGACCTTACATTACATTATTCCAGGAAGCAAGCTTTAGTACATCAAACATGGGCAAGCAGAAAAAGCTGGTGGAACTATGCATAAACTCTCCCAAATAGAGCATTTACAGGGATGTAGAGGGGCTGAATCAGCTCGGAATCACATTACAGCATCAGATCTGATTCCAGCCTGGAGCACCAGCTCCAGAGTAGGACTGTGGACCCATTTTCTATGCCAGTCAACTTGAGAAGGAAAGGTGTGGATGGCCAACATATTTTTGTAAGATATTTACTAAAATATGCCAGAAAAGTGCACAAGAACAAGCAGTCTGGAATTCTGGTTCTCTCACCAGTTGTATCTCACATGCCAATGCTATAGTACATTACTTGGATCTTCTAAAGAGGCCCTGCTCTGGCATCCATCTAAAAGGCAGACTATTTTAGCCTCCACCAGGAGCCCTGTCTTTTTTGTAGCAGCCCTGATACTATGTAACTCTCCTAAGAAAAGTTAATTAGCATCCTCCCTGCTGGCTTTCTGAAGGGAGGTAAACACTTTTAGTTTCAGTTCGCCCTTGAGATCTAATAATTGCTGTGTTCACAGTTTTTTGCTGTACAATACTGCTACTTTTCTTTTTTGTTGGATCTTTCTTTTGTATTTCGTTATGCTTTACCTTTTGTAAACTGCTATGAGGAATGAAAAGCTTAAAATTAAACAGGTAGGCTTTAAGAAAGTTGACAACAATCTAAATCACCATTAAAATTATTCTAGAGTGATTCATTCTGTGGAATTATTATGCAAAAAGAATTATACAATAGGAGCTAAAAAAACCTTACTACTTGCATAAATGAAAGCACCAATATTAAAGCCAGAGAGCTATAACAAGACAGCAATTTAAACACATGAGATGATACGTAACTGGATTCCAAACATAAGACAAAACATGCAGCCTGAGCCTATGCATGTTTACTCATAAGTAAATCCTACTGTGTTCAACAGGGTTGACTAGCAAGTGACTGTGCATAGGATTGTAGCCCTTGTTCCACACAAATGCTACCCTATGAACAGATGCAACTTTTATGCTTAAAGAGGGACAATGATAAATATTAGTATTGCTATTAGAATGGTTCTTCTATTAAGTGGATATAGAGAAATAAGTGCAACACTAGACACAACCTTATCACCTATCAAGGTACTCTCTGCAATAACTGACACAACAGCTATTGTAAAATTAATGCAGCCCTCTCTTATAAGAAATTTTGTCAGATTTAAGTGGACAGCACAACTGAGACTTTACTCTCTCCAATGCAGGCTTGTAAACACACTTTTTAAGGTTCAGAAAAATTATAATTAAAAAAAAATGGGAGCAAGAAAAGAACAAACAAATGCTCTACCAAATTGGGAGGGGGGAGAGATGCTTAGAGGATGGAGGGCTCCCTCCTACCTTGGTGAGCTGCGCTATTTTCTTGCTCATTTTGAGATGGAGATCCTGATTATATTCCATGCCGAGCTGGGAGGAGGCGGCCGAGGAAGAAGTGGAGGTGGTGAATTTTCCAGCGCTCCCCGAGGAGCTGCCGCTGTAGTAGTGCTGCTGCCAGCTCATCCCTGGTGTCGCCATCTTCCACAGCAAAGAAACCCTGCCAACCGCTCTGCCAAGCGCCGGGAGGAGAAGGGCGAGGGTGACACGAAAATAGGGGTGGGGGAGGAGGGGGGGTTGTTGAGGTTGCAGGCGGAGGAAAAAGACAAGGATAGAGATGGAAAGCAGCTAATGCTGGTGGCAAACAGGACGGCGGGGGGTGAGGGGGAAAAGGCGAGGGGGGGCAGGTCAAACTACCTCTTCACCTCCCCCCCTCCAGTCCCCGCTGCTACCTCCTCTCACTCACAGCGTCTCCCCTCGTCCCCCTCCCGGCCTTATTTGCCACTCTGGCTCCTTCTGCACCATTTTCCTTCGTGGGGAGGGGAGGCGGGTGAGGGACCCACAGACTCCCCGCTCCTTGCCCTTCAGTTCAGGTGAGGGAGGAAAGGATGGGGCGGTCGGGGAAGGATCTCCTGAGGTAACCACAAGCCGCCCCCTGCGGGCTCCTCAGAGATTCCTGCTGCCGTTTCCTTTTTAAACCTCCCCCCCTGGGGCAACGGATAAACGAGCGAGGACGGGGGGGAGCGCGCGTCTCGTGCTCTCCGTCCCCGTCAACCCCTCACAGCGGCGCCTTTCCTCCTCCCGTTCTGGGAGCGGCGCTCCCCGCGGGACCCTTTCCCGGGTCCCGCGAGGGGAGGGGGAGCCCGAGCGGAGCGCCCCCGCCGTTTCTCTCGCACGGGGGGGGGGGCTCCTCTTCCCCTCCCGCCGCAGCTCGCCTCGAAGACAAGCGGGCAAAGCCCCCCCCCTCCAAGCGAGCGACGCCGACTGTTGCTACCGAAGCCGACGCTGCCCGCTCGGCGCTCTTTGGCCACAAGAGGCCAACGCTCCGTTACCAGGGTCTCGGAGAACTGTTTACGCCGCGCGCGTGGCGTCATTTCCGGCGTCCATCCTTCTCCCCCCCCCCCCCACGCGCGCGCCCGCCGCCGTCAGTTCCCGCCCCTTTCAGTACCTCGGAAAGGGACTTAATTTAAGTCGCGCACGCGCAGATGCGCTCTCCAGGGTGGTTAGTTAAAACCTTTACGGCGGGCGCGCTAAGAGGGAGGCGCGAAAGAGCGCCGTGTGCTGTTAAGACCCACAAGAAGCGGCTCTGAGGAGACGGCTCTATAATAAGCATTGCTCTCCCGTGCTGGCGTCACGAGCGCGGGCTGCAGCAACGGCCAGGGCGGCCCCAGGAGCAGGTTGGGTGGCGGTTGCTGGGCTGCTTCCCGCCATTGAGATCCTTCGTTGGGAACGATTGCAAATCCCCTCTCCCTCTCTCCGAAACATACACATCTGCTCAGAACTCCAGAGATTCTTCTCAAATTATAGTGTACATATACACTTAGGATAGCGAAAGATCGAAATAAGAACATAAGGAGAGTCTGCTGGATCAGTCCAGTGGCCCATCTAGTCCAACACGCAGCGGCTGGACAGTTCCCTGTAGGCACACGAGCCAACTCCTAGGGGCCGAGGTCCCTCCCCCCGCCAATAAAATATATGAGCTCCCCACCCCCAAGTTAATAGGCATCACCATTCAAATGGTGTGTGTGCACCACGTCTTGCGATCAGTTATGTGAGGCTCCCCCAATATTTTATTCAAGTTGGCACCCTTGTCTGCGGGAAACAAGCAAGCCGGATTCAAGCACAAGAGCTCTTTCTCCTCCTGTGGTTTCCAGAAACTGGTATTCAGGATCTGTGGAGGCAGAGCATAGCCATCATGGCTAGGAACCATCTCCTCCATGAATTTGTCTGATGCTCTTTTAAAGCCATCCAAGTTGGTAGCCATTAGTGCCTCCTGGGAGTGAGTTCCATAGTAATTATGTGCTGTGTGAAAAAGCATATATTTTTTTAAAAAAAATCCACCCTGACTCTCCCAACACTCAGCTTCATTGGATGTCTATAAGTTCTAGTGTTATGAGAGAGGGAGGGAAAAAAATTTCTATCCACTTTCTCCATACTGTGCATAATTTTATAAGCTATCATGTCACCTCTTACTTGCCTTTTTTCTAAATTAAAAAAGTCTCAAACATTGCAGCCTTTCTTTATAGGGGAGTTGCTGCATCCCCTTGATCATATTGGTTGCTCCTTTCTGAACCTTTTCCAACTCTGTGAGGCGACCAGAACTGTACACGGTCCAACCACTTAGCCTCCGTATATGCAAGAGGAGAGGGTGGTAAAGGTCATACTTAGGTCTTCTTAGATATACTGTATATCACACACAGAACATATCTATTTCAGAACATGTGGCCTTCCACAAGATCGTCAACCATTTTAAAAAAAATGAAATCTACTGAACTAATATTGTAATGATGGTTCTCTAAAATACAAATTCCTTTCAAGTAAGAGTTTCAACTTTCTAACCTTAGGAAACCAGCACAGGAGTGAAAATCCATTCATGATTAGTATGCATTATACAGGAATGAACACGGCACTAAATAATGTGCTAATTTATCTGAGCAAAAAGGGAATTAATTTATGTTTAAATAAGCCAATACAAGAGGGAGGAACATCCCTCAAGATTTATCTGCAATAAAATCTGTTGTCAGTTTTAGCTGAGACAGGATTCTACCAACATGAACAATGAAACTCCCTTATAAATTAAAGTTGGTGTGATTTTGAAATAAAGCCATATATTTCAGTTTGGCTTCAAGGATATTTGGCTGCTCTTTCCTTAACTTCATTTCATCAGTAGCCAAGGAACTGTGGTGTGGGATGCACAGACGGCAGCTTTAAGGAGTTCAGAGGTTGCAGGTGCAGGGGAACCAAACAGGTAATGCTCATCATGTGAAAATATCCCTGCTGCTTCTCTAGTGTGCACAGCAACATACAAATGTGACTTGAAATGCCACAGAGAAACAACCTCACTGCACTTAAAGCTACCAATGCACACATAGCCTTTATGGCAGTAATAGCAAGTCAAGTCCAAAGCATTTTAAGTGTTCCTCCTATCCCAAGGGATAAGAAGAGGTTTCAGGGACAATGCTGCAGGATTTAATGTCCTTTGGGGGCAGTGCATAGGAAATTTGCAGCATCTTGGTATTCTTTGTTTCAGTTACAACTGAAGAGCAGAGCTTACTAGAAGTTAAGCAACACTCCTATAGCAGACAGCAAATCTGCTAATCTGACATCATGTTTCCAGAGAGAACCCTTGTATCTCAAGATGCTACAGCACTCATCTCTATTTCACTGGCTCCAAACTCTTTATCTGAGCTCCTCCTGCCAACTTCTCAAACGAAAGAGGAATCTCAATCTGTTAAGGAATATGAATATTATTTTGTTAAATTCCAGACTCCTATCGTGTGGCACTCTTTTTAAAACCAGAATGATAGACCCATGATCAGTAATCAAAACGATAACACTGCTTTGGAGTGTGCTGCATATGCAACTAGCTGCTGCTACCACCACTATTCAATTTCTTGGTTAGACCTTCACTCCAGTTTGATCAGCTGGGAAGGAGGCAGAAGAAGCATTGCACAGGAGAGAAAGGCAGGAATGCAGATCTGACTCTATATGAACTTTAGACAACCTGGTGCCCTCCAGCTGTTTTGGACTGCAAATCCCATCAGCCCCAGCCAACACAGATGGGGAAGTTTGGGGGGAAGGCTGCTCTAGGCAACAACCACACCCATGTGCATCAATAGCTTTCCTATGAATGCAATCCATTTGTTTCGCTTGCAGCCTTTGTGACACACATGCTAGGGTTTGGTCAGACTTGAAGTTTGGTGTACTAAACCGCATGTTGTGGAAACATTTCCCCTCTTTGTTTTTTGCTCAGCTGTAACGCTTCTAGATAAAGTTTATGCCTTACAGAGCTTTGGCGCTTTGCAGATTCTGAAAGCCCTTTCTATAAGCTTAGTATTTCTAATAAAATTCAGAAATACAGCGGGATTATCTTCTGTATTTTTAGAGCAGCATACATCCTTTCGGTGCCTTTGCTTAAGGAAGCACCAGCATAATAATGGAGACATACTGTGGTAAAAGGGTGCAGACAATGGAGAAAGCAGGGCTGCTATAATAGGACATGTACAAATGTGCCATTCATTGCGACCTCAGTTTTGGCAAGAAAGAGGTCATTAAATATGAATGCAGGCCCTCCTTGGGAAATTACAGTGAACATATTTATGAAATAGGAAAGCAGCACTACTGGTTTGAGACCCAATAAAAAGTAGTGGGAGCACATGAGGCGAGGAAAGGTTTGTGAGTAAAACAAAGGAATGTGAGAAATCAGCACTGATATTTTATTGGGAAACAGTGGCAAAAAGTTGCACAAGGCAGCGAAATGCAGGCAGGTCAGGATGTTTGGGAAGAACTCTTGGTGATCTGAAGGAAATAGGTAAGGATTTCTGACTCTAGTTGTACGGTGAAATAAAATGACTCCTGCATTGCAGGGGTTTGGACTAGATAACCTTCCAGCTCTATGATTCTATGACTCCCCCTCCAAAATGTTATCACTGAAACAAATAAAGCTGTGGTAGAGGCCTGAGAAAGTAACCCGAAGTTGGTTTTTGTGTGGTGGGACTGTGAGATCAGTTCGCTTCTGGCATTCATCCAGAACAAATCCCTGGATTAAGAATTTTTTCAATCCCAATGTATGCCTTGTGCATCTGACTCTCAATGGCAGATCTCTGCATATACACCCAAACACCCAGACTAGGTGGCCTAAACCTGAAGTCTACGCTAGTCTGACATAAGATGGACTCTGGTTCACAAATGGCTTACGTCTTAAAAGAAAAAAATATGTCACATGACTCTTTTTACTGCAACAGACCAACATGGCTACCCCTCTGGAAACTGCGGCAAAAGTAGTTGTGCTAAAACAGAAAACTTTGCAGCAAGTGGAGCACCTCAGACCCAGGAGTCAAATGCAGCCCTCCAGGCCTCCTTGTCCAACCCTCAGGACTCTCCCCAGGCCACACTGCTCACAGGTCCTGGTCGGTGCCCTTCTGAGTGCTTCTGCCTGGATGGAATGTGTCCTTGCCCAGTGATAATGCCTCCTGGTTATCCTCTCCCACACCTTTATTTTTTGTTTGCCAGGATGGCCAGAGGCCTCTGTATTATATTTCTGATAATATAACCAGCAAGATCTAGCTGAAGGTGTCTCTCTCCCCCCCCCCACACCCGCCCACCCCAAAGTGAATTCACAGTGATTAATAGTGTCTAGATTTGCCAAAGTATTGCTATACTAAATTCATTCCATTTGGCAGAGCAATTTGGCAGATTGCTTGAGTAATGAGAAAAGTGCAATATGTATAGCGGAATGATAAGATCCAAACTGCCTTATACATTTTATATGCCAATGGGTACCCACTTTCCTGGCATCTGACATTGTCAGTACACGATGCCGCTGATACAGAGGAAGAAACACTTTTGCTAGATTAACCACCTCTGAAAGTCATTCAGACCTTTGCTTGTTGCCTTGTTATCAGATTAATCTTCCATTGAACTGCACCATCCCCAACCAAATCAAAATACAGTACTGTTGTTTTTATATTTTGTACATTGCATTGGGGCATACATGGTAGGTGATTGTGGTGTGCAAGACCACAGGGGCTAATTAATTGCCCCAAACACAACTGTGGAGAGAACAATGAATTATGGATTGCCTGTAGTTGATATGACCATGATGGTTTCCTCCTCCTCCTCCTCCTGGATGCTGCCACAATGGCCCAGCAGCTCTGAGAGCAGAATTTGTCATTCCACTGTAGTTTTAAGTTCCACCTGCTGGCAGCCACACAAACATCAACATAACAACATCCTTAAGAAAATATTTATCAGGAGAGATAGTAGAACTGTTCTATAAACTGGAGGGTGGCTGTAAATGTTTCAAAATGGACCTCTAGTACTTACAAACTCCACGTGAATCATATGGAAGCAAAGGAAATCTTTTTTCTTTTCTTTTTTGCTAGAGG